TCAGTCAGTTAGTCTGTAGTTTTCCAGTAGTAGTCTTTAGGTTCAGTCAGTAGTCTGTAGTTTCAGTCAGTAGTCCTGTAGTTCAGTCAGAATCCTGTACTTCAGTCAGAGTCTGTACTTCAGTCATAGTCTGTACTTCAGTCAGTAGTCTTAGTTCATGTCAGTAGTCGGTAGTCAGTCAGTAGTCTGTACTTCGTCAGTAGTCTGTACTTCAGTCAGTAGTCTGTAGTTCAGGTCAGTATCTGTACTTCCAGTCAGTAGTCTGTAATTCAGTCAGTAGTCTTAGTTCAGGTCAGAGTCTGTAGGTTCAGGTCAGAGTCTGTAGTTTAGTCAGTAGTCAGTAGTACATCAGTAGTCTGTCTATCAGTCTAGTCAGTCTTTATATCACTTGTATTAATACTACTGGACTGCCGTGTGATGAACACTCGAGACTCATGCTATGGTCAATAATGAATGATAATGAACAAAAATGAATATGATTATTTCGGATAAATGATAGTGAATACGAAAGTTTAGTGATTGATGGATTGGCACTACCCCGAGCCGTACTTACTCTGCATTAAACGCCGTTAAAATGGTTTAATTACAAATCATTTAAAGGATACAACACCACATACATAAATATATAACACTATTAGGGAATGACAATAGCTTATACTCTTACATTAATTTAGAACAGTAATACAGAGTCTGAAGAATGTCACAGATATCTTATCAGGAAAATGGCAGTAAATTGTTGGATGGCGTGTAGCATTGGTAAATACCTCGAAGATAGTCATATTTCGTTCTGGCGATAAAAGTTTTGTGTTTCGTTGCTGTACTTCCCGCAACTTTAATCACACCTTTTAATCACACTTCCTAAACCTGGGCAACGTAGCGACTGTGGAGTGTGGGTATTCTGATTACCAAATATGTCACGTGAACACTAAACAGTTTGTAATTAGTTTTAAAGCACGATATTAAACACCGGAAATCAACTCCCTGAGTATGCCTCAGATAGACTCTTTGTAATTTTTGGCTCGTCGATATCTGGCTGTGATTCATTCAGCATCGGTGGTATTTTCTTCAATTAAAACACATGGAGTAGAACACAATTGTCGCGCCAAAATTTACCTGAAACTGCCGTGGTTTCTGAGTGTGATACTGATTAAATACAGATTTCCTTTAAAAATGTAATTTTCAGAAAGAAAAAGTAGGAGCATGATATTCCGGAAAAATCCATAGCCAGAAAGTCTAAAGATGATTCTATTTCTGATCTGGGCAAACCATTGAGGGGGGTGGGTTTATGATCTTACATACAAGGTAAACTATAAACACATATTATTGTTAATTATAAAAGATTACTAGTGTAACCCGCATACGCCAGGGATTTCACTGCCGCGTTAAAAAAGGGTAGGAGATTACCCGCTGAGTCAAAACCCGGATTTAGCGAGCATTCTATTCGGAGTGCCTCCACGTATCCAAATAGTATGCTTAAAAAGATAGAATTCTAATGAATAATCAATAAAAATTAAACCCTTAAACTCCCATGCACCACATCCACCTATCATATTGTGAACATGCATTACTTGGCGTATGAAAGTATGAACTCTCTCTAAAGTACCAAACAGACCGTTTGAGCAATCCCTCGCCCTAAGTTAATTTATAGTATTAATATGACCATGTAATATATACGCCATGTAATATATACGCAGCATATGCAGAGAGAGAGCTAGCCCCGAACTCTTGCCGTTCTTCTCAAGCCATTTTATATGTAACATATTTGTGGTACAAAACCATCATTAAACACATTACCACCGCCGATTTATATAAAATTTGTTATTGCTTCGTCAGAGTTTGTCGCACTATACCAATAAACCAGTCCCGTAACTATTGCCGTTTTTTTTTGTATAACCGTTCGGAAATTACACACAGACACACACACATAACACACACACAGACACACACACATTACTTGGTGTTATTAAGTTGATAATACACTTGCTATGTACCTGACCTTTGTATGCTCTCATTGGCACAAATCCAAATGATCACCTCTCTAACAACATATTAATGTGGATATTCCTTTTTTTAGAAACAGTCCCCTGGTAATGGCCTGATGCTCTGGTGTTGTTCTGAAGGTGGTGAGGGTTGATGTGGTAGTGAACCTGCCCAATGGATTGACTGGCTTTATCAAGGTAATGTGAATATCATTTCGATGTTAAATTGTATGTGTGGCACCAAATAAAGCTTTGAATAGATCTAGCTAAGGATAAAATAATTTTGATAACAAATTAAGTGCAATTTAAATGCATACCGAATAACAATGAAATGAAGAAACTAGAAGTAGAAGTAATTTTTATACATATTGAATTCTGTGTTGATCCATATCTAATTTATTATCATAATATGCCTAGGTACTGATCTCGCGAGGAATTTAACATGTTATCGAGGAACAACGCTGAAGGTGACGAGGACGCAGAAGGTGAAGAGGGTTAGTTTCCTCTGTTGGAAGATTTGAAGAAGAGAAATGTAACTTACAGAACGGTGGCGTGAGAGTTCACTCACACTGTGTCTATACCAAACTCAGAGATTCGATAACTAAAGTAATCATAACAAGTTCCTAAACAGCGTCTTTTGAACACAATTTTATAATGTACAGCCCCCTATAAACAAACATAGTATCTCTAATTCTTTAAGCTCCTGTAATTCCACTTAATTTCCAGGAACTAGACTCTGTGACGTGGTAATCATGGACAGTTCTTATCCTGGCTCGGTTGTGATGTAGTTACAGTTGGACAAGACACGGCAACTCAACCTCACACCAAATCGGCGAAGTGAACGTTCTGTCAAGCAACTGTGGATATCACAAGAATATGGTAAGGAGATTTTCATCGATTTAAAGGACTAGTGACCAACCTGTACCTTCTTCAACCGAATATCGTTTTTAGTATGAAATGTTTCAATGTTGCTTTATTAGCCGACCTTATTTCCGGTAGGTTTTCATCTTAAAAATAGCACTAAAGAATGATTGTGCCACTATTTTAAACAAAATTACAGTTTAGATATCTGATAGTGAAGTTGTAACATTAAAAACATGTGCTACAAGGAGTCATCCAGAGTGTCGATAGAGACGTACATGGTGAACGTGGGAGTCAAGGGAGTAACCGCCTTCCCCAACAAGAGTGCAGTGCTATCCTGCAGAAGTGTGATCTTGTCCGGGTGGTGGTCAATAACGTTTAACGATGGCAACCTTATTTTTGGTGGAGGTGTGTTATAAATCTCGTGCAGCCCCCCCCCCCCCCGGGGGATAATTAAATTGTTTTTTAATTTCTCTCTCCAGAGTTTGAATTGGAGAAAATACAATAAAATGTTTGACATCAATCTACAATCAGCTGAAATTTCTTGCAATTCTAAGAAGAATTACGTGAGTTATTAAAGGTGCGCGTAATGGGCAGTGTACTTCTGGGCCACTCTGTAATAATGGGTAGCCTCCTGGCAGTGTAGCCAGGGTCATACATTTAAATTAAAAATTTAATTTTAGCAGGAGATAAATTATTAATCATCTCTTATTAACTGTCTAATTAGCACAGTCTAATTAACACAGACTGTACGCGGTAAGGGATAAAGCACTTTCGGAGAAAAACAGTAACCACGTTCTCTCTCTGACCGGCCAGTCACCTTGTTAATATCACCGTTAAGAACAGGCTGCTAACGGACTGAGATGTACCTTCTTGGGGGGGTTAAAAAAAAAAGAATCAAAGAATGCAACTCCTGCTAGTACACGCCAGGTCTCCCAAAGTATATACATAATTATAAATGAATAAATATCTACGCAACAGACCTCTTAGAGTCTTGAAGCTGTCAAACCCATTTTCGTTGTAGTACTTCAGCGGGCAGACAAGGGTCTTCCGAGCAAGGTCAACGCCTGGGATTGGTGTCTCTATGCGGAGGTAGGCCTAGATGGGTCTAGATTGGGTTTTAGTGTAATTCCTGATGTGAAATACTAGGAGGTTACCCAAAGAGATCTTCCTTTTCTAGTCTTTTTGACTGTTCCACAAATTTGATGATGTGGTTGAGTTTACTGTTGTGATTTCCTCCATTGTAAGAAGAGGTTTACCAAATATCCTCATTCTGAGTGTCATCAGCTGGATGCATTCACAGAGGAAGTGCTGGGAAGTTCTGCTTCCCCTGGGCAGTGTTTGCAGTCTTGCGTCTCAAAGTTGACGTTATTTGCCACAATCTGGAAGTAAGCTAGTGGGCTGCGACCTGAAAGTAGCCATGTTAGCCATCTGATGTGAGTTCCTGAAATATTAAGATTCCTGTATTTGTATTTGTTGAAAAACAGTTCGAGAGGAATTTTTCCTTTATCACTGACTGCAACCTGTTTGCACTTTTGAGGTGGAGTTTGAAGAGATACTCCTTGATGGTATTGTTGATGATGCCTTCCGGTAGTGGGAGGAAAGGTTCCGGTCCTATGGGGATACTGCTGGATCCCTCCCTTGCGAGTTCGTCAGCCAGTTCATTACCGTATACTCCTTCGTGTCCTGGGACCCACCTAAGTTCTACTCGGTGAGAGGTACCTAGTGTGTTGGTCAGCGATGTCCAGCACTAGTCTGGAGCTGATATTGACTCATATTAGTGCTGTTAAGCGCTTTGAGTGAGGCATGGGAATCTGAGAATAGGCTAATGGTTGATGATGTTCCTATGTTATCATTGATCCAGATACCATGTGGAGCGCAAAGAGCTCACATTGATAAACTGTTGCCAGCATGCCAAGTTGGTCACTGACTCTGTGGTATTCCTGTGTTCCTTTAATGACATAGAATTCGATATAGCTGATGGCAGATTTCCTGTCCTGAATAATTACCTTGAAACGTCGGTACAGCGTGGTAGCCTTGGGGAAGCGACTTATTGTAATTAAGAGAAGAAAGATTCTTCCAGAAAGTTCTACTGCTCACACACTACAAGGGCAAATTAGCTTGTTCACGCTTGACTCGTTCCCCCAACAGGTGGTTTGTACACAGCCGTTTAACAAGACAATACAGTTTGGTTTATCTTGTCTCCTGTTGGAGACTCCTCAAAGAAGTGAGCCGAGTAACAATGCTTTGAGTAACCATGGTAACGATCACGGTAACCATGGCAACGATTCAGAGCAGAACTGTAACACGTCTAGTAATGCATGTATGTAACCATTGTAGATTGAATCAAGCTGTATTCAAGATATTATTGTATGTTTAGGGGTGTGATGATGACTTGATTTCAAGTTGTTCTCAACAGATAAATTTTGATAGTTGAGAGCCTAGATCTATTTTCAAATAAAAGTAATGTATACACTTTCAGGTAAACGACGTTTAGGTGCTCGTCCGATCAAGAAACTGTCAACTTTTTTATCAAATGTTTCCAAGCAACCTCTCTCTCCTAAAACTACTTCCAACAAACCAGTTGTACATACTTTTCCGGACAAAAAACAAACCCCAACTGTGTCAGCCCATCGCGCTGTTCCTCGGTATAATGGCAATATGTCCAACGGAACTGCTTCGAAAATTCCTGCAAACAAGAAGAATATAGTGTCCCCTGAACAAATTACCCATGGTAATCCAGAAGGAGGAATAACGCGTGAAATGTGTGAGCTGGCACGGTGGGGCTTACCTCCTAGTGTTCTGTCTCGTTACCACCAAGCGGGGATAACCCACATGTTCACCTGGCAGGCAGAGTGCCTGTCTCTGAACGGTGTCCTCTCTGGTAAGAACCTGGTGTACTGTGCCCCCACTTCTGCCGGCAAGACTCTTGTAGCGGAGCTGTTGTTGCTGAAGCGAGTCTTGGAGACAAAACAGAAGGTCTTGTTCATCCTGCCATTCGTTAGTGTAGCTGGGGAGAAAACATCTTATTTGGAGGGGATACTACAGGGTACGGGACTTAAAGTGGGTGGCTTTTTCGGATCTAAAGGTCCTCCAGGGGGTATGAGCAAAGTGGATGTAGCAGTTTGCACTATAGAGAAAGGTAACAGTATAGTTAATAGAATGATGGAGAAAGGGGAGCTAGGAGAGATAGGATGCGTGGTGGTAGACGAGGTTCACATGGTGGGAGACTCCTCACGGGGGTATCTTCTAGAACTCCTCCTCACCAAACTCCTCTACCACTCCAGGCAAGAAAACTCGTCCTCTTCCTCCCTACAGATAGTGGGAATGAGTGCTACCCTCCCTAACCTGGACCTACTGAGCCGGTGGCTGGACGCAGCACTTTACACTACAGACTTTAGACCAGTTCCCCTGACCCAGCTGGTGAAGATAGGGAACATTGTGCACGACTTAACAGGGAAACCAGTCAGAGAACTCCCATCCCTTCCTCACGAACATATCACATTCCTTTGTCAGGAAGTCCTCCAGTCTGGACACAACGTCCTTATATTCTGTTCTACTAAAGCTTGGACTGAGAAACTCTGTGATCTGATAGCAGGTACTCTACTCAACAAAACCCCCGCTTTAGACCAGACCTTGGTGTTGAACGCGGAGGGTTTAAAGGAGATATCTCAGCAGCTGCGCAGGTTGCCCATGACTGTGGACCCTGTGTTAGAGCGGTGTGTGAGACGTGGCATTGCATACCATCACGCGGGGCTGACTATTCAGGAGAGAGAGGTGGTAGAAGCAGGGTTCCGGAGAGGTGTTATCAGGGTCCTGATAGCCACCAGTACTCTGAGTGCGGGAGTTAACCTTCCTGCTAGACGAGTCATAATCAGGTCCCCAAAGTTCGGTCCTTCTTACATGTCACCCCTGGTGTACCAACAGATGTCAGGGAGAGCGGGGAGGATGGGGGTTGATGAGGCGGGGGACTGTGTTCTTATCTGTACACCTCAGGAAAGGGGCGCTATCGACAAGATCGTATCTAATGTCATAGATCCTGTATCTAGCTGTTTGGGCGGGAACAGACTTGGAGCTGCAATGAAGAGAGCAATGTTAGAGATAATCGCTGGTGGGATAGTTTCTAAGACTCATGAGGTTACTGAGTACTTTCAGAGCACCTTGTTGGCGGCAGAACAGAAACACTGCCCTGAAATATTAACTTCAGCTCTAGAATTTCTAGTGGAATATGAGTTCATATCTAAGCAGGAGAACTCTGAAGGTGAAATGGTTTACACGGCGACAAAGTTAGGTTTTGGTACCTTGAACTCAGCCCTTCCACCCGAAGAGGCTCTAGATCTGCTATCTCATCTTGTGAAAGCGAGACGGAACTTTAACTTGGAGTCTGAACTGCAGCTGGTTTTTGAAGTTACTCCGTTATCTGTTTCAAGGAACTGGGCAACCCCAGATTGGCTTTCTTTCCACACAATGTGGTCTAACCTGTCTCCTGCCTACAAGAGAGCAGGTAACAATGTGGGTGTTGATGAAGGGTACCTGGTTGGGGCTGCCTCTGGGCACGCCCCTACTCGAACAGAACAGCAGAAACTTAAATTTCAGATTCACTTGCGCTTCATTGCTGCCCTGGCGTTATTAGAGTCGATCGAGGAGGTACCCATAGATCGGATAGCTAATAAATACTCCACCAACAGAGGTCTGCTCCAATCCTTACAAACAGCCGCCTCCTCATACGCCGGCCAAGTTGCCGTGTTCTGTGAGAGACTGGGGTTCAGAACTCTGGGACTATTGCTATCTGATCTACAAGTGAGGCTGTTCAGTGGGGTACAGAAGGAGTTGTGTGATCTGGTCAGAGTACAGCTTCTCACTGGACCTCTAGCCAGGGTACTGTACAATGAAGGGTACACTGGTGTTGCTAAACTCTCCCTCGCTGATCCAGAGACAATAAAAACACTGCTACAAGGAGTGTTGCCTTTTAAAGACAAGGAGGAGACTAAGGAGAGGAGTTGGTTAGATAAGAGACATGGTCTTACTGAGCTGGAGGCTGCTACTCTCATGATAGAGAGTGCTAAGGAGCTCCTGCAGGAGGACCTGGCTCAGATGGACTTCAAGGTGGACTTGTCGGACATTCTTAAAACTAAAGATAAGAAGAAAAAGTCACATAGGACGAGTAATGCTCTTTATCAGGGTGAGGTTGGGGAATCTTCCCGCAGTAGGGTAGGAGAAACACTTCGGAATAGGGCTAGTGCTGTTAAAGACTTGACATCATCTGTTCTGGAGATTCCTGATATCCTCACCCCTCACAGACCAACTCAATCTGTAATACTTAGAGCGTCCTCTAAGCGGAAATCCAGTTTTGGTGGAGCACTAGGAGAGGGCCAGAAACAATCTAGTAAAGCTGAAACTGTTAGAATTAACGATCTCGACATTTCTTCTTCATTCGACGAATTCAATTTGTCCGCCTGGGATTTTCTTGAAGTAGATAAAGATTTGCTGGCCAGCGTAGAGAAGGATGCTAAAAAGGAGTCTCCTAAACGAAAGAGTATGAGTCCCCGCAAATTATCCTCTAAAAAGCAGAAAATAGGGAGCCCAGCTAAATCGCCTCTGAAATTTAAAACAATTCCCGACAAACCAGTTGAAATCAAAGTAAGACAGGTTTTATCTTTTACAGAGGATGATAAGCATAGTATCAGTAGTCTGGATACAGTGGAACCAGTACCAATGAGGGGACCAGGAGAGGTTGTTAGTTTGGCAGATGATGACATGACTCTCCCTCCTCTCCTCCCTTCTCCTCCTCACTCTCCTGCTACTACGCAACCTGACTCTCCTCTTATCACTGTGAGTAATTCAGCAGGTGAGGCTCCTTACGCCACCCCTCTCAAGAGAATAGCTACAAGACTAAACTGTGTTGAGTCACCCTCTACATCTAGCTATTCTATTGTAGATGTTTCAGGGGACCGGGGCTTGTTTGATGTTTTTGTTGAGGAACTGAGAAGTAAGTCTCAGTACTCCATATCAGTAGCGTGGGATCACGTGATGGCTCAGGAACAGTTCTCCGCCAATAATACCCTCTCTTTTGCTGAGAGTATCGGAGAGCAGCTCAACAGTGTGGAGAGTGCTCAAGTTGTAGGGATTGCTTTCTGTTGGGGTGGTATGGAAAGTTATTACGTTAGTTTAAAGGAGGATGTAGAAGAGCCTGAGTTATCAGGTTGTACTCCAATGATACATCCTGAACTATCTCTGGAGATGAGGGTCCAGACTTTATCTGATATTTTACAACAGGTCTCATTGGACACCAGCTCTATTTTAGACATGTCGTTAAACGAAAGTAGCGCATGCGAGAGTAGATATCAGAGAATAGGGTTCGATATCAGGACTCAATGGAAACTTCTAGCAACTTCCCTTGACATCTCTATAGAAGAAGATGTGAGGGACTGTAAGGTAGCGGCCTGGTTACTCGACCCTACACTTTCAAACCCTAACAGTGTGTCTCTAGTGACACAATACATCCCTGAAGTTGCTAAGAAGTGTGGGATGAGAGACAGCTGTGTTCCAGTGTTCAGTACTCCTCGAGTAAGGGCTGCTTTAGACGCCTTGTTAGCTTGGCACCTCCACTGTAAGTTAGAAGTTGAACTTAAGAATAAGAACTTGCTTGTATCTTACAAAGAAGTAGAGTGTCCCTGTATTCGTGTTCTAGCTCGTATGGAGCTAAACGGGTTTGGGTTTTCTGTTGAAGAATATGGAAATCAGAGACAGCTGATGCAGGCACATATGGAGCGGCTGGAAAAACTAGCTTATAAATTAGCCCACACTACTTTCTCCCTTTCCTCCCCTAGTGAGCTGTCAGAAGTACTGTTCAGCAAACTTCACCTGCCACCACACGATCCTAATAAACCAGCTCCTAGATGCACAGAGCGCAGGAGGAAGTTCTTCAGCACCAACAAGGAGGTGCTAACTCGCCTGTCTCCCCTCCACCCGCTACCCGCAGTAGTGCTATTATGGAGGAAGATATCCAGTGCTCTGAGCAGGACTATGTTGCCACTTCAGTCTGCCATCGTCATGTGTACAGGTCTGAAAATGAACAGGGTACACTCAATATCTGAAACTTACTCCTCTACTGGACGAGTCAGTTTTAGGGAGCCTAACGTTCAGAACATCAACAAGGAGTTTGCACTAGACTTTCCTGAACAAATCAAAGTGACAGACAGTAGCTTTACAGCAGGGAGCGCATGTTTGCGCAGTATGTTTGAAGCGTGTGATGGTTGTGTGTTAGTTGCTGCTGATTACTCTCAGTTAGAACTGAGAATATTAGGGCACATGAGCGGGGATAAGAAGTTAAGAGACCAGCTGAACAGCGGAGGAGATGTGTTTAAAGCAGTGGCAGCTGGGTGGAAACAGTGTTCTGTCTCCGATGTGACCCCCGAGCAGAGAGCTCATGCTAAGCAGATCTGTTATGGTATCTTGTATGGAATGGGGTCTGTGAGTCTGGCTAAAGAGTTGGGCTGCTCTGAGAAAGAGGCAAGGGAGTTTGTGGAGGCGTTTAAAAACAGATACCTCGGTCTGAGGAACTACATCACCAAAACAGTTAATATGTGCCAGAAGAAAGGATACGTGGAGACGATCTTACACAGAGTGCGCTTCCTACCCAACATATACAGTGATCAGCCCGGAGTGCAGGCGCAAGCGCAGCGCCAGGCAGTCAACACCACCATACAGGGATCTGCTGCTGACATTGTGAAGGTGGCCATGGTGAATATTGACAGACAACTCCTGGACAAATATCCTGACACCGCCATAACCCACTCCCAGAGACCAGACGTCGTCCTGACTGCGCAGCATCGTGCCCGGGCAGCGCCGCGTGGCGCTTACTTGGTTCTTCAGCTTCACGACGAGCTGATCTACGAGGTTAGAAATAATATGGGAATCAATTTATTTCGACATTATTGCGTGAACTATGTGAACTATCAAGTTTCTTATCATTTTCGATTGTTTTTTATTGTATTTTTTTGCTGATTGTATGCAGATCGTCAAAACTGTTTTCAGTTTCCAGATTATAATATCAACCCAAATTTCCTGGTTCTGGTAACTTGGTACATTTAAGAATGTTTAAAATTCAAGGTTTAGGGGGGTGATGCAACGTCAATTAATGTCAGTATTCCATAAAAACCCCAAACTGACATTGACATTAATTGACATTAATTGACATTAATTGACATTAATTGACATTAATTGACATTAATTGACATTAATTGACATTAATTTGTCTTGAAATTTGAGATTATCATTATTCGATTTAAATATTCAAGATATTCACGTCTATGTAAGTTAGACCGGTTCAAAAAAACAAAATGTCCTTGAATAATTATGAGTATGTTCTTATCTGTTGATCCTTAGGTTCAAAGACCACCAAACAAAATTTCAGCTTCCAACTCTTCCATCTTCGGTCCCCACCGGCCACGCCCATATTTTATTGGTTTCTTATACAGGTAAAATATCTAGAATCGGCTTTTTTAGTATGAAGGAGTAATGTTAGCTGTTTAAGATTCGTTATTCAAAAATAAATGTCATGAAGGCATTTCGTTTAATGTGGGTTTTAAGTTCTGATGATGTTGAGAACCACGCCCTTGGATGGCCACGCCCATTTAAGAAAATTAAATTTCGGAAAACTTTATTATTTTAGTTTTATTGTTTAATGATCTGAATTTTTCACATTTCACATTTCCATATGTGATAGTAGTGAATAAATTGATGATATAAACGTTCTAAAGTGCTAAAAATATGGTAGAACTACATAATCTCTGGTCGAAAAATATCGTGTCAATTAATGTCAGTATTCCAAAATTTTGCAAAACTGACATTGACATTAATTGACATTAATTGACATTAATTGACATTAATTGACATTAATTGACATTAATTGACGTTGCATTCCCCCCAGGTTTAGTTACTGTAAATTAAATAGATAATGTAAAGTTGTGTTCCTTAAATTTCACTTATTGTTCCAGGTCAACTCACAAGATTTAAAATCTGTTGCTAAGCTCATAAAAGAGGAGATGGAGAATGCTCTGATCCTGAAAGTTAAACTGCCAGTGAAATTGAAAGTGGGAAAGAGATGGGGTGAAATGGCTGATTATGAACTAAACTCCTAAATTATTTAATGAAATGTTTGATTATATAATGTTTGCTACATTCTTGAATTTTTAATCGATCGGGCACTGTTTTTAAGATAAGCATTGATAATAAGTAGTGTTTGGATATTTATTTTGTTTTGTAGTGTTGAATATTTATTTTCTCTCCATTTTCAGATATTTGTCTATCCCGCTTTACACTTGATGTGTATAAACTCATAAACATCATAAATGTATTTATAGATCAGATTTTCAAAGTTTTTAAAAGCAAGTTTTTCAATTATTTTTAATTATTTTAAAAGTTTGATGTTTGTTCCGTTCTAAATCGTGTTTTTTTTCAAAAGTGAGTCGGTAAAAATCATGAAATCCTCTTTTTATCAGAATTCGTATAACTGAACTTCTGGACCTTATTGAAACCTAATATACCTGAATTCTGGACACCCTCAAGTCATATATAATATATACTCTAATTAACACCCCTAATATGTACGTCAACTCACGCTCTGTATACCTCAGGTATCACACGTGTTCACAGTACCAATAGAAGAGTTAGTACACACACGTGCAGAGAAAAACTACACAAACCAGCGCTCCCAGCGACAGTGGGAGATGTTAGCAGATCGAGTACAAGCAGAGTCTAAAGAGCAGATCGACAGAGCTGAAACTATCAGAAGAATAAGTGTGATAGGAGATTATTGCATGCCTGTATTTCCTTCACCAATAGCTGCAGATCCTGATATTTGGGGTCTTACTGCTGTAATGACTGATCGGGTGTTATATGCTGCTTTCAAGAAACATGGCTACAAAAAACACGACTTTACTCCTGGAAAATAGGTTTTTAAATTATAGAGAGCAGAAAATGGCTTATATTTAATTATATTTGCCTGCAGTTTATTGGGGAGACGACTAACGAGTGGTGACAGGGTCGTTTAATGTACACTCTGTGTACTGAACAACCACTGAGAATAGTCAATAATCTGCAGCTCGTCTTGACATTCAGAGAATATGTAGATATTGGGGATTGTAGGTCATGATTCAAGTATCAAGATTTCTTACAATCTTATTCGTTAGTATATTCAGTAGTAACATAATTTTATTTTGATAGGAATGATCTTTAAATTGTAGATACTAATTATTTCTTAGCAGAATAATGTCATAATGTTATTGATATCCTGATTTCAGTTTTATTTTTGATTTGTAACGTTATTTAAGACATATTATTTGCCTATCAGATTAAAAAGTTACGCTAACGCTAACCGCAGATTGTGACTAATTTGAGGTTTAAAATAGCTCAACTGGTTATCCAATTATCTCCATATTGCTCGTTTTATTGCAATCATTAACATTTCTTTCAAATCAGGATGTTATTATCGTCAAGTGTTGTACGCTCGTGTCGTATCTTAGCAACACAACTATCCTCTCGTATCTTAGCAACGCAGTCGTCGTTTCACAATCCATCAGAACACAATTGTGTGATCAGATCTTTACACACCACGCCATGTAACCATGACAACGAAACTCACTTCGGTTACCAGACTATACCAGAATCAGAGAAAGAGAGCAAAGTAAAGGAGGTTTTCGAGCGAGTGGCCGACACATACGATCTAATGAACGATGCTATGTCACTCGGAGTACACCGACTTTGGAAGGATCATTTTGTTACATCAGCAGCTCCAAAACCAAACTATAAATGTCTCGATGTAGCGGGAGGGACGGGGGACATTGCCTTCAAACTTCATAATCACATGAGTAACATAAATAGGGACTGTGAGAAAATAGTTGTGTGTGATATCAACAAGGAGATGTTGAGAGTGGGTCAGGAGAGAGCCAAGGAGTCAGGAGCTGAGGATGCTTATATCTGGTTGGAAGGAAATGCGGAGCTGTTAGAACTCCCGGACAACACCTTTGATTTGTACACGATAGCGTATGGCATTAGAAACTGCACACACATTGAGAAAGTGTTAGAGGAGGCGTACAGAGTGTTGAAACCCGGCGGTAGATTTATGTGCTTGGAGTTTAGTGAGGTCAATAACCCTGTTTTATCTCAAGTTTATGAGAAGTACTCTCACGATGTCATACCAGTTTTGGGGCAAGTTATTGCAGGGGATTTTGAATCTTATCAGTATTTAGTTGAGAGTATTAGAAAGTTTCCTAATCAGGAAACGTTTGCTGAAATGATTGCTGCTGCCGGTTTTGAGATTGTCGAGTATGAAAACTTAACTTTCGGTGTAACTGCCATACATTCTGGTTATAAACTTTAAGGTTTAGTGAATTTGAATGGTCTGTAAATAATGTTTGTTTCGCCGGGTAAATATTGGACAGTGACCGAACTTGTGTAATGAAAAGTAAGGGATTGGTCATCAACTTCTACTTTAAAGTTTGTTTAGAATTTACTGTTGAGCATGAGCTTGTTCATTGCTTCTCTATTTTAAGAATATGCTTCACTTATTCCTCTTGTGTGATGTAGAACTTCCACTGTGGTATCAGTCATACTGTTTACGTTGCGCACGATAAAGTTTACTGTATATAAAGTTTAAATGCGTATGGCTAGCATTTGCAAAACCATGCTGCGCGTCGAATTGTACTGAAGTTTTGTTAATTGGCTGACTAGATTTTCAAGTAAAACCCGCCCTAACATCTTATATCTCTAGGAAGGACGAATAAGAATTCTACACTGGTCACTGTACCCCGCAAAAATCACCATGGCTCTGGACAGTGGAATATTTGTTCTGGTTTGCTCTTTATTCTTCGTATTTTTAGCTCTGCTCAAACAGAATGTTCTCGTCTTTGTTTCCCAAAATCTCGACGGCCGAAGGAATATGACTCCTCAGCAAAGAGCATTGTTTGAAGCTTATGACATTGATAATAACGGGGTTATAGATCAAGACGAATTCTTACTCATAGCATCTAATGTGCTTCCTCAAAGTGAAGACAGTGGTGACAACTTTGAACCAAATCTTGATGAGACTTACTTGAAAATACTAATTAACTTTGAGGGAAATACTGACTTTCCATCGGTGAACAAAGAGATCGAATTCAGTACCTCAACGTTTTCTTTATTTATCCCAAGTGAAGTAGTTTTAGGATTTAGTTGGGTATTATATGAAGGTTCCAGAACCGCCCCGACAGCCTACTACTCGTCCCCTGTCCGATCTGTCTTTGCCCACTATCCTCTCTACCAACTATTCAGACACATACACTGGAACGCTGTGTTTGATACCAACTACCGAGCCCCTGTCAGCTACGCGCTTGTAACCGGGATATCAGACTCCCACTTCAGAGTTAACTTTATTATAAGTGTCGAGTACCAGCTAGCCGTGCCTCTCAACAAACCCTCCTGGTTTGTTTTATGTGATCCTTGTGAGGACGGGACTTGCGATAGATCTCAGTGTGAGTTAGTTGGGGAGGCTATCTTCACACTTGACACTCAATTGTTGGAGTATTTTGTTGTACAATGTGGAGGAAGTCAGTGCAATGATCCTGGGAATAAAGTTAAAATCTCCAATCAAGGTGTTGCTTACCGATATAAAATACAACATAACAAGGTGGTGACTTTCCCTGTTAGCGAGGAAGTGGGCGTGTCCTATGAGTGGCACCAGGTTCTTGATGAGTGGGTAAAAGTACTTAAAGATTCTACTAAACCATAATGTTAATCACTGTCAAGCAAAAATACTGGCCGCTAAATTGATCTCCTATTACAACCTTACTTCAGATTACCACAAATCTATCTTTTATATTTCATCATCTTTTTATTAAAGATTGTGACTATCGCTATATTGAGGAAAATTGATTTGAGGAAAAACAATTTTGATGTTTAGGAGTAAGGTTTGCGGTTGGGGTAAACATTATGTTGAGAAAAGCAAGTTTTATGCTTTTTTGTTTATGATTAGCAATCGAATTTATAAAACTTAAGTTAAATAAAGATGATCCAGAAGCTTTAAATCATCTCAGGGCTAATCTTTCATTTCCATTGAACGTAATTTGAAATTCTGTTTAAATCTTATTTATATCTATTTGTCTTTATTTGAGTAAATGTTACTTTTTATGTTATCTTGAATCTTGATATTTTTTTTGACTCATAAATTGTTGTAATGTATCTATTCCGATTTGGTTTTCTGGTTTGAAACAGTTTGTTTCTCTGGATAGTGGATACTCATTACTCATAGGGGTCGTTCACATATTACGTAATCAGCCGAGGGGGAGGGGGCCGGGGGTTTCCAAATGATTACGCTAGTGTAATTTTCTAGACTACATTAAATATTTCTAAAAGTTAGTGAACTTTGTAACATGGTTTAAAAAGTAGATAGACTAATGCGAATAACTTGAAAGATTGTTGATCAGTTGATGTTTCACTCGTAATTCAAACCTTGTCTTGTGATATGATTTTTGTGCCATTTTATGCCATTGGCCCCCCACTATAATCAAGGGGATCATAACATTAGGCTAAATAGTCTGTGATTCATCCTGGAATCTTAATGAAATTATCCGACTAAGTTCCAAATTTAAACTAATTTGTCTGGAGTTCCAGATAAGTACATATATTAGGATGCAGTGAAACTATCAGACTACGATGAATGGGGACTTACCACCCTATGGCAACATTAAACTTTTATAAACCACGGTACTATTTAGTCAGGTATTAGTTGCAAGTACCGGGTAATAATCACCTCTCCCATGTCCGTGATATTTAGTACTTTATTTCCTCCAAGAAATTATTTATTTAGAGCTCATTTTGTCTTGGCTAGAACTATACATGGGAGGCCCCGGTTATATCAAGAGAGTCTGTCTCGGAAGGTTCTGAACCTACGATTGAGCGTCTTAAAACATTTGTTTTAGGGAAATTATAGTTGCATGTTACTTCTTATTTAATTTAGTGCGTTTAGTGATTATAATTCAGACTTTCAATTTTGGTGGGTTGACATAAATGGAAACAGCAATATAGAGGAAAATATAGAGCGACTAAAAGTATTATAATTAATGAATAAAAACCTTCTTATTAAAAAATGATTATATAACAATGGAAGTAACCTTAATTTATGCTACACTAATGAAATTGACACGGTGGAATATCTCATAACCTATTTAATGGAACTATCTTGGTCTCTGAGTCTATGTTTATGCAATCACCTTTTTAGTAGTTCCTCTCTAATGATTAATGGAGTAGGCGGGCTGGAGGATCACTCATCAGAATCTTTAACAGCTTGGCGGTCACGAATGGTCTGAAAACAATATCTTTTACTATCGCGTTAAAACAATACATAACGTAACCAATACAACTGGAAAACTCCCTTAAACCTGCACTTGTAAATATTAATATCAATTCCTACTCTATAAAACAAAACTTAATCAAATTACTATTTAAGACAACTAATATTTTATGCAGACGTTATAACTGAAATAATTACCTTTGCTGACGCGAAGGAGATCAAATAATCTAGCTGGTATCGGCAAAGGTAACACGGTCTGAGTAGAAATGTTCGTGCAATCGACCTGGAAGTGGAAACGGAAACGTAATTTTGTACAATAACAAAGTATATAATTTTTGAAAGCACGGAACTACGATGATCAAATATATTCTTAGATCTAATAATAATATGCCAAGACTAATGGAAAAGGAATTTACCTCAAGAACAAACTCGATTCGTATGATGGTCCTTTGGTACAGGCTTCAAGCGAGAGGGAGATAGGGAATCTTATCCTCGTTAGCTTACTTCTACCCGGAAACCTTGGCCGGATAGAAAGTAATCAAAGAATCGTGCAAAATACTTCTTAACAGGATTTAAGATGGTAAAACATTAAGCAATTATGAAGGATATTTTATCTAAGGTAAATGAAATATTAATCAATCGGATGTTTTACAATGTATATTCTGCTAAGCAGTTTACACTTAAGCTTAGTCACTGTTCTTTAGATTATGGAATTGGAGACTGTCCGGGAAACTGCACGATGTGTCGGGTCGGATCAACCTGGATAGAATTTACTTTCAGTGAGTGATCGTATAGAATTTAAATGGACATTGGAAACGGGAATAGACACTAGAAACAATATAAATATAAATTCACGTCAGACTCTTTTTATTTATAAGAAACAAAATACTAATTTGAACGGCTCACGTTAATTTAAGGCAAGGAACTTACTGGAATACTTATGACTGGGAAGCTTAAAGTATCCGGGTGGAACCGGTTTACTGGACTCTGTTTATAAGCACTGCTCTGAAACAAACTCATAGACTGCACTGACCCGAGAAAGACATCGGTCCTCTGATCGTTCTCCGTTATATCTTTCTGAATTTCCCTAGAATTTCCCTATTCTGCCATTCCAGCCTTTTCTCAGGGAACGGCAGTTTTGTTCATCAAGATCGGTATTGCTTAAACCTCTCCATAAGTCCATAGTAACTCATCAACCGTGTCAAATTGTCCCTTGGTTAAACACAAAAAGCTTCGTTTGTTAATTAAACGTAAGCCTCTTCTCTATTTCAGATACAATTCTTATATAAATGATCTGCTAAACTTAGAGACATATCTTTAACATAAAATCATTCAAGCACAGAATGACTGGAAATCCTGGGAATTTCCGAGGTTCATTGCATAAACTATACCGACTCTGTTACACTTACATCGCTTCTTAGATCAAGATGAATGTATATTTAATTGTAGTTGTGAAAATAGTTTTAAACTATAAATGTAAGATTTCGTATGATTAAGTGATATCTGTGTCAAGGATGCGATTAACGGGTGATACTCGTAAAATATGTGTTTCAAATATTATTCAAGACCTTCGACGAGTCTAAGACCGTCGACGAGTCCAACCCAGCGCGCGTCTTGGTAGGTTATAAGCCTACAAGGATGGGAGATTCTTATTTTGGTCGAGCTTGGTTACACAGCACTACACCTTGGCCAGCACTGCACTTGGTCCTGTCAAATTTTTCCGTCAATGCGTCGAAACCATGTTAGTTTATTTATGTTAAGAATAATTTATAATCTTTAAATTTACCTGCTTGTATAATACAACTAGGTTTTGAATCGTATTCCATAAAGTCCGTGTTACAAGTAACTACACTGCTTCCTACGTTGTAATAGCCTTCCTGGCAGAATACAGTCATAGTTGCTCCATTTTCTGCTGGGAACTCTGTATTTGTAAACACTCCAGTCCAGTCTTCAGGAAGTTTGGAACAATCTGAAACAAGACGTTGATGAAATGGCATTCGATAAAATATATTGGATTTAATATATTATCGTAGACCACACCATTAATATTTTGATTTTTGAATGGAAAATACAAATGTGTTTGAGAAGATGTTGAAATCAGGTACCTAGCTCTACCCACGTAAACTTCACTCTTTTCTGGTTACAAAAATCCGCCTCAACTACTTTATTGTTATTAATAGGATTTCCACTCCCTCCACTTGGATTCCAACATCCTTCAGAATCAGCGCTGATTTTTTTGATACTGCTTTGAGTTGTAAATTGCCATTTATCAGCAGATGTGCATTCCGTTAGAATAAGATGGTTTCTAGGTGCCTGTAAGAAAGAACTCTAAGAATAACGGATTGCATATTTACAGATGTGCAATTCTAACCGCCACTCGGCTCACGATGTCTTGTTTGTGGGCAAGGGTTTGTAAGTGTTAAATTAATGTGTTGGAGGAGAGGTCCGATTGTTTAATGTTTATGAAAGGATATTGATCATTGACGTTATTTAACTCACTTCTCCACTGCTTCTACAGCAGAGACCACTTTCGCTATGCTTTATGTATCCTTTTGAATCCATACAGAAGACAAAACTGTCTCCCTCACAATCTTCGTTGGTGACAAGATAAGTTCCAGTGGCTGTGTTGCCATTAAGAGGCTTTACACATTTACCACCGAAATGCTGTAATCGCCCACAATCTGAGAAAATTTTCATTATTTTTAGTTGAGCTTTTATGATGCATGAAACATGTTACCTGAGGACCCCAGGCTTTAATGTTGGTAATGACAGGCTGAGCGCGGCCCAGTAAGAAACATGAGGAATTAGGAAAAATATATATTATATAAATTAACAATTTCATCATCAATCATTTTCAACAAGCTTTTACTGTTTTAATGTTGTCGTACATTGCAAAACTATGACAATATAATAAGTAATATTTTCTTACCTAATGTATACATTTCCTGGATTAAAGCAGCAATGAGCAGAATAATCTCTATTCTTGAACCACGCATGACAATAAAAAGCAACCATAAATAGCAAGTGACTCAGATGAAAAATGATATTAAAGTAATATGTTGTCCCACCTTAACGGTTTATTTCTCATAAACACGTGCCCTCTCGCTAGTCCTCCCTTTCCACGTGCATTCCCAACACGATATAATTACTAAGTTTTAGTTGCTCTTAAGTCCTATAATAAGCTCTCAGACTCAGAGCAGGAGGAGGCTGGAGGAGTCTTTACTCGTTATTATACAGGTTATAATATTAGAGGGTATATTAGAGACAACCATCACTTAACCAACAGCCGTAGTTGAGATTTGGGACTAATGAAATAACGTAATTCTATTTTTATAACCTTAAAACAATTATTTATAATTGTGATAATATAAGACATAACATTGTATCACCGGCCTTCATTTCAACCTAATAAAACTAAAATTCCAGATAGAGCCGAACCTGCCGCACACAATCCTCTCCACCCCGACCAGCCAGAGACAACCATCACTTAGTCTTAACCAACAGCCGTAGTTGAGATTTGGGACTAATGAAATAACGCAATTCTATTTTTATAACCTCAAACCAATTATTTATAATTGTGATAATATAAGAGTCAAGACATAAAATCATATCACCGGCCTTCGTTTCAACCTAATATTAAACTATAATCTCAGATAGAGCCGAACCTGGCGCACACCATCCTCTCCACCCTGACCAGCCAGCAAACAGTGGTGAGTCACTGTGCCGGACTCTACTAGTACTACGGCTCTTACTATTACTAATTCGCTCGCCCAAAAATTTCACGTGACTTTGGTTTTTATGGTTTTGCAGCCGTACAAAACGGTTTTACATAAACCCTAATCCCAACCCTAACCCTAACCATAACCCCGAAGCTAACCATAACCCTTCTACAACCCTAACCCTTACCCGAGCCCTAAACAATCGAATTCGTATTTTACCAGCCTGTCACGTGACCAAAAGGGTTTTTACCCATAACTCTCCAAGGAAGCATTTTTACCCTACGTCATGGGGGGTGATTCGGAATCAGCGTCCAAAAATACACCGATTTAGATCACTGTCATGCCCAAAGGGCCTTTTCACAAGAATTTTCTTAAAATTTGGGCGAGCGATTTAGTAGGAGCGCTCTACTACACACTCTACAAACACGATGAGACGGACAAGTCCCAGGAGACTTGGCTAGCTCCCATTACGGAGCATTTTGATAACCCCTTCCTTTGTGATCTGTGTGAGTGTCTCAGACCTTTACTGGAGTTTTGTGAGGGGGGGGGGGAGGGGGTTTAAGTTTTACTTTTTATTTAATTTAATAGTATGATTTTTAATTTTAGTGTTTATGCTGGTTTACTATGGCAAAATTCATGGCATAAAATGGCATAAATGGAGAATAGCCAAGCCAAAGACGCTCCTACTAAATCGCTCGCCCAAATTTTAAGAAAATTCTTGTGAAAAGGCCCTTTGGGCATGAAAGTGATCGGAATCGGTGTATTTTTGGACGCTGATTCCGAATCACCCCCCATGACGTAGGGTTAAAATGCTTGCCTGGAGAGTTCTGGGCAAAAAACCATTTTGGTCACGTGACAGGCTAGTAAAATACGAATTCGATTGTTTAGGGCTCTCGTGTTAGGGTTAGGGTTCACCTAACCATGTGCTTTCGCGCCGCTGCGGGCGCGCTTGTTTCACAAGTCAAGAAAAGGCCTCTGGATAGAGCAAGGGTTAGGGTTGTGGTAAGGGTTATGTGTTATGGTTAGCTTCGGGGTTATGGTTGGGGTTAGGGTTGGGATAAGGGTTTATGTAAAACCGTTTTGTACGGCTGCAAAACCATAAAAACCAAAGTCACGTGAAATTTTTGGGTGAGCAAATTAGTAAGAGCCAGAAAAAGAACACAAAAAAAAATTTTTGCCCTTTTATTGTATCATATTTCGTCATTTCGACCTTCAAAAATTTTCCAGCTCGATTTCGAACACAAACTCAAAGGTCCCCCGGCCTTGTATAAATTTTGTAAAAATTGTAAAATAATTTGTTTTTCAAATATCATAATTTTGGTACTAAACTTGCTCTATCCAGAGCCCTTGCGCTTGCAGTAGCGCGCGCCCGCCTCACGGCGGTAAAAAGGGCTCTAGCCATGAACACACCCAACGATTTCGGCACCACTGTACAGTGGTGCCAAAATTACCCGCGCTTTTGTCCTCATATCCGACGCCGCGCGTGTCGTTTTAGTCATTTCACCATTTGTTAGCCGCTTTGAATAATTTGTGTTCGACGAATTTCTCGTTGGATAAGATTTGAGATTAATATTATCAAATTTTCAGAATGCTCAGTTAGTTGTATAGTACTGTATTGTTTCCTTACACTGCCGAACGCCCACGATTCTCGAAACTCACACTTTTTATTCGTGTTAAATTCTTTTGTGTTAAGTTATAGATACCATACTCCAAAAGATTTTAAACTGAGCTACCACCTTTGTCCTTGGTCATTGCATCTCATATTTTTAGGGTTGCCAAGATATGATTGTTTTCAATAGCATTTTGTACTGCTTACTTTACGTTTCATTGACTGTGACCACGTAGTCTAATTAAATAACTACTTCGTCCTCACTTCAATAAATTATATCAGTTTCAGCTACAATATGTCCATAATTATCCACCTACACAATGACCATGTTCTTCCTGCTGGCACTTATTTTGGTCCGAACATCCTGTGGTAAGTTAATTTAATTTTGTAAAGAAAAAACTGGCTAGTGTGTCGATAGAAATTCACCGATGAAGTTTGATGTTTGATTATCTTACCGAATAAAATATCTTATTGATTGAACAGTAGTACAATGAATACGCTGTACATATTAGTTTTGTCTTAACAGAACGAATATATCGCAGTTACTTCTTCTTGGGTCCTTTCAAGGTGACAGTCTCTCCGGCAAGCTTTTCACTCTTGTCCTAGCAGGAGCTCTTATAGAACTACGCCATCGACTAGCAGAGTCTCCCCCACACATACCCAATCCCCCTATTTCAAAAGAAGGTATGCCACTGGAGTCAGCGTATTCAGATGATTGTAACTTCATGAACGTGGAAAAAGAATCCTGAGAAGCTATCCTACCAATAGCTAAGGAAGTCTTCAAGGAGTTTAACCTGTTCATTAACACAGAGAAAACAGAATTTACCCATGTTTTCCTCGCTCCTGTTGGAGAAAAAAGAAGAAAGAATTTGTTCAAGATTATTGTGAATGATTTGACCCGTAGAGGTTTAAAACTTAACTCTTTGAATGATCTTAATAAGCTTAAGATATTAGCCGATGATAGAGTTGCTTGGAGAAACAAATTTTAATTCTAGCTGTCTTGATCTGTACTGATCACCATTTTAGGATGACTTGATTTCTTTTAGGGGGTTTGAATATTTTAATGGTGTAAACAGTTTCTTAATAATAATATGTTATTTCTTCTGTCAGTGAGTTGGTGTTAAAAGAGCCAAACTTTGAAGGAACGTGTGCCAGGTAGAAAACACCAGGTAGAAAAGACCGAACACTCTCCTGAGTCCTGTAAACAGAAAGCATGGTACGTTGTATTTTAATAACTTTGTTCTTATTTTAATTAGGTATATTTGATGGCCTGGAAGTGCTAGGAATTGTTATTATATCATATAGTCTTAAGGAATTAAAACACAGAAGGCACAAACAAGTTTACTTTGTTACATAATCTTGATGATATCTGAACATGTGTGAAATTGAACAAATAATGATATACCAGGGGTTACGTAGGGCATAAATAAGCATAAATAAGTTACACGCCTTTCTGTGTGACTTCAATCTCAAATCTTATCTCAGGTGTATCTCGATTCATGGTTATCGTATGCTAACCATGAACCATAATCATTTTTTGCAATCTGTCTTGCAATCTGTCTTAAAATAGCCCCTCAGCTCTATTCGTTTTAGGTTTCCTATGTTTGCCAGTACCGTAAACTGTATTAGATATTCTTAAATTAGTAATTTAGTCTGTTACGTTTTGTAACAGAAACATTTACAGTGTATTAAATTGTATTTTTAACTACATTAAATGTACTTTTTCAGGAACTAGTCAAAGTGAGCCCTGTAGCGACGAACCTGTTTCTTCGGATAGCGAAGTGTAATGTCGAGTACTTCATCTGAGAATGGTTTCCCGTTTTATAAAGAAAATATTACCTTTGAAGCGGTCTCGAACTTCCTACTCTCCCTCCTCTCGTCAGCTAGACAGTGTCCTATTATTTCTCTTGTGTTAATTTTGTGATAAATTCTTTCATGAGACCATCTGAGTTTTTGTCTTTCTTAGTAGTAGACGCCACCGAGAATGAAGACTATTTAGTAGCGGGGTAATGAATTTTTGTCTCATATAAATATAAGTAACATAGTAGTAGATATTTGTTTATTGATATAATTTGATCGTGAATTTTGATTGTTTGTATTATTATACCACAATCCTTTTATTTTATTCGTTTAATAGTGAAAACCACAAAATTAAAATGAACATGAGGCATTTATCATAGCCTCCGATTAAAGTATTCGATCATCACACCACGTACGTCACCTGAGCTATAGGGCCTGTCGTGATATTTGAATCGCTTATGTAGACCTCATAATTATGCGGCCTCTATATCTATTCTATGTATGTATGTATATCGTCATCTCGCACACCTCTTTACGAATCTTCTGAATTTGGCATGTACAAATTTGTAGCCTTCCAGACATTGATAGCGTAAACGAGGTGTCGTACGTCACCTCAAGATCGGGTGACAAGGGGCTGACCATACCCGAACCTAATTGATTGGGTCTGAGGTCACGTGACTATGACTTCACCAGACCTTGTCCTCCGTTTCCCGCTCATTGGACCAAAGCTTGCATGCTTGTGAATGTAGGTGTAAGTACAGCTGTACTGTAGTTTAAACCTAATTAACCCCTATACACTATAGAAAACCGAAAATTTATTTCTGGCAGAAAGCTAGAAATTTACCAAATTTATTGACATTGTTATAGCATATAGCCCTTGTGTCAGCCCTACTGAAAAGACCTGAAAAGTGGTTACTGGAGGGACAGGACTATCTGCGCTACATAGACACTGTTGTCAGCACTGCGCGCGCGCGCACGAACCTTCCCATCGGTGTTCGTGGATAGGTGCTTTTCTTGACTTGTGAAACAAGCGCGCCCGCAGCGGCGCGAAAGCACATGGTTAGGTGAAGTACTAAACTTTTTGTAGATTTATAACCTACCAGGACGCGCGCCGAGTTGGACTCGTCGACGGTAATTCTGGAACATATGGAACAGATATTTTACGAGTATCACCCGTTAACGTAGCACGTGCGCTACTTCTTAGCACGTGCGCTACTTCGAAGAAATTTATACGAGTAACTGTAACATCTGTCAAAATCACTTTTGAGGTTACTTATGCTTTTGTGCTTTTTACGTAGTTTTTGAGTTTGTTGGTTTGATTGACGATTTCAACCCATCGGGATCGTTGCTCTGCGAAGCAGAGCTAAGAGCAACGATCGACGACGATGCGAAGCAAGAATGCTAGTTCGCGCGGCGCGTCGAAGCGGCGAAGTCCTCCAATTTGTTGGTATATTTAAAAAGTATTCCGTGAAGTGCAGATTTATATAAATTATAAGCGCATATAGTGATTTTAAATACTTAATAAATTGTTGTATCACGTTGCGACCCCCACGATCGTTTCACTATGTGATCGTCCTGACGATACGAGGGGTGGGTCATACAACGTATGACAAATAAATTGCATACGATTTGATCTTACCTGAGGACCCCAGGCTTTAATGTTGGTAATAGAGATTAGGCGGAATGACAGGCTGAGCGCGGCCCAGTAAATTTGATCTCGATTCATGTGTATCACGTTGTGACCCTCACTGTCGATTCACTTGACGGATGTTACTCGTCTAAATTTCTTCGAAGTAGCACGCGCCGCTTTCTTCTCAAAATGTTATGGCCCGATGGCAAGTGCTACGAAGTAGCGCGCTGGGCCAGATCATTAAGTCATTAACAATGGTCAATCGATTCACTAGCTATTGTGGCGAACGCCACGATACAGCCGCGCACTACAACTGACAGCGTGTGACAAACATGTGCGATGATGTGATGTCATTATTTTTACTTTATTTTACTCTACTTTACAAACTGAATTTCTCCAGTGTCGACTAGCCAACTAGAAAATTTAGAAACCGATTAATTTCAATAGTTTTATATATGGTATCTTGGTGCAGCTGAGCTAAAGCAGAAGAATGTATATGGGACTTAACTATTTTGGACAGTTTTTAATATTGGTAATGTTAATGAATTGTAATTGATCGATATGTAATATTTAGGCCCGTGGCCAGTTTTCACATATTATATGGGATCTAACACATCCTGAACTAATATAACCCAAGGGCAGATAAAAATACTGATTCAATGATTAAAATTATAGCTGTGAGTGTCAATAAATTACTGTGTCATGAAAAAGGAACGATGTACACGTGATCTGAGATACCAATATCTCAATATCAAAAGGATAGTGTTTAGAAACATTCATAGTCCATGGTGGCAGGTATCAAGTTAAACGAAGTTACACTGACTGGCAATGTATACGATTGCCGTCTCCCTCTCTCACCCCTGACCGCTATCAGGGTGCTCCTGAGGATTGAGAATCTAATCCTAGTGCGCATGTAACACATAGCTGCATAGTCTTCTCCTCTCTTCTGGGATAGTCTTTCAGCGAGTCTCTTGTGGTATAAGTGAGGTAAAGGTGCCTTTTTCCACCTGGATGATTCTGTTGTTGTACTTTTTCATTTTCCTCATTTCATGAGCTTTATAGATCTGTTCCATATCTTTTTTGTCATATGTGGGTGAGTTGGGGTGGGTAACACAGACATCAAAGAATGTTCGATCAAATGTGCTCCAGAGACCTCGTGAGGATACATCAGGTGCAGCTCTATCAGCATTGGTACCAACAATTTCTTCATTATCAAGGGGTATCAATGCTAGCTCAGTCACTACATCTCTGCATACTTCACGCTGCAGCTCTGCATTTAGATCGCGGGTGTTGTTGTGTCTCATAGAAACATAGCCACCTTTCTTGCATATAACTGTGTGATTCACATTATCTCTCTCTCTCCACAAGAACAGTGAAATGGGGTGTTAGGGATCTCCCAACCATAGCGCAAGTACAGAGCATCACGGAACTCAATCTTGTTCAGGGAGTAGCCAAATCTCTTCAATGGAAGTGCAGTAAGCCAACATTCTGAACCTTTCTCTTTGATGAACTGGAGAGATCTCTTTAGGTTGGGATCTCTTACACTGTCCTCTATTGATTTGCTAACCGTAAATAAGTGTTTCTCCTTGATTGCCTTGAGACTTTTTATAGTGTCATTTTGAATTGACATGTTGTAATGTTCAAGGGTGTTTTGCTGGTTGATAATCAGGTCTGTGAGGTCTTTTGTGATGGTGACTGAGGCTGTGAATTCTCTATTGCAGTTTTCAACTGGGTTGGAGATACCTAGGCCACCATGTCTGACCGGCAATGCAAATATGGAGCGGTCCAAGTCTGATACGTTCTTACCCAAGATTGCTGGAATAAAATCTGTTCTGATGCAATCCTCCAATGGTTGAAACAAGTGACTTATACCCGGGATGGTCCTCTGAATGAACGTCCACCGGTGACAAATTCCCTTAGTATATATGCAGTCAAAGCAGCTTGGGGCTCCTCAACAGCAATTGATGACAACAGCTTGATGTCCTGACAAAATTTAAGGACTTTGTCTGAGACATATTTGTTCTTAAAAGCCTTGTTGCCAATAGCTGAGAATTTATTGGATTGAAGCAAAATTACACATCTGTGTAATAAAGTAAAGTAAAGATTCAGAATCTTTCTAGGATATCCCTTCAGTACATCTAAATTGTGGTGTATTGTAAACATAGCACTGTACTTAACTATATATGCTATGTCCCAATGTATTTGTTTCGGGATGTCTATCGGACCAATAAAGCAGTCAAGCTTCATGCAGTGGCGCTGGCATAATCTCATCATTTGGTGCTCTGGCACTGCTAAAATTTATTTGCACCCCTACAAATATTTCTTAGATCTTTAAAAAAGGTCTGTTTGGGCACCTCTACAGCATATTAGTGCCACTGGAGCTTTTTGCACCCCAGATATTGTTTTGCGTCCATTGAACGTTAAGTTGGCCGGGATTTCTGTAAAAAACGCCTACAATTCAGGGAATAAGTGCCACCTCTTATGGGGCTCTGGCCCTGCACAGCATGGTCTGGGGCCTGGGGGCCACCTGTTACGCCACAGGCTTGATGTCCTAAAGGAAGAAATTTTTTGAACAATTATATACATATAATTTCAACAATGGTAATTTTCTAGCTATAAGATTAGACACCCTTTATCTGCTCTTCTCATGAGTTTGGTACATATATGCTACTGGCTTGTAGGTACTTCCACAATGGAAGACCTCAAATCGACTAATTCTCGGAAGAGAATTAACATAATCAAATAAACAGACATGAATTTGTATTATATATAAGGATGTCATTGCCCAGTGCTTGCTCAAAGGGCTGATAATTAGTTAAATTATTAGCTATTTTAGATTTAACAATAATATTATTATTATTTAGATTTAAATTCACATGTGTAAATTAAAATTAAAAAAGCTACTCATCAGGCCTAAGTAGGAGTCCCTGACAAAATCTAGTGAATTAAGTTGGCTGTGTAAGTAGGCTCACTTTGTAATTATATAATACACTTGGGAAGGGGTAACTAATTTTTGCCCCCTGCCCCAGTATAACTTAATGATGTCATCATTTTAGATATTCAAGAATATAATTGATATATCAATTTATATGTAATGTTTAGGTTAAATTGAAAACTAATTGCTGTGACTGACCTTGGTAGATTTTTGCTCATGGGTGTGTGAGAATGGCAGGGAACTGACAGCAATATAATAGCCAGGATTTGCCTGCCCCAATAGTCCCTGTAAACAAAACACTAAAAACTTAGGATGGTTCAGTGAAGTTTTCAATCAGTGATGCCTCACTTTGGGCCTGTTCATTCTTGGTCACCAAAAACGGTTTCTAAATGGATTTTAGGTTAGTAGTTATGATTTCAGGTTTTTTACTGTATACTTGACACACCCATTTGTATTCTTTATTCGTGTTCTTTATACTAACATTCTAGTAATTTTCTGGAACAATATTACTGCTTTATGTTCGATAAGCTTGATAAGCTAAAACTTGCGCAGGGTTGCACCCCTTGGCTAGACAGCATGCTGGAATACTCTCCCAACACCATGTTACTGGGCAAGATCTTCTCACTCTCACATGGGCCGCTCTTGATGGCATGAAGGTAAGTGTTCATAAATACCATTCCTCCCTAAAATTTAATATTTTGAGGAGAAACTGGCAAATTATTATAATTTAAGTTATTGAAATTGAATATAATGCTCCAAAGGCCGGGATAAAGTTGTGATTGATAGCAGTGAGATGCTTTTAGAATGATTAACTTCAATATAAAATTGAAACTGTTTGCACTATTTAAACGGAAACTTTTTCTATGTATCTTAAAACATGTCCCATGATGTCGTCACCAATCTTAAAGAATAACAAACAGGGTACTGTTATAGATTTGTCCTGAAATTTGTAACACAGATTCAGGAGCATCATAGTATGTTAGCGTTAAATCTTAACACTGTTCACTTGATTAGTATTTCGGGGCACTCTCAAGTCTCAACTAAGGAAATCTGTCTACTGGCAGGAAAGTCAAACATGCACACAATATCGACAGATCATTTCAATATTTAAATTTAAATATCGCGATTTGCAAACTGATCGATGAACACGCCAAGATATCAATTATAAACTTTATCTCCCTGTTTTAAATTATTATAATTCCCAAATAGAGCAAAACAAGTTTATATAATCTCCCTGTCACGCTGTATCTTCCTCAGATCGCGGGTATGTACGACCAAGAAGCTCTCCTCTCAGCAGTTTCAATCCTACGTGATGTTGTGAGTATTTGTTCTACTCACGTATCTTCAGTGCGCACATGTGTATATAATACCGCACGTATTGTTCTCCTAAATGTTATAATCACTTTACAATCGACAACCGAAGTCTTGTTTGTTCTTCTTAATCACTGTCACGTGGTGTGTCGTGTGATCAGTTTTGTCTGATTATGCTTGTTATCGCTTCCTCTGACGCCGTGCTTTGCCGTACACTCATACACTTGTCTACACGTTTCCTCTGACTTGCTCACATAATTAAACCTTATTTTGTTCTATTTTAAAGATTTTCAAGTGTCAACAAACTGTGGGATGAAATATATACACAACAATTGCATAACAATATTACATATAATATGTCATTCTATACATCTTCATTAGTAGATTCTTACCTCGAGAAACACTGTAATTTTAAACTTTTTCCTTTTTGCACACCATTTCCAATTTATCTCTCTTTTTACTCATATTTCTAATTTCAGGACCGATCAAACAAGAACTACCTTCTCTACCCGCTAGCAGACAGAACTCTCTCAAGCGCCTTGGAAGCGTTAGATCACATTTCTTACCTCAAAATGTGAGCATAACTATTACAAGTATTACCTCATTTTCTGTTACAATCACTGGGTCACGTGTTTCTAACGGTAGCTGTGACGAACTTGCCACATAAAAAGTGTTAAAAGCTTCTCAAAGTAATGTTTTGTGTGTTGTGACGTGTTAGACCAGTGTTGTCGTAATAACACTGAGTTAAAGAACCAGAAGTCGCAGTATCAGAGGACATCAGCTGAAGGTTGAATAAATTACTGTACGTGCTTTTTAGGGCACGGAAATTGTTGGCTGATAAGAATTTACTAGTACCAAGTTAAATACATAAGGTTTCCAGACCCTTTAACGGAATGTTAACAGCGTACTAACAGACTAGAATCAAGTTTCACAGGAAATTATCACAAACCGTCAACATTATCTCAGACTTTGATAAACGTTTTGCTGTGGTAATCCAGATAGGGCTTTATATGGGTTATCTTTAAACGTGCTGTAAAAATGTCATTATGTACATCATGTTATATTATGTGTAGTCATAATGTGCATCATGTTTAAATATCATGTGTAGTCATAATGTACATCATGTTATACAGGGTGGCCCATAAGTGACTACCCACACGCAACCTCTTAATAACTCACGTAATTCGTCTCCAAATTGCACCAAAATTTCAGAGATTATAGATATGGGTCAAACTTAGATTTCCTGAAAGTTTCGTAAGCCACGCCCAATTACAGTGGGCGTGGCGTGACACTCCCTCTTTTTCACTATTGTCTTCATAAAATGAGAACGCTTTAAGCTAAGAACTCAAACTTTTTTTGCACACATTTGGCTTGATAATTGAAAACTTTTCCCAAATTTTCAAGTTCATTGGTTAAAATATGGCTAAGTTATGACCATTTCAAAACTCATCGGATACGTGATCCGAGCACTCAGTCAGTGATCTCGTCACTTGGTTAATGGCCTGTTTGGCTCACATGCACCGCTTGATTGGTTGCAGCCTGCTTATGGGCCGGCCTATACAGCTGACAGCACCTAAAACGCTATCACACGAATTTATGGTGGTGTCACCATTTCAGGGCTTGTTAGCCCTGCTAGTCACAGGTTCCTTACAATCAATAAAAAGGAATGAACCATCCATTGAATCATCGAAAATGGTTCACTATCCTCCCTTTACTGCAGAACAACGATTGTTCGTCTACCTGAAGAAAGAAAATGGGGTGTTCTACCCTTAGATTAAACGACAATTTCAGATGAAATTCAACCGACCACCCCCTTGCCGGAAAAGCTGCTTTGACATTCATCACAAGATCAAGTTTACGTTTTCTGCACACGATCGGCGAAGAGTCGGCAGAAGACGAACTTCGAGGACTGCAGAAAACATCACGATGGTTGTTGGTGACGTGATGGATACACCTAAAATTGGCACCCGAAAACGAGCTCCTGCCTTAGACCTCAGCAGAACAACCCTTCAGCGAATCCTAAAGCAAGACCTTTCTAACCGGGCCTATCGGATCACAAAGAAACACCAACTTTTAGACCGTGATTTCCAATTGAGGATAGATTTCGCCAACACATTCCTGTCGAAGCAGAATGTGGATCCCTACTTTGAGGTTGATTTTATTTATTGATTTATCCTAAAAATTTGTGTTTTCCTTTCTAGCAAAGTCATCATCGGTATCCAATCAAAGCCTAATGAACCTCATTAATACACGCTAACGCCTTACTCTTGATCAGATTGGGTGACGAGATCACTAATTGAGTGCAAATATCACTGACTGAGTGCTCGGATCACATATCCGATGGATTTTAAAATGGTCATAACTCAGCCATATTTTAACCAATGAACTTGAAACTTTTGGAAAAGTTTTCAATTATCAAGCCAAATGTGTGCAAAAAAGTTTGAGTTCTTAGCTTAAAGCGTTCTCATTTTATGAAGACAATAGTGAAAAAGAGGGAGTGTCACGCCACGCCCACTGTAATTGGGCGTGGCTTACGAAACTTTCAGGAAATCTAAGTTTGACCCATATCTATAATCTCTGAAATTTTGGTGCAATTTGGAGACGAATTACGTGAGTTATTAAGAGGTTGCGTGTGGGTAGTCACTTATGGGCCACCCTGTATTATGTGTAGTCATAATGTGCATCATGTTATATTATGTGTAGTCATAATGTACATCATGTTATATCATGTGTACTGTGTACATCATGTTATATTATGTGTAGTCATAATGTAAATCATGTTATATTATGTGTAGTCATAATGTACATCATGTTATATCATGTGTAGTCATAATGTACATCATGTTATATTATGTGTACGTGTAGTCATAATGTTTAATACGTTCAATGGTATGTAGGGTTTTATGACACTTAACATGGAACCAAACTTCTGTTATGAACTCATTGATTTGATTACACTTGTTCATTTTCTTGTTCCTTTTCCGTATTTAAATCAATATAATAATCATCTAATCAACTAATTTCTCGCAGGGAAAAGAGAGATCTGGAGAGAAAGCAGGAGCTGTACATGAGCTGTATAAACTGTGGCAATCTGACTAGAACTATTCTCCTTCATATGGACAAGTTAGTGGATCTTCTGGTTGCTTGATATTATAATATATAAAAAAGTGGGAAGTAACCCCGAACACGTACATGCCATGCGGTAGGATGGCTGTTGGGCTACTACTCTTATTACTGATTAATACTGATTACTGATTACGTCTTGTATATCATATTTGTACTGATCAAATGGATCATGTACATAAATTATGTATTTGTACTAAAAATTGCAACTATCTGTGACCCGTTCAATCATAGATAAGAGATTAATTTAGACATCCACTTTTAGGAGCCGATAGTAATTTTAGTCTTTTGTCTCCAACCTCAGTGATACAGATTTGATGTGTTGGTGTAATATATTATGTGAATAATGTATAGAATGTACAGTTCCAGTGGGCGTATCGGAGATGTTATATTACACATGTGACACTATGATATGCTAATATTGATCAGAAGTAAAAATAGCGCTTACTTAGCGCTTGGTAAAGGAGACCGACACTTGGACCCCGTATTGAAGTGCAAACACTGTATGTATTTAATGGATCCAGTCGACACATAAAGATTGTCTCTAATTCTGGTGGTTCGGAATCGGATTTCATTGGAATGATCTAAGTTCCTGTTTCTATTTGGTCATTCTGTGACACGAGATAAAGAATTCACATGTTCCGCTGATGTGGTATTACCAGGAGTGATTCTCAGCATTTATTTGGAATGTTCCAATTTACCGAATACCGGCCCTCGCTGGATTGCAAATTTATATTTTCAATATTAATGGGCCAGCGACTTTGGCTCTGGCGATCACAGAAATATGGAGTATTTTTCTATTATACTACATTTGGGCAGTGGCCGTCTGAAACCAATATCGGGTCTTCAGTTGCTGTAGTGTACACATACATCATGCATGTCTGATCAGTAGACACATTTGGGTGCAACTGTTAATAATCTACTCAAGATATTATTTACAATTTTAGGATGCTAAAGTTTTCCTCAGTTTTGTAAGATGACGTCTTGTACTGAGTATCTGAGCAGAACGTTAGATCATGATACAAACTTTACTTTTTCCCACAAGTCACAGTATTGGCTAATCAGGCGTTCTGTGAACCAGAACTTTCCCTTATCTAGTCTTATCTTAAAAACTGCGGAAATGAGTTACCAGCATCTGTAGAAGTGGGCTCATTCTTTATTATCCTGATTTCCTGTTTAGAATGGAGTAACAAAGCCAACGTGCGGCTGCTCTGAAAAGTAGGATTATAAAGATGCGATAGTTCTAGAAGAGTACTTTTAATCTATTTTAACTGATGAAAGCAGCTTGTCACTTAAGAATGCAAAAAATTCCAACATTTCCGCACGTTTAAATTCTTCAAATTAAATCCATTAAATCTTAAAGTAAGGAGGCCTTGCAAGTCGTCTCATCGCTGATATAACTGATATAAGGTGACCAATCTCTGTTTCATGAAAAATGGTTGGTTTTCTAATAGCATTAAAAAATTCAGTATCTCACCATAAAAATAAGGTAGCCATTCTGTCTGGTCACTGATAATACCCCCTCGCTAAAATAAAAGCTTCCTTGCAGTACATTAGAGACAATACATACGAATTATTATAACAATATTGAAAACAAGTTGTGCAAGGAATGTGACTTAGCGAGATTGTGATAATGACTACTCGTAGTTAGGAGTGCAGTGTGGAATGTGATTATAATATGCTAGCGTAGCACTCTTAGACAATTGTTTTACAATGGCAACACTGGTGGGTCACACTATTTGAAACACGTACCTTTTACATCAACCCAGTTTTATCACCGATATTGGACTCTGATAAAATGGTGAATTTCATAGAACAATGAATAAAGTATATTATTAGCCAAGTCAGAGGTTTGGTTTTTTGGCGGGCAGCCAAATCTAATTTAATTTCATGGTGTCCCGATAATGGGTATTGGGTGCTGGTTTATTTGTACCATCCTTATTTCTTATCTTCTTCTTTAAGCATCTGTTCGAGTAACTCGATCAATATTTTCCCATTTAAAATACTGTAGAATTGTGGTACAGGCTGGTTATAAGGCTTGTCAGTATGATCGTTCAAAGAATTCGTACTATTTACAACTATATCTCCATCACAAGCAGATCATATCTCAGTGACTCTTGTGCTGTCTACAAGTAGAAAATAGAGCGCACTGCTCCCTGAAAGGAATGTTCCCTGGCAGGAATGTTTCCAATTAGTACAGGCGCTATGATCACAATGATTGTAATGTAGTGCTCTCTGGCCACAGAAAGAAGACACACCTGCAGCACTGTATCTAGATATAGCAGTGACAAGTTAGCATGCTGCAGACACACAGCTCCACACATAACACCTGTAATATCAGCTGCAGACTACCAGGGATACTATCTACACCTCATAATATCTCGTGCAGTTATACGGGGCTAGTGTTGTGTATAAGACGGGGAGGGAGCGGGTCTGTGTGTCTAATAAAACGTGCCCTCACGCGCTTTTATAATAGAGAGGGTGGGATAATTGGTGATAAACATCCTGACATGTTGACATGCTGATCATATCCAGGAGTTGAAAGATGTTCTGTATTGCGGAAATAACAAAAGAGATATTGGTCTCTAGCTCGTATCTTCTTGTTTAAGGTAGTGATGATTAACCCTTGAAAATATTGCATTATAATTTAGACTGAGACTCGTGTAAGTAAGTAAAGGCTGGAGTTTACTGTAGCCTGGCATATAATATACTATATTATCTCACCCTTACCCTCTAGCCTGAAATATAATATACTATATCTCACCCTTACCGTGTAGTCTTACACAGTTTCACACACATCACACATGACACATATAATATGATAAAGTATATAGTATATAATAATATGTAGTAATATACTACAATATAAGACTATATCCCACTACCTCAGGTATCACATTGTGTACGGAGAGAAGAGTAAGATGGCACACCAGCTCCTCTGTAGTCTGTACACAGTAACTCAAGCAGCTCAACAACTCAGACTGGGCCTCAAAGCTGCTGGAATCAACATGCCTGACATCCCACAGGTTTGTTCGTTTGACTGTTTGTTCGTTTGTAAAACATTTGAAATGTGCATGTTTTGGTTGTAGTCAGTATGTTTATTTCACTGCCTGGTTGCACGTCTAGAAGTGCTGTGTTCATTATCCTACTTATTTGCTGGACAATGTGGCTTGTTTCTATTTTGGTATCTGTACTGGCACAATGTCTAAATAAAAGGCAAACAATGATATTGATTTGATTATTAACAAATCAATGTTTCGATCTGTTGCCAACTAATTATCTTTTCTACTTCAACAGAAAATTGATATTTTGATATCCTGTGAATAGGAATCCATTGGCAGCACTAACTATGATAACTATTTATTATACAATTTCAACATTGCCAACTCACAAATCACGACATAATTCACTATAATTCACTTAATTATCAATAATATGATAACACAAGACAAATAGTCTACCTTGAAACTTCTGGAGAATAAAATTTAGTGTTCGTCGGAAATAATTACATTTTTGCAACCTCGCCCCTTAGTTTCATCTAATTTCAAATTCTTCAAATTCTCGGTAAAAGTTGAAAAATCACATACAATTTACAAACTTACTTGTACCTGACAGAGAAGAAGAGTCTAATTTAGAGCAATTATCTGATCTCCCTAAAGTTGGGGGTGAGTAGGTGCTGTTTAAACCACGTGACACACCACGTGATCCCGGCTCCACATCACAACACACTCCCCTGAGGATTAAGAGAGATTGTAGCAATGTCTCCCTGTCAACACTCCAGTCCCGGGTCCAGAGCTCAGTAGTTATCTCATTGTATCGGGATTCAGGTGTCGAACATTCACTGTCCGGATTCAGGGGTGTCAATCACACTTCTAGCAATACTCCCGAGCTCTCAGATTGTAGTCAAATTATTTGACTGTCAAATAGTCAAATAGTTGTGCTGTACTGACTATCAAATCCCAAGCCAATATGATATGGCGACGGTAGTCTCATTGAAAAGGGTAAGGATTCAAAACATGTAAAACATGTATTTTGCTAAGGATGATCTCATTGCTAGTCTGCTGAAGCTGCATTTAACTTAGCTGACAGTTTTATTAAACCATTACCTCATAGGTGCCAGGGAGTGAGGGAGTACCAGCTTTTATACGGCCTACAAACTCCCAGCTCGTCATACCTCCCATACCTTTAGCTACTTCGGGCGAAGGCTCATTCCTGTCTTATCATGACAACTCAAATGAGGTCCGAGTTTAGGTCTTAAGTTTAAGTGCACGACCTTGACCTAATGGCTTATACTGGTTACGTTTTCCAAAACACCAATCCTAGTTAGGTAATTTGTGTCAAATTGGGGCACAGTAAAGTAGGCTTGTTAAACTGAACACGTGCTATTGAGTAGATCTGTTTAACTCTGTATCTTGATAAATCTACCTTGGAAGTGTATGTTAAGCCGGTGGTTTCCTTCTATTATAATCTAATCACTGACAGTACGATGAACAATGATCATCATGTTTTGTAAATTAGCTCTTGCGTCTGTGCCTGTGCATGTTATTCTAAACTTTTCTCAACATTACTCCACTTAACGTTAATTAGCCGCCTAATTGCTCTGCTAACTGTGAGTCTAGATTGTGCTATTATACCCGTGTAGGTATGTCAGGTATGTATAACAATGTTGTACACCATGTCAACTTAGCAAACTTTTATAACCGGTTCATCACATTTTCTGATCAACATTCAGCAAACCACAAGGCTGCACTCATTTTGGAAGCAAAGCAAGCTGCTGAAGCTTTGAAGCTGTCAATTGGAAGGATGACAGGCTTCGAGAAGAAGCGTGAACTTGTCAGTGCGTATCTTCAAATTCTCGAAGCTTCGCTGACATTTCTGAAATTGCCTTACAGCTACAAAGGAATAGGTATATACCGAGGGGGTATACGAACTATGTGTGTGTAGCTGGCCATTACGCAGAAAGCAGTACAACCTAATTATGAGAACTTTGTCAATTTTATCATCATGGTGATAAACAATCGATGTGCTATCATGCGGTTCAGTGAAATGAAGCTCTACCTTAAACAGCAGGAAGAAGCTGTCATAGAGAGATAAATTTGCTGATGAGCTGTCATCAAATAATATTATTTCGGAGATTGAACTTACTAGATATCGATCACATCCTTAATGAGCTTTCTCGACTTGAGTTCTTATATCTTATCTGCACCTATTTATTGAGTGAAATATCATTAAAGGCATATCAGGATTCTACTAAATCATGATATTGTGAGTGGAATTGAACTCCAATCTCCATCTCTAGAAATGTGTAGAGTTTTCTCTGGACCGCATTGTTAATTATTTTCCAGCTATCAAATCTTGCTCCAATTAATCGCTGATTACTAAAACACAATTAAATTATTCTAGATTTTCACTTTCACAACGAAGATTAGGGAGGACTGATATAATAGAAATAGACGCAGGAAATTGATCAAGGGTACATACCTCGCATACCAGGGCACTTCTAGGGCACTTTGTGGCCCTAGTAGGTGCTAACAACATACTTTAAATGGAAGTGGGTTTTCCTGTATTTGCCACTCCTCCTGGGCTTACATTACACACGATCTTGAAAAGTTTGAAAAATTCAGATACCATTTAGTTTTCTTACTTCAGCTCAAACATATCTAGACAAACTGCGTCACCGCCTTAACTCTGTTTGGGAATTACCTCACTGGGCGCAGAAAAGTTAATTGAAGGCGGATCACGTGATAGGTATACTGGATATATATATTAAACCAAATGTGCTGTGTACGAGTCAATTCAAGTAGGATATGTGGGCCACGTCAGGTTACATACCCTGTCCAGTGTACATTTTATTATACCTACTTATACCTGTACATTTACCGTCAATCTAAACAATGTTTTGCCTCGGCAAGTGTATGCGCCCTAATTTACCGTTTAGTAATGGGTATATAAAACATGAAAATACCTTACGTTTCTTCATTACAAAACCTAATTATTCACTACACAGTACACATTTACACAGAGTCTGACGTATTGACAATGTCCTAATCACTTCGACAAAACGTTTACATTTCACTGCTTATCTAAGAGTTCAGTATATCTGGCGTTGAGGCGGTGTTACTCAGTTCCTATTTACTCCTTACACGACAAATTTTCACAGTAATTTCTAGTTATCATGCGAATTGTAATAGCAAATTACACGAATAGTGGTGAATTAAGGGAGTATCGAACATTTTGAGCGGGTTTGGTTCAGTTTGAGAGAGTTAGCCTAGTAATACTAGACACAGTGATGTCCAATATGCAAGGTCACATTATATTTTTTACAAGTGATGAAAATATATCATCATATTTCAAAGTACACGCCAATTTATCATGGTCCAGATTCAGGACACATTACGTTACCAAGTTTGTGGCGCTATCCTGACGATTTAACACCTGAATACTGCATCCTCAGTCCAAACTCCCTAACCCGCTACTGACAAGCAAGGAAACTAAACGCCTCCCAGGTTATAGTCACCTTGTCTACTAAGTTAACTGCTCGGAGACTGAAGAGTGCTGCCATTAGATCAAGCAGACCTGATGGAACGTTAGGAAACGTTAAAAACCTAGAGGAAGAAGCATTAAAAAAGGAGGAGGAGACCCTGAAGCTGAGATGAAGAGCTGCAATAACTACATCCTAGGAATCATTATAATTAATACGAGTGGGTCTATTACCTCATATCTGATATATTTCTGTCTCAGTCGGGTCTCAGTCTGTCACACCAGTATTGTTAGTTGCAGTTATTCGTAGCAGTTGTTAATGATCTTGTAATTTTGAAGATTGTCCGCCCCCTCCCGATCCGTAAAGCTAAAACCACGAGGTAAACTTTATAACATGGTTTTGGTACACTAATTAAGACGTTTAACAGTTCCGTCAGTACATTGTTGGGATAGTTCGAACTATTCTTATTTCTCAATATATGAGTTGACTTACTTGACTTGACTTAAAAGGCTGGTAGTGTCCCCGAGATCCATTGACAACAGTTCTCCACAGCTTTCTGTCCTCCATCAGTCTAGCTATCTCATCTACTGACTTCAGCCCAGTATATGCTTTTAGGTTATTTAGTTGTGTTAAGTAAGGTCGCCCCCTGTTAGTATGCCCGTGACTCGGCTTCCAGAGGATCAGTTTGTTTAGTGTTAGCTCCGGATGTCGGTGAGCATGACCTGCAAGTCTGAGCCTTCGTTGGGTCTCGCACTGTTTACTATGATTCACTGCGGGCGTTCATTATTCTTATTTGGAATGTTCACCAGTTCACTGTAGGTTTGCTAGCATCTTGTTAAATATTCCCAGAATAGTAGTAGAGGTTATGAGTGTTATCTTAGATGCACAATGTTAGTAGACATTTGCAGACTCCCTCATCTGCAGTCTGCACCGCCTACATGGCCCTGTGTGAGGGTGTTGTGGTTGTTGTAATCCTACTCGTAACTACACATTCTCTGAAGCTAAATATTGGGCCGGGTCAGCTAGACTCTTTATCATTGGTAGTTGCTGTGTCATACATCTTATCTCCACTGTAACTCTTTATCAGGTGGTATAAAATATGCTGGTAGGTATGGGACACGTGGTATAAAATATGCTGGTAGACGTGCCAAATGTCGCAGTAATATGTGAAGTTATCCCGGGGGAAGCCAGTTAGTTTTGCCGCTAATTCTGCTGAAAATTCCATGTATAAATAACGATTCATCTTTCACGATGGCTCGTGTGGAATTTACCGCTCAACAAAATAGTTCTACACAGCTATTACAGGTTCAGTATTCGTATATTAAAAACTTTTCTTTCCCAAAATACATACATATTTAAAGGAATGTTTTGTAGCCACTAGTTTTATACCAAATCCTACACATACCCTGCCGTAGTACAGCCCACTGAATAGTGAGTCTACAAAATGTTTCATATCTACACTCACGGACCAGCACAAGGACTCTCGGTGTAGCCCTCCTGATTTGCATGTAAATGAAAAGTTATCGTGTATATCAGGCCTCTCTGGGAAACGCTACTAGTCACACCGCTAAACCTACTGTATATATTATTTTATCTGCCGTATATTAAGTGTTGTGTTGCTCGCAATATCGACCAATGGGAACTGAGAATTTAAATATATCAACCAATCAGAGCTGAGTATTAAAACAGGTGATTTTCTGTGTTTTATGTTATCACCGCAGAATTAGTTTAAATATAGAGCGAAGTTTCAAGCATGATCGAACATGTGGCATATTCTCCAAATAATAACTTACTTGTTATCATGAGTCAGCACTGCGTATAATAACTAATAGGTAATAAACCATCGTGTTATGTTACTGTTTTAAGCTACAGTACTCCATTCATTATGATCTACATGATTCCAGATCTGAGTTTTGGAGTTTTAAATTTCACTAGTAATAGTGTAATGGATCTGCTGTGTGTAACTACTTGCTAATATTCTCTGTTTTGTGTTCTCTGATTACTGAATACGTATACATACAGACTACATTGGCGTCTCCATGATTGGTCAATACTTATAATTATGTACTGTTAAGTAAATCAGTTAGGTATGAAACAGCAGTTAACTACTGTTAACCAGCTATTGTCAGTTACACTAATATGCTAATTGGCCCAACCCTATAATACAACATCATTACCGTTAGTAACTACTATTAGTAATGATACATGGCGTAGTTACACCAATTCACATTTCACTTCAAGAGTTTAAAACACTTTAGATCCCTCGTATTAGAGGGGGTAATCTAGCATGCTACCTGTGGTGCGTGTAATGTAGCTGGTAGTTTAACTAAAAGTTTTACAGACCAGTGTTAACCACGGTACACATTACAAGACACTGTGTGTTCCTCTTAAATCCAGGACGTATTTCTATACATACCTTCACTCTATACATACCTTCACTCTATACATACCTTCACTCTATACATCCCTTCACTCTATAGAAACATTCCTGCTATTCATATAATTATCTAGTAAGTTAATCTCCCAGTCTCCTTGTTATTATTACAATACATTACCTTCTCCACACTGTACAACCCCTATAATAATAACTATACACTAATCTAATTACATTGTACAATCTAACCAATAAGTAATTCAGCTCTCTGACACACAAATACCTAACTATTTGTCAAACACCTTCCTTGTTACTTAGCTCAGCTATTTCTAAAAAGGGCGGGAAATTAAAATATTGTGATTTTATTGGACCTGAATTAGATGAATTCGATTTGGTCGCGTGACACGTAATGGAGGATTCTTCTGAATGGATTACGTGCTGTTAAAAGTGGTGTGCTATTAGAAAGGCGACATTATTTCTAGGTTAAATCACCGTGTACTATGTAGACTGTAGAGGAATGCCACTCCTTCTGAACTAGAGAAGCTGTCTCATTTGGTGATTGCTTGAAAGTAGAGCTTAAATTGGAAATTCCTTGCGATTTATATACAATCCTTGGAAGACTTGATATGACACAGCTCGCGTGATTTAACATTCTTTTGAGATAATTTTTATAATTCTCCCTAATTTTCTACATATAAAGGCTTTACCGACTACCGGTTGGTAAGCATTACAGCTAATTGTCGTAATTAAGGCTAATCATTAATTAAATAAGTAATAATATCGTGGGATAAAAGTTTAATGGGCCGCCCTAGAGAAGAAACCTGGTAATTATTAATTAGCCCTTAACAGACCCCCAACCTAGTGGAATGAGTTCTAGTTAGCCGCCCTGGTTGGCTTTACCTTATTTAGTTAAGTTAATGTAGTGCAGATGTTAGAGGGTTGGATACTGGGTTAAAGAGGGTTGGTACAGACTACAGGTTCAAATATACTTAATATCATATTACCATACTCACTAACCATACCTTTTAAAGTAAAAGATTTGATTTGCTGTCCTGAAATAGATTAATTTACTCTAGTCGACTCAGCAGTCAATTGGAATATAAGGTAACAAATCAGAGAAATCTAATTATCTAAGAGAATTATCTAGAGAGATCTCAGAACTTAATTCAAGGTCAACCGTAATTCCAGGGCTTCTAAATGAACGAATCCGAGATAAGGATTACTTCTGGGTAAACAGTGGGCAATGGTGAGTCTGCAAATCACCACTCAAGTCAAGTTTGACCCACGTTAACCAGCATATGTCTGTATTCTGTGTTACCATGATAGTGAACATATCTACCTTTTACCTTTTATAGTCACACTCGACCTGAGTTACAATTCGCACCAAAGTGCTAACATATCACATGTTCGTCTTACAATAGAGCTTCACACTTCATAGCGGACTGCACATAAAGTCATGATTGGTAAAATGGACCTGTGATTTTAATGTGGTCTAATCGAATATCTGATGTAGCAAAGTTAGAATGTAGCAAAGTTCGGATATATATATATCAAAACCATGTCGGATTTGACCACTATATAAGATACCGTATATAATACACACCACACGCTGCAGTATGACGTGCTGCCGCGCACATTGCCATGTCACCTCACAACACAAATTAGAGTTTTGGTATTATGAAGCCGTACAGGGTAGCAGTGTTTTACAAGTTGCTTACCACACACGGTCTCTTGTAAACCGTATAGTACTACCTTATCCAGGTAAAATACTCTAATTTGCGTAATATACTCGCACACCTCCCAGCTAGGGATCTGTTTCATAGATGTTGAATGTTATGTCCATGTTGTTATCAACGTGTTATCAACGTGTTATCAACGTGTTATCAACGTGTTACTTCTTTCAGGAATTACCATACAACGTGAAGGCCAACAATTTCCCAGCCTGCCTACAAGCATCAGTAAGTTTTTCAAACAAATAAATATAATATACATGTACTGTATTCCAGCTCTCAGCAAAGAATAAACTAACCGCACTTATTTGATATCACACCGATTCTTGACAAGCAACAGCATATATTGTAAAATAAAGATTGTATCTAACAGTATTAAACACAGTTAGAGGCGCTGGTGGAGAACACTGGTTACATGAGGGAGCAGTGTCAGCTGGTGAGAAGTAGAGGGTGTCCTTCTTTTGAGAGGATTACTCTGCAGCCTGATGGGGATACTGGATGGGTAAGTTTTAGTGTTTCTTAAATAATACTTTCTGTAGGTTGAAAGAGTTACTTGAACTACTATTCACTTGCACTTTCTTGACTTTGTTTAACTTTTCAGCTTCGAATGTAAATATCGCGGTCTGAAAAAATATATGTAGCGAACATTTAACATATATATAACAGTGTTTTCAAAAATAATATAAGGTTCCAACCTGTGACCACGGGCTTTCTAGTATTTCTATAAAGTTAAACTGCTAGTAAATATCATGCAGGTTAAAACCTTTTGACACCTGACTTCTTAGCTTATAATGATGAACAGTGGCTTATTTAATAACTGATTAATAGCGCTTCTAGTTATTATAACAGCAGATCAAATCTAGATTTTTTTAAAGTGATTGGGTTAAGTAAGTGATGAGGACCTATGTCAATCAATCTGAATAACAATAAAGTGGTTCCAACATGGATTGAATCCGGTTTGAGCCACTCGGCATGTCAATTAAAGTGCAACCAGGGTGACAGACTTTATGGAACAAGTTCTGATTAAATTGACTGATACCTTATCTAAACATCACCTTACCGGAAAAACAATAAACGTAACGCGCGGTTATATTTATTTGACTAGACGCGGAGTAATTGCGCTAAAATGAGACGCGCGCACGTGCATGCGCTGCCTTTATTCCACGTTTTCTAGATCTGTTTTGACAACTAAACATCCCGCGCGGCAAACAGTCTTCAAACCTGTCAACTTTAAAATCTCTAAGGTAATTCAGCTAAAATTTGCTGTAATATTTAAAAGGAGCCTGTCTATTTGGCCCGGCGTCCGGCTTTCAAGACATGTTTGTTGTGTAACCCGAAATTTCTGAATTGTGAATCTAGATATACATATGAGTGGCGCCCTTCCAGGCGGCAAATCTTGGTCTCCTCGTTGTTGTTAATTGAATTGCTATGTAACATCAAAAAATTTACATCTGTCCAATCAAATTAACGAGTAAAACGTCCCCTACCAGTGCATGACAAACGTCACACCAGTTCACTGTGTGTGCTCTGATTTTAGTAACAAACTAAGTCAACATCCTTCAGGGGTTTTCGTTTCGGGAGACTTCCACTGGAATCTACATCGTCAAAAGAATCCTCGCAAATGTAAGTATTAAGTAGGGACACTAAAATATGCATGATATCTTTACTGTAATTAAAGGTTTTGAGTCAGATGTCATCATGGCATATACGATGTGTCTAGTATTAGACAGCTGGACACGAGCCAGCCCACTTTTGACATCTCGTTTAACATGTTTCTTATTGATCTTCTAACTTCCTTACAGTAAAATCTAATTAGATCATATCAAAATTAGATGTTAATGTCAGTTAATGTATATTGGATCACCGCTTTTGTCTGTCATCACATTAATGTTACCTCATATTTATCCTTTTGACCAACCATTTCGTCTTTTTTCGAGTGCCCTCTGTTTGCAAGTTAAGGAAAAGGTCCTGAATTTGATAAATACCGCCATTGCTAATACTATGTATTCAAGTTGGAAATATTATTAGTTTGAACATTTCCTCGTTGACCACATTTGTGGTAAACTATGAGAGATTCTCGGGGTAAGATCATATAGCTGTATAACAGTGTACAACAATTTACCAAGCACGTTTTATGTGGTTGTCGGATGAAAATATGTTTAAGAATATGCTAAACTTCCTTATGTGTGTTTATACAGTGTTTATATATTGTGTACATATAGTGTTTTATTTGTGTAGGATAATTTGTGTTCCTTGATTTAAGTCTCGTAAACTGAAGTAAAGCTAATTGATCACATAATTAGGCACTTAGCTCTGCTTTCTACTCTAATCAGCCTTGTAATTGTTTTCTGCCCACTCGCCAAGTTACGGTTATGATTAATCGCATGCTACCTCTTCACACTCCGCCAATCATTGAGCTGTCTCCCTATTGGCTCATGTCTTTTCTCCTGCCCTCTAATTGGTCGATGTTTCCCATACTCGTCTCTGATTGGTCGGTGTTTCTCATACTGATCTCTGATTGGTTAACATTCCCGGACTGAGTCTCACAGCTGTGAGCCTATGGTCCTGTAGCCTGAGGGTGGCAGGTGGATTATGTTGTGTCAACTCTAGGGACCCTTGTTTACTACTATGTTTACTTGTCTTCTGTCAACTTCTGTGTAACCTCTGCTTTCGTACAGTAAATCAGTACGGCCTCTGTTTACGTTTATGCGGTCTCCTCAGCTAATTTCAACATTTATCCCTTCCCGAGTTTTGTGTTTTTAAATGTTTGTTTTACGACACTTGACACAGGACGCACTAAATTATTTTACGTTATAACCGAGAGAGTCACTGTATCGTGTTGTTGGAGTCAACATTTGGGCGTGGACATCCAATGAGAGGGTTTGAAAAGTGCTAACGTCACAGGGGTCACTGAAAACCATCACGGCAATAAATGATTTACCCTTATTAGTGAACTGTAGTGCTGTTCACTTCGCCGACTTGACAGTTTTATTGCAACTAATTCCAACTACTTCGCTTTTACGTGCGCAGTCTGCGTGGACAGTTTCCTTGTAGTTGTTACGAAATACCAAGAAACTAGACGCCTGGTATCGGAAGTTTACTGAACATGGTGTTTAGAACCAGTCAGGTTGTTAGGTTATTGACCATTAAACTCGTAAGTAGATTCCCTTACCTTACCTCCCTCCCAACATAGATATATCTACTAATTAACTCTCTGGTTTAAGGAACAAGTAGATTCACCCAGGCTATATTAATAAACTACCGCTTACCCTATACTGTAATATACCAGCTACAGCTAATTTTAACTCTCTCTCTGTATACCATGTTTTATACCACCTGTCACTTGTGTTTTAACCTGTGTTTTAATCACATTCACTGAATTGTCAGGTCTTATTCAGAAAAAGTTCTGTTCAAAATGTTTCGCTATCCACCTTGCAGCTAAGGCTTCATAAACCTGGCTTCAGTTCAAGAATGCTGTTGTATTAGTACCAGTTATAGAACAATAGGATCCACCCGTCTGTCTATCTTTTGTTACTTTTTTAGCAACGCTCTGTTAATAATAGGAATATTACTGAAATAGCTTTTGTTGAGATAAAACGGTGACCATTTGCTTGCTAGCGTGAAATGTAGAAGTTTTATAGCTCTTATCTAAATTTAGCACTATCTCTATCGTTTTAAGCGCGAGTCATCGATATAGTAAAAGGCGATATGACGAGGTCTGGTCGTCATCTTCTTACAGCGTTCGATGTCTCTGTGAAGGTAAAATGGTGACATCCTCTGGATCAGGCAGAGGTCGAGTGTTATCGGGATTAATTCTGTAGTATTTGTGCAGTAGTCACATCACCTTAGTATTGCTGTACAACTACTACAAAAAGTGATGTGGTCTGAAAGTCTAAAGATATCTCGTTACAGATCTATTTTAGTAAGCGAACGATAACAGATCCCTCGGTAATGGTATTTTAATGAGCTGTTAGGCTGTTAGGCTGTTATAATGTTATCAGTCACTTTTTCAATCCAATTTAGGGAATTAACAACTCTCACGGTCGCGGAATTCGTGGTCTCTCAATTATTCTTAAAATAATTCATTTATTTTGAAATCTTTAACCGATATATTCTTTTCTTAATATTTTAATTGGACATAATTACTTGATACCACCGAGTGTTGCACCAGATGACAAGTCTCCGTTAGTCTAGTAATACTCGTCACTAACTCGTTATTCTAATTTCAATACAAATCTAGCTTGGCATAACCTAGCACTCGGTTGAGAGCAACAAATTTCCAATTCTGTAATTTCCCCGCCTAAATTTTCTTTAATCGGATCAGCGATGGGCGAGGGTTCTAGGTTTTCAATTACCAGATTCGTTTCTGTTTGTTGAGATGAGCTACACCATCTTTCAGTTCTTGCTAAACGTTTAAATCCCGTTCTTTAAATTAGTTACTATTTAGTAGCAGATATTAAGTTGACAGCTGCTCGATAAAAAGCAGATATTATATTCCTCTCAACCTTCTCCTTTCCTCTCTTTCCCTCTCTTTCCGACGCTCGCTGAGATCATTTACAGTACGAGACGGTACGTGAGAGGGTGTATTCTTCTCTCTAAACTGTAAGAGTGCGAAAGCTAATCATCACCGTTTAGAATATTCTCTTAGTGTAAGTTAAAGTTTCCGTTTAAGTGAGAAACTTTATCAATTTTTCTATCATTTAGACTTGAAAGCTTATTTCAAAATACGCGCCCCAGTTTTAGATCTGGACCTTAACAGAATCTGTAATCTTCAATGATTGAGTCAGTTAGCATATCCGACTGAACTTTGAGTTGGTCCTCGAACATCCTAAAATATCTTGCTGAATACCCTAAAATATCTTGCAACTAAACTAGAGGCAAGTTATGCTCACTCAACTACCAGACAACGAGTTATTTACATGGCATTTCCAGGGGAACAACACCACCTAATTCAATAACATGAAAGGTAATCCCAATCTGGCCCAGGCCCTAACTCGCCAACAGATCGAAACATGATCCTGTTCCCTAATCATGAACCTAGTTATTCCCCTATTGTCCAGCCTCACTAACTTTGTGTCCTCCTTATGTCTCACGCCCACCTCACCCTCTTAACCTGCTAAATCAGTTAGTTTCCAAACTTTTGATAAATTCTAACTTCCTTTATTGCTTCCTTGGTGGTATTAATCTTTTGCGTCACGCTAATTAGATACCAGGTCAATATAATGAAGAATCTGTCAATATGAAACTTGTTCCTGCTTCCCTCGATCAATCTTATTAGTTAAAGTGGCAAGTACTTCGAAGAAATCGTCTTACGTTTAATCTTTGACTACGTTACTCGCACGTAAAACTTTAACTAAATACATCAAATAATCGCGAGCAATAATGGATTCTTCACAGAAGACGTCTAGAAGGCTGGTGAAATACCTTATTAGGTTATATATCCTTCCAATCAGTTTTCTACGTCAGGGGAGTTGCATTACTTTGACGAACCTGGTCCTCGACCAATGAACTACCAGAACGAGTATTATTGTTTACATCTTTGTGCTGTGGGTTGGTGAGGGTTGAGGCGGCGTTTGTTGAGGGGGCGTGCGTTTCTCTTTGTTGTTAAATCTTTGGCAAATGCTGAAAATATAGCGTTTCCTGAACTTGAGTCAATCCCTCCTTTCTTTCCGTTTCCTGACTCTGACCTCCTCCAAATAGAGTATAATAACGTGCGAGTGTTGCGAGGACGTCGACAACTACTCGAAATAAACCATATATATATAAACTATATAATATAAGCTATACAATATAAGCTATATATAAGCTATATCATATCAGCAAACATGCCCTGCTTTGTTAGTCCACATATTGAGGTGCTTGTCAGTATAAAATGCTAATTGAGTACTGTATGATATATATGCATGCTCTTGTTTTCGTGCCCAGAGATATTTCTTTTTACTTTCCCGACTTCAATTTGTATGATAAAACGCGATTTATCACTATTTTGAGTTTCACCAGTACAGGCTTAATCGAATATGACATAACAAAATGTCAGTTCATTGAATTCGTAATTTTAAATCAATTTATCGATAAATTTCGTGATTTAAAATGAGCTGTCAAATGTGTCAATTTATAATTTTTGAACTGAACGTGGCGCACCTCAAGATTTCTCCTTGTAATTAAATAAAACCATAAACCTCGTTTTATAAAGTGTTACATAAGATATACAACATTATTACAATCACAGAATTTAGTCTTGAATTTGTCTATGCACTGGGATTGTAGCTTTTTATACTTTTAAAAACAATACAGCGCTATTTCTACATCAATAAATTTGATGAGCTTCGCAAATAGCAAGCTAACTGAATTAAACAGTCGAAATCGTGCAGCCACATATTACTGCTGTGTGATCATTGCCCGACTCATTTCTCTGCGTGCTGTGGTATATCTTTGAAAACATGCTATCAGGATATTATAATATCACAAGTTCTAGAGAACTAACATGATGGTTACCCAGGTTTTGTTATCGTGTAAGTTCTGGGTAGTGATAGTAGTTAGCAAGTGTGAACTTCCTGGGTCCCTTATCTGTAGTTCTGTCAACAAGGGCCTTTCTCCTTTTATTGTCAACCTCTTTTTCTATCATTACATCTCACATTTTTAAACACAAACAATTGCAATAAATCCCACATTTTGTAAATGATCCGCATATTTTACTTTTATCATCTGTTCTTTAAACTACTCACCTGTTTTGTCTTGCTAACGTTACATACGCGAAATTCCAATTATTTATTTCAGCCCAGTAAAGATTTTGTTTTTCTAACGTTTTTCCTATTTCTCCATGTAGACTCCAGCAGACAAAAGTGGTCGCATAAAAAGTGGCGACGAAGTTATAGAAGTGAACGATCAAAACATCGTGAGTAATGAGTATTTGTTGTGATAATTGTCCGTGATTGTTTTAACATGATGTTGACTGTAAGTTCTCGTGTTTCATCCTTAAAAATCTATGCTGTTTTCATGGAAAGATCAACAGCAGATGAGTTAGAAATAGCGCTATAAAACTGACATTGTCACCCATTTTCAGGTCGGTTGGAAAATAAAGAACGTGGTAGAACTGATCAGATCATATCCTGTTGGACTAGTTATGGTGGTCAGACACTACCCCGACACATCACCACCACCCTCCGCAAGCATTACAACCCCTCGTCACCACTCCCTCCCCCAAACTTCCCTCACTCAAACTCCCCTCACTCCCCGGAACCTATCCCGGCATCAGCATGTGTCAGGCACTATGTCGGAGCCCCCATGTCCCAATGATGCCTCTCTGATGGAGCCCCAGTGCCCCATTGATACCCCCAAGAAACCCCCTCGCCCCCTGGACTCTGTGTTGAGGGAGCGGTGTAAGAGTAACAACGAGCTGGACATGCACTTCAAGACGGTCCACAATCCTAAGAGATTATCTCAGATTTACGGGGATAGCAACTTGTTTTTAAGGTTCGTTAAACTTGGTTGTTTTTTCTTAAAATCTACCTGATCTTCTAAAGTGTTTCAGTCACTAGTTGGAACTGTTAACATTTAATATTTATTCCACAATAATCGGTGTCCAGACCATAACACGATTCTTACTATTAACCTCTACTTTATTTAACGCATGAAAATGTCCACACAGTTTTGAGGATATGACAGAGGAAGGAATAATAGCCACAGAGTTCCACTCTGCACCACCTCACCGAGGGAAACGCTCCAACCCTAGATCTCCAGCATATCACAGACGCAATAACTCTAACCCCCTGGACAAATACAACATTGTTTCTAATAGGTTTGTAGCTGAGGGATCTTCCAATCCGGACATTTTTTCCAACCAACCAAGAAATTATTTTATCCGAAATAATCAAAAATGTTTTGCTATTTCTTTGACCCAAATGTTTGACTCCTAATATTATTGCAGGGACTGGTTAGACCACGTGAAGCAGAGAGGAGAGCGAAGTAAGAACCTGAGTCAGTACAGGTACGGCACCGGACCTCGCGTTAGAACAACCAAGCCTCTTGACTTCCTCAACATGTAAGCTATTTTTACGCGATATAATTAAATAATTATACCTTATTAAATGACTTTAATTTAGAGATGTTTTATAAAATACACGATGGGAGGGGCCGGGGAGCTACTAAATATTCCTATTGTCTTAGTTAGTTAGTTAGTTAGTTAGTAAGTTAGTGACTATTGACTTATAATAATTAGTTGCACTTTGATTTGTGTGCTTTTGTGCGCGATATTGAAATAAAGGCACTGAGGAACTGTTACGTCTCTGTAGGTGTTGCATAATGTAGCCCACAGGATCAATAACCATGCAACAATTAGCATGCAGGATCAGAAACTGTTAACAAATCATCAAGCAGTGAGTGGATTGTTACACTGTAAGACACCTGCAGTTGACTGGGCAGTACATTATCCACCATTTTCCCTTTGTTAGCCTTTCTTGTTCTCCTCAGACTAAAGCTCACTAACTGACTAATTATCGCCCGATTAGTGTCCACAGGGTTGCCTTAATTTGATAATTGATCGCTACACTGCAATAAATATCTGATAATAAGTGGTAGTCAGATTCCTCGACAGTCACTTACTTTTTTGCTCTGTGCGATGAGCAACTATGTCACACCATGTACTCTTGACAAATTCCTGGGAAATATTTTGGCAATTTTCATTTGGGCTTATTATATTCGTCATTAGCTCCCGGTTTTGTAAACTTCTGAAAACATTTTCTTTGCTAATGTCGCCTTTAAAGGAAAATAGTCGAGATTCTTTATCTAATGCATTCCTCTATTAGTATTTTCCGGTATCTCAGCTTATCGAAAAAAGGGTGGTGGTTCACTATAAATATTTGCTAGTATTGTGCTAGAATACTCCTCTTATAAGAATGTGTTAGGCGGCGTCGCTCTTCTAATACTTCGTCAGAACAATAGAACCACCTTGAACACAAAGAGAAAATATCTGTGCGATTCCACACTTAGGTTTACGTAATCTCGTTATGAGAGAAATATTCTTTTAGGCTCGTTAGCTGTTATAATTACTAAATATGGTTATAACGCTGGCTTCTTCAGATAGGACCCATCTTTCTACTTTCGACTTATCAAAGATTTTATAATAACGTCATTCCCCACTGTAACAATAATTTGCGCACATATCTTCGTTCCGTCTAATTCCTATTTCTCTTAAACTTTGCGTTTATTCCTATTTGGTTTGATCTTTGCTTCTTCCCATGTCCTACCGTCGCAGATTGACCAGCCCATTATTCCAAACTTTACCACCGCTAGTAACAATTGGTCCTGTTGCAGGCTGGAACTATCTGATGAATTCACCGAATTCCGCGTAAGTCACATCTACTTCAGTCATCAAGTTTGCTTTGGTTGTCTTGACAAAACGTGTGCGGAATTTCCCCAGGGTTGGTGATCTAGCTAATTAGCCTATCTATTATTTACATGAACTAATCGTAATTCTGAGGCATGTGCTTTATTCCGCCCGTTCATGCTGTCCTGTCATCATGTATTTGATTCACGCTACTTTGCTACTGTCATCGTGAACCATGTCGATATCACCATCACAGTGAACCATGTCGAGACTCGAACTACCTTAGTTCTATAATCCAGATATATTGTCACAAGCAGCGTTTAGTTCCACCTTACTTTCATGCACCGAACTACTACTAATATAGATGATATCATTTAAGACAGTTTGTCATGTCAAATTGCCGCAAATTAAAGTCGATTGTCCACTATTTGTCCGCTGTTTGCAAGACTGTTTAGTCCTCACTGAACGTCAAATACCTTACATTGCCGACAATTAGCAAGGACAAGTTCTAGGCTGGCATTTTTATAATTTCAGAACCCTGACTTTGCTATCTACGTCTTACCCTTTACTTTTATTTAGTTGCCTCAGTAACATTGCTCAAGTTACCACTTACCATGTCCAGACGTTGTTAGTTCCAGAATTAAGCTAATCCTTCGATCACGTGATTTCCTTGAGGAGCAGAGTTTCATTGGTCTTCTGACTTCTACTGCTGCTATGGGGATTATCCAGTAAGTGCAGGTTTTTGTATAGTATCTCTTTCTCTTCAGTGTGTACTAGGTACTTACACGGACCACACTTGCTCAGTCTTCCTTTTGTCTTCTACTTTTTCTGGTTTTTACGATAGTTATGCCCGGACATCACTTCACCGACATCACTTCATGTCGCCACATCGACTGTTACATGTACATGTGCGATTGAGTTTGCTGAAATAAATGGAGTCAAGTTTCAAAGTTTCCTGGATTGCAATAACTATCTAGACTCAGTTATACTTTAATTTACAACTTTACATTTAGATACCATCTTGATAGTATCCGGGTACACACTTCAATCTAGACCGTACACGCCAACTAATTGTAGCTAGCCAGTGTGATCATTTAACGAAAGAGACAGGTTTCAATTAATGATGATCACGTGAAAATGTGTTTCAAGTTCTTACAAACCAAATACACATGTCTAGACTCCAATACTTATCCAAAGTGTGTGGGTTGCACTTTTTCCTGGTCTCAGAGTTTTCCCCCACCACGTGTAGTCACCACATTGGCACGTGACCAATAGTAACGAGTTAACGTGTACATCCCCGGCCCCAGTTTGGTTCCTTGTACATCTCACTGTATCGTACACCTTGCAGCTTCGTATCTTGTTTGCCTGTTACTACAGGTGAGGAACTTTGATGTCTTTTGTCGCTGTTTACCCGCCTTAATTGGACCCATCACGAGACGTCTGAAAGATGTATTTAATTTGTAGCCCGCTGACACGAGGTCTCTTTGTAGAAAACGCAAAAACACGCGTACCAACGCCCGGACAAACATGATATATCTACTGATCCCGCGTTTGTAGGGCTTCTTAATGAGTCTGCAATTCCTCAATTCCTGCCCAGAATGCTGTTTATTAAGGGAAGACATACAACTGAATTCTATCTCACAAGGGTGAGATGAATTACTTTGACAGTTACCCTGCCTGAGTTTCTTTAGAGGAAACAACCAATGGTTAACTGAGCAGTTAATTGAATGCCTGCAGTTGCTAACTGGTATCAGGTACCTTTATAACTGGGCGGTACTATTAGTTCCTGTTTCAACTGATAGGTCTTCACTGTTGTTTACAAAGAATGTGTACATTTGTATACAATGCAGTTTCATTGTTTGACGTTTTCAGTGTGTTCTTTCCAGTTAGTAACTTCACACACCACGCGCTTATAAAAGTAATTTATTAACTCCCGAGTGCTAACTTAAGCTTGTCAGTGTAAGTGTAACTGTAAGTAACACGAGAGCAATGGAGCGTGTCACTGAGTTGCCTTGTTTTTGTTGACACAATGTTTAGAACGTAAACATTACTTTACCCTGGAAGTGACCAGGTCACTCGTCAGTTTGTGTGGTTTTATAGTTATTAGTTTAGTTAGCTGAGTTACTCTAATTCAACATAATATTACCAGATAAGACATCAAGAATCATCTCTTAGTTGTGTCCTGAGTCAAGTTTATTTTTAATCGTTGAGCAGCTTAGTGGATTTTACTTACAAAATGCCCACAATTTATTTGTCACAGCACCAAAATTTCTGCTTCCTGAAATTTCCCATGTCTGTTACGTTAGTTGACTGAGTACTTACTCTGATTGACGCACGAAACTAATTAGAAATCGTTACACGACTAAGCTAAATGTCAAATAAACCTGAGCTGAGGTGTGAAAATATTAGAGGCGTCCAGTTTTCATATTACCAGGTAGAGTTGAGGTTAACGTGAATGTGGCCTCATTTCGACATTATTAGATTCGTAAACCGGTGTAAGGTTATTAAACTTCGTTTTGGATATCAGAGCATTATTTTATTTTACAGTAGTTGGAGGGTATTGAGATTGGGGGATGGGTCATTGAAGTAGTTGAGACAGCTCCATTAAGTTTAAGTAGTAATGTTGGCTAGCAAAGGTACTTTGATTTTATTGGACACTATATTATCTGTTATCGATTAACCCCTGGTAACGCAGCCCTGTAATAGTTTAGTAACCATGATAACCAACCTCAGGAGTATGCCAGATATCGCAGTTTCAACTGAAAATGTCCAGAAAGTGGACAAGTCAACGGAGTATGACGAGCACATGGACGCTACTATGACGTCACCACGTAACCACGTGACGTTACCTAGCAACCACGTGACACCACCACGTAGCCGCAGCATGAACTCACCACGCACATTATCCTTGTACCGAGAAGAAGATAGCAACAAGTTATCTGATGAGGATAACAACAAGAGTGATGATAACGACAGTATCGCCACCACTCCCTCCACCATTTCTAACTGCACCAGGTTCGTCTCTTTTCTAATACAAGCACTCCTCGAAACTGGAACATGTCTCACTCCATTCTCCATGATATAACCCACAATAAAATATTTATTATCTGCTGGCTTTACCTCCGAATAGATCATGTGGGGTATATCAGGCTCGAATATATTATACAAGTTTAAGCCGAAGTTACCACTAAACTTATGAAACACAAGTAATTAACACCCCTCCTTGTTGCAGTGCCAGTATCATGACAACAGACTCTACATACTCCGGGACGAGTAAGACTCTCCCCCGTCCCAGAAAGAGTAAGATGGTCCTAGACGAAGATGTTGGTGAATTCAAGAATTACCCGGTCTCTAAAGAGCAAAACTATACTACCGTCGTTATTGGTAAGTTCGACCAGCTATTAAATAAACTAATTACCATATTAATAAGTTGGTAATTATTTTAAAACATTTCGTAAGGGTGCAATCTTGGGTTTCTAAGAGTTAATAAACAAGTTATTGTAACCACAGTGTTACCAAACGTCACCATGGTAGCCCCCACGTACTAACCAAGCAATAACAGGAGGAGTAGTGCACAAGATCCCAGTAGCAACAGCTGCCGCTCCCAGCTCAGAAGAGGATAATGTTAAATGTAACACCTTGAAGAGTAGGAAGAGGCAGAACAAGAGATCCTCCTGGTCCATCAGCAGTGAGTATTCTTACAGCACATTCTTATAAACGCTCATAAACATCAGTAGCGAGTATTCTTATAGCACTTGTTTATGAGCGTTTATATTTTTAGGTCATTATATAAACCGATCTCAAAGATTTTCTCATAATAGCTTGATTATTTCTAATTCAAATAAATAATTTTCAGCAAACTGATGATTAGCTCACTTTAAAGTTTAAGCTGCCGATTTCAAATCACTTTTAATCATACTTTCGCTGCTCCTGATTGCTGAACGCTACCATGAATTCTAGGTGACAAAGCCGCTACGCTGCCCAAGAATATCCGATTCTCGCTCGCAGATCTTGACGAAAATGGAACCTTGAAAAAGAAGAAGAACAAGAAACCTTCTCGTTCTACCTCGTCTATTCTAGGTGCGCCATAAATTGATATATTCTTCTTTTAATGGGGGGGGGGGGGGGGGGGGGGGGGGGTGTCACGTCCGTCTATGTCCGCTTGTCTCATAGAATCCAAAAAGGACAGGACATAGGCGGACATAGGCGGACATAGGCGGACATAGACGGACATAGGCGGACATAGACGGACATAGACGGACATTAGCGGACATTAATGGACACCTAAATTGCTAAATAAAATGTTCAATTTTTGCTGTTATATGGGGGGATCATGTTTTTTGTCCGGTACCCTATATTTTCAAAACGGACAAAAAATAGAGCGGACAAAACGGACAAAAATGGAAATAACATTTAGATGCTTCCTCCTCCTACTCTTCCTCCTCCTCCTCCTGGGTCTTCCTGATCTTCCTCAGTCCTCTTCCTCCTCCCCTCCTCAGTCCTCCTCCTACTCCTCCTCCTCGTCCTCAGTCCTCCTCATCAGTCCTCAACAGTCCTCCTCCTCCCCAGTCCTCCTCCTCCTCCTGAGTCCTCCTCCTGGGTCCTCCTCCTGGGTCCTCCTCCTCCTCTTCATCCTCCTCCTCTTCCTCCTCAGTCCTCAGTCCTCCTCAGTCCTCCTCCTCATCCTTCTCCTCAGTCCTCCGTCCTCCTCAGTCCTCCCCCAGTCCCCCTCCTCCTCCTCCTCCTATTCAGTCCTCCTCCTCCTCCTCAGTCCTCCTCCTTCTCAGTCTTCCTCAGTCCTCCTCCTCCTCCTCCTGAGTCCTCCTCCTCCTCCTCTTCCCTCTCAGTCATCCTCCTCAGTCCTCCTCAGTCATCCTCCTCAGTCCTCCTCCTCAGTCCTCCTCCTCCTGGGTCCTCCTCCTCCTCTTCATCCTCCTCCTCTTCCTCCTCGGTTCTCAGTCCTCCTCCTCAGTCCTCCTCCTCATCCTTCTCATCAGTCCTCCTCCTCCTCAGTCCTCTCCCAGTCCCCCTCCTTCTCCTCCTCCTATTCAGTCCTCCTCCTCCTCCTCCTCCTCCTCCTCAGTTCTCCTCAGTCCTCCTTCTCATTTCTCCTAAGTCCTCCTCCTGAGTCCTCCTCCTCCTCTTCCTCCTGAGTCCTCCTCCTGAGTCCTCCTCCTCCCTCTCAGTCATCCTCCTCAGTCATCCTCCTCAGCCATCCTCCTCAGCCATCCTCCTCAGCCATCCTCCTCAGTACTCCTCAGTCCTCCTCATCCTTCTCATCAGTCCTCCTCCTCCTCAGTCCTCTCCCAGTCCCCCTCCTTCTCCTCCTCCTATTCAGTCCTCCTCCTCCTCCTCCTCAGTTCTCCTCAGTCCTCCTTCTCATTTCTCCTAAGTCCTCCTCCTGAGTCCTCCTCCTCCTCTTCCTCCTGAGTCCTCCTCCTGAGTCCTCCTCCTCCTCCCTCTCAGTCATCCTCCTCAGTCATCCTCCTCAGCCATCCTCCTCAGCCATCCTCCTCAGCCATCCTCCTCAGTACTCCTCAGTCCTCCTCCTTCTCAGTCATCGTCAGTCCTCCTCCTCCTCGTCCTCAGTTCTCCTCATCAGTCCTCAACAGTCCTCCTCCTCCCCAGTCCTCCTCCTCCTCCTGGGGCCTTTTCCTGGGTCCTCCTCCTGGGTCCTCCTTCTCCTGGGTCCTCCTGGGTCCTCTTCCTCCTGGGTCCTCCTTCTCCTCCTCAGTCCTTCTCCTCTTCTTCCTCCTCCTCCTCCCTCTCAGTCATCCTCCTCAGCCATCCTCCTCAGCCATCCTCCTCAGTCCTCCTCCTTCTCAGTCCTCCTCAGTCCTCCTCCTGATTCCTCCTCCTACTGAGTCATCCTCCTCAGTTCTCCTCCTCCTCCTCCTAGGTCCTCCTTCTAGGTCCTCCTCCTCCTCCTCCTCCTGGGTCTTCCTAATCCTCCTCCTCCCTCTCAGTCATCCTCCTCAGTCATCCTCCTCAGTCATCCTCCTCAGCCATCCTCCTCAGCCATCCTCCTCAGCCATCCTCCTCAGCCATCCTCCTCAGACCTCAGTACTCTTCAGTACTCTTCAGTCTTCCTCCTTCTCAGTCCTCCTGAGTCCTCCTCCTCCTGAGTCATCCTCCTCAGTCCTCCTCCTCCTCCTGGGTCCTCCTCCTGGGTCTTCCTGATCCCCCCAGTCCTCTTCCTCCTCCCCTCCTCAGTCCTCCTCCTACTCCTCCTCCTCGTCCTCAGTCCTCCTCATCAGTCCTCAACAGTCCTCCTCCTCCCCAGTCCTCCTCCTCCTGATCCTCCTCCTCCTGGGGCCTTTTCCTGGGTCCCTATATAATTTGATATAATAAGTTAAAACTATTAATAGCTTTAGTGAGATTAATAAGTCGTTTGTTTTGTACAAAATTATAATACATAGAAGTTGCGAAAAACTCTCAAAACGTTTGTCCGCTAATGTCCACCAATGTCCGCTAATGTCCACCAATGTCCGTCCGAGTCCGCCAATGTCTGTCCGGGTCCGCTAATGTCAGTCCGAGTCCGCCAATGTCCGTCCGAGTCCGCCAATGTCCGTCCGTGTCCGCCAATGTCCGTCTGAGTCCGCCAATGTCCGTCCGTGTCCGCCAATGTCCCAAAAAACACGTCCGTTGTCTCATAGAATCCAAAAAGGACAGGACATAGGCGGACATAGACGGACGTGACACCCCCCCCCCTTTAATGTAATATGTATTCTAGTATCCCTCCATCCGAGGCTGTTGCTTATATATTAAAGCTGTTGCTTATATATTCAACCCAGGAAGTCAAATTATCTTAGTGAATTTTCATGTCAAGTGTTGTAACCTGCTTTGTTACAGGTGACACCAACGTATCCTGCAAGTCTCTCTACCCTAACGCCTGCGAGGGATGGTTACTGAAACTAGGTGGAAGTGGCCTGACTCCCAGGAACTGGAGGAGGAGGTGGTTCGTCCTGAAGGGGTTCTGTCTCTACTACTTCAAGACACCTCAAGACAGCACTGCTCTAGGCGTCATCACTCTTCCCAGCTTCAACATTGCAACTGCTGCTGAAATCAAGTAAGTTTTGATTGATAGCTCTGATATTTTGGGTAAACTGACTTGGGTTGAAAAATAAGTTCAGCCACAAAATTTCTGTCGATCCTGTTATGAGACTAACGTCAGGATATTTTTCAGGAAGAAAAACGCGTTCAAAGCTTCCCACAAGAACACGAGAACGTACTTCTTCATAGCGGACAGTGAGGATGATAAACAGAGGTGGATGGACAAGATGTTGCTAGCGAGTATCCTGTACGATGAGAGTGATAAAGAGAGCGGCTACGGTACCGCTGGAACTGGAGCCAGCCCTGTCGCTACTGAACTTTGTGAGTAACGCTTAATTTCCTGATTTGTATTACTATGTTCAATGAACGCTTAGACTTACTTATAGTGTGTTTCAGATTTTAACTGTTTCTCGGTGGCGTTTCGTAACCGAAATAAAATTTCAGGTTCAATGACGATTGAGCAAAGCATAATTTCGCCGTGCGCTTCTCTACAGTCAATCAGTTCGACAACTGTGGTGTGACCTCACGTCAGGACATGTGACGTCACGTCATTTCTCACGCGCTAGAACGTTGCCGCGCAACAGCCAACGCTTCATTGTAAGATCACGCCAACTACATCAACTCGAGACTACTGAAGACTGAGATTATATTAATCCGTCTGTAAAGTAAGATAAGATCATGTTTGCGAGGCAGCTTGATTGAAATAACGACGCAGATTTATTGTTCTGTCTTGGAACATTCGCAATTATTGTAAACAATTATATCAAGTTACTGTTAAATGGTATTGAAAATGAAAAACATTTCATTACCGTATTTGAAATATGCTGCTAATCTTATTCACAAAGAACCAGTCTTATAAGACTGTTAGAATGCAGCTACCCGGTTTTATGAACATAGATTAAATTGAGTGAGTAGAATAAATAAGTTTTAAGATCTTATCAATGAGGTTCCCATGATATTTTGAAACATACATGTTTTAGAACATCGAGAGTAAGGCGTATTTTTATTTGACATTGCCATTTCTATCGTAAATTTTGTAACTAGTAATAGTATAGTTTTTTGCTTGAGTGTTTGGAAAGTCAAGTTAAGTTTATTCTAGAGTGACTTTTTCACAAGCACTTTTCATTGTTTGAACTCGTTGAAGGAAATATAATATTACTATTGCTTAAGCATAGCACCAACTTCGCTACTTTTCGCGAAGACTTCCTTTAGTGTAATAACTAAAGTTTGAAATTGAGGGACCTACTGATTTGAGATCTCTATTTTATCGCGTTTCTGAGATTTCCATCTGGTCGTCTGCTGTTAGTGTTAAGATCATGTGCTGAGGCCGTGAGGGCACATTGATGTTATTGTTTATGTTATTGTTGTTTAAATACAGTTTAATGATATTGCCACCAAATAAAAAGTCGTTTTACTTTTACTGAACCTTTTTTACTGAACCTATTTTCAGTGTGGCTCTAATGCTTATGAAATCGAGAGAATTTTTCAAAAATTATATTTGATGTAATTTGCAATGAATTATATTAGTTGAACGATATCAGAAGACGGTACGGCTTCGCATGAACCCCTTACCCCTTCCCCGTGAGAGGGGCAGTGTCTGAAAAATTCTCGATTTAGAATTTGAGGTTACCTGGGGACCCCGGGCTAATAGTGTTCTGAAATTGAACTTGGAGCTGCGGCGGAATTGAGGCAGATTCTGCATTCTCTTTCGGTCCGCTTTGAAAGCTGCTTGGCCGAATTTCAACAGGAAATTTCAAGACTTTTTGTCTCGAGATCTGCAGATGTCTGGTAATTAAATTGCAGTTTTTACAGTTTTTGGCCTATACTATAACATTTACAGTTTCAGTTATTTCGAAATGAATTTTATAAGGTCATACTCATATTAATCAACTAATCGAGACGGAACTTTTGGTACTAATATTTTAAGATTTTAAGAAAATATTTTTTAAATTTTGGAACCTGAACACAACAGTACATATACTATTAATATTAATAATAAAGGTTGTGTTGATTTCTAATTTTTTTGACCAATTTGGTCTTTCAAATATTGTAATTTTATACCAAAAGTTTCGTATGGCCAAGCTGATTACGATACCAGATACTGTAAAAATTATTTTAAAATATTTGATATTTTAGAAGTTATTCACTTATACTGTACTTATTATATAGTTATAAGCTTTTTACGCGAGAAATTATCCATTTTTTCGTCCTTTTTACACACTTGCAATGCATAGGAGGACCACATATTATTATATTACAGCTCGACCTTATCGTGCTGGCTGCTGCACGGTGAATTTGTATTATTCACACTTAGAGGCAACTTTTGGTAATAAATTTATCAAAATTGGAGTTACCTGGGGACCTCAGGCTATTATGTTCATAAACATATGAACACGAATAGAGATTCGGTTAACGGGTGATACTCTTAAAATATCTCAATCTGTTCCATATATTGGACAAATATTTGGATATACAGAACCGTCGACGAGTCCAACTCGGCGCGCGTCCTGGTAGGTTGTAAAGTGTTTACCATTTACGGGTGATACTCGTAAAATATCTGTTCCATATATTGGACATTTATTTGGATATACAGGACCGTCGACGATCAGTCCAACTCGGCGCGCGTCCTAGTAGGTTGTAAACCTACAAGTAAAGTGTAAACCTACAAAGATTCGGCGGAATGACAGACTGAGCGCGGCCCAGTAAAATTGGAAACAAAAAATTCTGTGCCAACTCATGGTGCTTATTATATTAATATTACATAGAGTTAGACTAGTGCTGAATCATCAGGTAACAGGTGAGTTGTGAGTGGGTAACCTGATATTCATTTGACGGATGTTACTCGTCTAAATTTCTTCGAAGTAGCGCGCGCCGCTTTCTTCTCGAAATGTTATGGCCCGACGGCACGAGCTACGAAGTAGCGCGCGCCGGGCCGGATCATTAACAATGGTCAAGATATTCATATACTTATAGTGATTCGAATGCAGCAAGATAAAACAAAGGCACAAAACCGCAGGTGACTCTTCGACTTCAGAGAACCAGGCCACGTGGAAATGAAAAAGGACCAAGTTATTAGTTAAGCTCTTCTACTTCTAGTATTGTAGCGCGATGCACTACTGGGTCGCGCGCGCATCAAATAATGCTTCTCGCAACCACACTTCGGTAGATCGGCGAGATGCACCACTGTGCCTCACCGAGCTGCGAAGGATTGACATCGTGAATCAACTTCTAGTAAACCACGTGACCATTATTTTAACAAACCTCGTGGAAATAGAACCAAGTTAAGGTCCGAATCTCTAACCAGCCACAATAATGGAATTACAAACAATTATTTGAGATGATAGAAAAAGGAACACGTGAAGTATTTAGTATAAAGACCACTATCACCTGTTTAACTCACCCATTCATGAAAAACATGTAAGTTCCGCCCTCCATCAGATTGAAAAGAATTATGGAGGGGCATCACTACCAGTCTTTTATCCAAGATCATCAGACTTTAACTAGTTGTAGTACTAATTGAAGAAAACAGCTCATCCTGCACGTGCTCAAGACCATTAAAAGCAGCTTCATTTAATCTAGAGACCACAGTTTTACTGGTATCTGTTACTGCTGACGCCTGTAACCCTGTTCGACGACATCATGCTTCTGAAGGTGGTGATTCTGGTTTTAGTTGGGTGAGTTATGTAGTTATGAATGTAATGTGCAATTATTTAATTTATATAATTGTTAATGCATAGAGTACTCGCACCTAGCGTTACTTTTATAAATTTTCCACTTGAGTTGCATTTGCAATGAATTCAATTGATTATATTGAAAAGCTAGATTATTAATATTCATCAGTACCAATTGTACACATTTCAGAGCATTAGTAACTGCATACGAAGGCACAGGTATGAAGATAATCAACATTATTCATTAAGCGTTCGAAATAGCAATTGACGCAGTCGTAAATGTAAAATACTACTAGTACTTGTGCTACTCGACTTGTATTAGGTTATACTTATATTAATGCTTTTCAAACAAAGTTACAACGGAATTCTTCATGTATATACGTGTCGAACTAGAGTTATAATATGACGAGTGTACTGAGTATTAGATAATATCATATTCGTTGTAACTTTGGAGCATTAAAAACTAAGTCGCCACAGCACATGAAACCAAAAGTTACAATACGTCACAAAGGTTTAAACTAACTTTAGTCATACAGAGTGAGGTGTTGTTTCACGGATCTATCAGAGGTCATTTATTATATCGTTTTTAAACGATAAATGACCTCTGAGTTTAAAAACTACTTTGAGTTTGCCGTTCGGATTAGGTAATGAGCTATTTAACGTTCGTTGTCGCTGTTGTGATTTTCACGGCAGTACTGCTAGCGCAGACATCTGAAAGGAAGTGCAATCTTAAAAAGAAAGCTCTCACAAAGAAGATAAAGCAGTATCAAAGAAAATGTCTACTGAAAGGATTCCAATCATCTATCAGCTGTGAAGTAGGAGGAGGAAAATTAAGCAAGAAAGCTGCGAAGAAATGTGGCAAGATTGAAGAAACCTTGAAAAAGTGTGACTACTCCTGCCCAGTTGATGGAAGTTGGAGTGACTATAGTGAATGGACATCTTGTTCGGTGCTATGCGGGGAAGGAAGTCAGACAAGGGACAGATCATGCAGCAACCCTGCCCCAGCGTTTGGTGGAGCTGACTGTGAAGGAAATGCTGAGGAAACACAAAAATGTAACCTTCAAGAATGCCCAGGTAATATATTACGAATTATCAACATATTCCTAATCTGGAAACCAAAATCTCCGAAGAATAGATCATAACAAATACTCTCGAATAAAAACCAAAACGTGGTTATTTGGTTAACTTTATTCACATATCTGATAATATTAATAGCACATTATATAAGTTTAAAAACTTAATTGTTGCATATTCTGTATACCCAAATCAAATGATTAGCATGATGAAAATTTACTCCCAAAATAATAATTTTATGATTAATCCTTATAATATAGCATGTAATACGTTTCATTATCAATAGTAGTGAAACATTTTAAGGTTTTCAAAAATATCGCTATTTTCCACGGGTCCGGAATCTAAGGCGTGAGAGTCTCACGCCGTTAAGAGTCCCGGACCTCAATATATTAGAAATATATACTATTTGTTCTACAATCATTGAGCGAATATTTAAAAGTAAATGATATATTTCACCGAATGATTACCATGACCACCTGCAGTCTGTACGTTAGTCTGCACGTTATAAAGGCACTAAATATTCACCACCCACCCAAACAGCATCCTTACAGTACCATGCCACACTTTCAGTCGAGTTCGAAATCGCCAGAGCGGCGTATATTCCCTCCTGAGGCGCTTGTAGCCCGGGGGAGGGCTGAACTGCACTGTGAGGGAGCCAAGGAGATTAGTAGCCGCATATACTGGACCAAGAACGGGGTCAGGCAAGACAATGCACAGTTCTATGATAACCCCACGTGAGGCCACTGTTACCAGTGTTTACAAGGTGGGCATTTGTGTTTCAACTTTCAAGCATTGATTTTTGACCTTTCCGGGCAAAATGGCTCATGTGCTGTAGATCACTAGATTAAAGCTGTGACTCTTTGTTTAGTGCAGATTTCGATAATGTAAATTTGAATCGCACAATGTTATCAATAAATGATCTGGAAAATTTCCCTTAGCTTGAGGATACAGACGAAGCAAGATACGGTTGTAACGGACAATACTTATACCTGGTGAAGGAACAGCCTGAAGAGGAAGCACAGGAAGCATCCATCTGGCAGAACAGCAAAGTAATCTGCATTGACAAAGTTGTGAGTTCCCTTTATAGCTTATTGTTACTCTTAATCTTTGGTTTGTCAATCTGAGGTTACAAAACTCAAATTTCGAAGACTGTCATAATTTTGTGTTATTTTTAATCACACTCTTTTTTTTCAGGTAGGGGAAGAAACTCAAATATTGGAGAAAATGACAGGACCTTACAAAAGTTCCATATTCTACATGGTCGGCCAATACCAGTCCATATATCCAATCAAAGAAAGAAAGGTTAGTTTTATTTCGAGTTTAGAAATGAATAGTGTTAAATACCCTTACTAACAAGAAATATTGTAAAAATGTCGGTATAGTAACCAAAACATGAAATTGCGCCCCAAAGATATAATACCATAGTTCTTATAACGGCTGTCAAGGTTGGAAATATGTTTCCAGGTGTACTAACCATAACATGACTCTTAGATAACTGCAGATTCTGTCTTCATGTGTAACAACACGGAGCACTTTACTTTCATCCCTGAGACACGACCACAGACCATAGTAGAGTAAGTAGATGAAACAACTCTCTATTATTCGTAATATTACGAATAATTTTAAAGCCGTGTTTTTGTCAAAAAACGAACTTTTAGGGGGTGTTTCTAATGACCAGGGTCAATAATACTCTTGACTACTCGTATTAGTCACCTTGATTATTCTCTATTACTTTTAATTACTTTTAACAACCCCAAATGCTTTATGCCATTATTTACCAATTACCACTCGTAAGTTACGATCAGTTATAACTACTCACGATTACCCTTGCAAACACTCTTAAGTACCATAGAGTGTACCATAGAGTGTACCGTAGAGTTTACCATAGAGTGTACCATAGAGTGTAGCGTAGAGTTTACCATAGAGTGTACCACAGAGTGTACCGTAGAGTGTAACGTAGAGTGTACCATAGAATGTACCAGAGAGTGTACCGTAGAGTGTACCATAGAGTGTACTATAGAGTGTACCATAGAGTGTACCATAGAGTGTACCATAGAGTGTACCATAGAGTGTACCATAGAGTGTACCATAGAGTGTACCATAGGGTGTACCGTAGTGTGTACCATAGTGTGTACCATAGAGTGTACCATAGAGTGTACCATAGAGTGTACCATAGAGTGTACTATAGAGTGTACCATAGAGTGTACCATAGAGTGTACCATAGAGTGTACCATAGAGTGTACCATAGAGTGTACCATAGAGTGTACCATAGGGTGTACCGTAGTGTGTACCATAGTGTGTACCATAGAGTGTACCATAGAGTGTACCATAGAGTGTACCATAGAGTGTACCATAGAGTGTACCATAGGGTGTACCGTAGTGTGTACCATAGTGTGTACCGTAGAGTGTACCATAGAGTATACCATAGAGTGTACCATAGAGTGTACCACAGAGTGTACCATAGTGAGTACCATAGTGTGTACCATAGTGTGTACCATAGAGTGTACCAATGTGTGTAATATAGTGTGTACCATAGAGTGTACCATAGTGTGTACCATAGTGTGTACCATAGAGTGTACCATAGTGTGTACCATATATTTGTGCCTGCTGATAACTTAACAAGTGTTCTGTTTCAGGTGCAAGGGAGAAAAGGCGGTATGCACGAACTCAGACACGCAAGGAAGATGTGCACTCACTATTTTCTTTGAAGATAAGAAAGTTGCTGAAGGTAGTTCCCCCGTGCTTGAACATCCGTATGGAAAGGTGGGTAAAGATAAGGAGATTATAGATAGGGATCATTAGTGATAATTAGTGATTATAATTAGTGATAATGTTTTAATTAATTTGGAGTGATTTGGTGTAGATAGGTATTAGCAAATTATTAGGTACTAGGTACATGTAGATACGGACTGATTGTGTTCTGAGGGTGACATATTTCATATCATTAATTATTATTAATAATCAGTAGCGTGAGCTCACCAGAACTATTTTTGCAGATAAACATCCAACAAAAAGTACGATGTGAAGCAGCCTGTCAAATCGGAGAAGATGTCATAACCCTACCAGTCGCAAACTGTACAGCTTATTCAGGCATAACAATTCATACAACATACAATTTTTTAAAACTTCTATTTATTCAACTGAAATTCATTGTATATTAGATTCGCATACTGAATCTAATATACTTATATATTATGGAATACATTGAATCTAACATCATATTGATAATTGAACATGTTCTGAGTTCTCTGAATTTAAGCGAAAGAAAAAATTCAAGAAACTATGATCATTTTATGTATTCTCATTTCAATTGTTTTAGATATTTACGATGAGGATTGGCAGTACTTCTCTATGGACAATAGACTTGACATACCAGTGAACATGGATGCAGAAGAAAGGTATCTTGTATTGCTCCCGTGTATTGACGACGGTGTTTGGTTTAAACTCTTCCTCAGAGACGAAGATAATGAACCAAATTCCCATATCGAATTGAAAAGCAACAACCAAGGTAACGTATTTTGCAAAAATGCCGGTGATCGAAGCTGGTACGATGGAGAAAGAACAGATTTCAACATGGATATCAGCGGGATATGTAATAGCCAAGATGCCAAAGTCATCGAGTAAGATATAATTATTTTTTAATGCAAAATGTAATATAAAATTCAGATACAAATGCATGGCACCCCATGTATGAATAAAGAACATATTACGGACTGATTGCCAAATATTGAGAAATAAACGCATCTTTCCTATCTCAGGGTTATAAAAACACCCGATTATGTGTCACTCAAGACCGGTGGAATAACCTTTTATACAAAAATGTTTGACGAACGAGACGGAAACTGTTACAAACAAACTAAAATAGTCGTGACTCAAGTTTGGAATTACACAGATAAGCTCGGTCTTGCACTTGCTCCTTCTGAAGAAGAGGGTCAGTACTGTTCAATTATAGTAACAAATTTACATTACATATATTTATACTTTATAGTAACTACGCGGAGGTTATTGTAAGGAAAGAGAAATTAGAAAATAAGCTTTACAAGATCAGAAGAGGCTAACAGGTCAAAGACCGACCACCGCTTAAGAGCCGGTTAAGAGCCGTTTAAGAGCCGTTTAAGAACCGCTTAAGAGCCGCTTAAGAACCGTTTAAGAACCGGCTAAGAACCGGCTAAGAACCGCTTAAGAACCGGTTAAGAACCGGTTAAGAACCGGTTAAGAGCCGGTTTAGAGCCGGTCAAGAGCCGGTGAGCGGCCGCTTAAGAACCGTCTAAGGACCGCTTAAGAACCGCTTAAGAACCGTTGAAGAACCGCCTCTAAAACTGCATTTAAACAACCTAAGAACCAACTTAGAGCCGTTCCCAGCACCTCTCCACTCCCCCTCCCTCCCCATTTTAGACTAGGTTAGTAGTTTTTGACGTACGTAACAATAGTTGGCAATAGCACCTAACAATGTTGGCAATAGCACCTCGCTTTTGTTATAATTGTATTGCTATTAGCATCTCGCCTGGTCACGGCTCGACCCAATATCGCGATGCAAATCATAATATTTCATGATGCATGTCTTATAGTGCGCAGATGCAATTATTAAGACTTCAATTTTGTTAGAATTTCAATTTATTTCGAATCAATAGGCGAAATTTCATAGGTAGATTAATAAATTACATAAATGATTAATCGAATAGTAATAGTACATCAATTATTGTCTGAGATACAACGTTGAATTACAGAACGAGTTTAATGTACAGATAAATTAAAATATTATATCAATCCATTCAGTACTTCGCTATCACACGTTATAACTATGCAAACAGTCTTTTCATCAAAAGTGGTAGTTCTCTGTTGAAAAGTCTCCGGCAATCAGGATCAGAGCGAGTGAGACCGTGTTTTCTCATCCACATAAACTCGTAGAGTGCGATAGCAAGAGCTTTTCCGTCATTTCTCACCCGTCCATGGCCTCTCTTCACGTGCCGCTTCGTATGAAACCACGTCCCTTCAATCGTGTTCGTATGGGCTCCCGTCAGTGGATCTACAAAATTCCGGCTGTGGTTGACATCGTAGTGAGTATATCCATGATGTTCAAGAGGAAGGTATCCTTTCCATTTATCGGTGATAATTGTTGTTCCAGGTCGGACAAACCGAAGGATTAACAGGCAGAGTGTGTTACGGTCTCTCTTGTTGTTAGGACATTCCACTAGGAAACATTCGTTAGATCCTCTTGCTACACCGCCTAACACCCACTTTCCTGTTACTCGTCTCCCACGGTTGTACTTTCTTTTGCCGAATTTTGACTCGTCAATTTCTACTATCTGTCCAGGACCTCCGATCATCACGTCACCAGAGAACAAGTCTTCCGCCATGCACTGTCTGATAGCTTTAAAGAATCCCCGGACTTTCTTAGGATCCATAGAGAGGGTAACTGCAGCTTGGCAGACGCTGCTAAAGGTACAGTAGAGCCAAAGTAGGTGTAGAAACTTCACAGCAGGTATCTGTTTCCCGGCCAGGAGGGAGTCAGTGCGGATGGACACGAAGTGAGCTCCACCAGGGCATCGCCAGCAGCAGCCATCTTTAAACTTCTGAGTCGAGCATTTCACTATCGTCATCCATTGTTGGCAGGTGGTACAGTATCTGCGATCTCGTAGTATCCCAACGTCAACGCAGTACTGTATACAGTTCTCTTCTGTTGCCAGCACGTTAGCTCTATCGAGGTCGTCCCAAGAGAGGAAGTGAGGAGATGTCATCTTGATGTAGTAAATGTGTAATAGATAAATACAAGTTTCAGTGTCCTTTTAAACCCATCAAATCTATTGTATCTATTGTATGTATATTGAATCTATATAATAATTCTGAGAATCATGTTTTTTTTTCTGTCCACACAACGGCCCGGCATGTAGTTCCACAATATAAAAGGGTGGGGGAGGGTGGCAGTGTGGTATAACTTTAACTGTATTTATAGTTATACAGTCAGACCCCCTGTCACCTGTTTCGCCGATTTTGGGAGGAAAATTTTGGGTCTTAAAAACCGGGATGCAGCCTATGGCCTAAATATACTAGTCTAACTGGCATGACAGACCACGATAGCACCTCAATGCACTACAAAACGCCTAATCTAAAAAATTTATCAAAATATATAGATTCAAGATTCAAGATTCAAGATTCAAATTAAAAGATCTTACAATAACAATCGTGTCAGATCGGGAAAAATTACTAAAAAAATAAACGTAAAGCGTAAAGAATATAAAATATATACCAAACGTGTTTACCAAATAGCATGTACCTGAACCCAGCCCCCCCCCGCCCTGGCCCCTGCCCCCACACCCCCCACAACACCCTTCCACAACACCCCTCCACGCCAGTATTCAACCACTCCCAGGGTGAGTTAAAGCGGGGGTAAAGACAAGAGAGGGAGCAGGGGAGTGGAGAGGTGCTGGGCCGGGAGCGAGGGTAAAGACAAGAGAGGGAGCAGGGGAGTGAAGAGGTGCTGGGCTGGGAGCGGGAGTAAAGACAAAAGAGGGAGCAGGGGAGTGGAGATGCGCTGGGCCGAGAGCGGGGGTAAGAACAAGAGAGGGAGCAGGGGAGTGGAGAGGTGCTGGGTCGGGAGCGGGGGCAAAGACAAGAGGGGGGCCGGGTGTAGGGTGTTAAGAGCCGGTTCTTATCCGGTTCTTAACCGGTTCTTAAACGGCTCTAAGTTTATTAGTAGATTTATAAATCTGTTTTCTATAGGCGGTTCTTAACCGGCTCTTAACCGGTTCTTAGCCGGTTCTTAACCGGTTCTTAAACGGCTCTAAGTTGGTTCTTAGGTTGTTTAAATGCAGTTTTAGAGGCGTTTCTTCAACGGTTCTTAAGCGGTTCTTAGACGGTTCTTAAGCGGCCGCTCACCGGCTCTTGACCGGCTCTAAACCGGCTCTTAACCGGTTCTTAACCGGTTCTTAACCGGTTCTTAAGCGGTTCTTAGCCGGTTCTTAACCGGTTCTTAAGCGGTTCTTAGCCGGTTCTTAGCCGGTTCTTAAACGGCTCTTAAACGGCTCTTAACCGGCTCTTAAGCGGTGGTCGGTCTTTGACCTAATTCCCGAAGAAGATCAGGATTGGGACTCATTCATATTAACTTACACAGGCACCCTTAAAGTCCATCTGCTTACTCAATTACATGCATTTGAAAACTATTCTGATAGTGCAATTACGGCCGTTAAAATGGAAACATTTTGGCAAAATATGGATTATTATATTGTGTAAATGTTCAGTCTTATTGCTTGGTTATTAGTGTTACATTTTGTTAATACTAATATATTTTTTCAGAAGATGAAAAAGAAGACGACGGAGAAGATACTGATGGTGGAGAAGATACTGATGGTGGAGAAGATACTGATGGTGGAGAAGAGACTGATGGTGGAGAAGATACTGATGGTGGAGAAGATACTGATGGTGGAGAAGATACTGATGGTGGAGAAGATACTGATGGTGGAGAAGATACTGATGGTGGAGAAGATACTGATGGTGGAGAAGATACTGATAGTGGAGAAGATACCGATGGTGGAGAAGATACTGATGGTGGAGAAGATACTGATGGTGGAGAAGATACTGATGGTGGAGAAGATACTGATGGTGGAGAAGATACTGATGGTGGAGAAGATACTGATAATGGAGAAGATACTGATGGTGGAGAAGATACTGATGGTGGAGAAGATACTGATGGTGGAGAAGATACTGATGGTGGAGAAGAGACTGATGGTGGAGAAGATACTGATGGTGGAGAAGATACTGATGGTGGAGAAGATACTGATGGTGGAGAAGAGACTGATGGTGGAGAAGAGACTGATGGTGGAGAAGATACTGATGGTGGAGAAGATACTGATGGTGGAGAAGATACTGATGGTGGAGAAGAGACTGATGGTGGAGAAGATACTGATGGTGGAGAAGATACTGATGGTGGAGAAGACGAAGACGAGATAGAAGAGACCAGTGGTCTTGAATTGGAGTTTGGAGGAGCCAAAGTTGATATGTTTCTTTCAGAGATGCGAAAGAAGTGGACATTTGTTGAATAATGAGTACATAAGCTACAAAAGAAGAAAATACAAAAACTCTTATTCCTTTATTTTTTAGTTTCGCAATTTTAGGTTTAGTTGAAGAATCAGTATTCCTTACTTTTCTTAATTGTTAATTCTCAAAACATAAGCTGGTGTCAAATTATAATTAATTACGGGAAATACAATAAATGTTTTCATAAATTCAAAAATTGATAGCTGATTATCAACAAGGAACCTGTGTTACTTATTGAATTCAGAATATAAATACCTAACGTAGCTGGCGTTGAAACGGGTGGAAGAAAAGGGTAATTTCGGATATGCATTATGCATTATGCATTATGCATACTAGCAGGAACCCGTATAACCCTAAAATGGTGTCAAGACTCAAGAGACTAAAATATTTATTACCTATTTAATTCGTGTTTTTGACACCACTTGGGGGTCCAAATTTTGGGCTCTAAACCTCTTATTTCTTGGCCAATTTTTATTTTTTCATGCTGATTTGGAGGCTATTAAAACATTTGACCCAGTCAAAAACGTTTCAGTTGTATATCTTTTACGGTTTTTGCGGAAAGTCGCGTTAAAGTTGATGCCGTGCTGTCAGTAAAATGGTACGGAACCCTCCATATATATCGTCTCGCTTTATATATAGTGAGATTGCATAATGTACTAGAATACCTCATTACAAATTAGTATTCGTATTTTGATCGTATCTTCGATCTAAACGAAATAATTAACCATTTGTCTTATAGTTTTATATCCTAATTGCTAGGGCATGGTGGTATGTGTTGCTGTTATTGCGACACATTTATAAATACAAAGATGGAAGAGTTGACAAAAATTAGCACTAAATATTCTTCACACATCGCCACAAAGCAACAGCGCGTTAGTTATTAACTTGTTGTACTGGTACAATGAAACTCATCCTGTATCAATCTCATAATTTCTTTCAGTTGGTCCTTCAATTCTTACTAATAGTCAAGGCTCGACCGAAATTGCAGCTTATAATCCCGGTCAAAATCAGCCTGTTTTTGAAACCCTCTTCCCTCTTCCCTCTTCCCTCTTCCGTCTTCCCTCTTCCCTCTTCCCTCTTCCCTCTTCCCTCTTCCCTCTTCCGTCTTCCCTCTTCCCTCTTCCCTCTTCCCTCTTCCCTCTTCCCTCTTCCCTCTTCCCTCTTCCCTCTTCCCTCTTCCCTCTTCCCTCTTCCCTCTTCCCTCTTCCCTCTTCCCTCTTCCCTCTTCCCTCTTCCCTCTTCCCTCTTCCCTCTTCCCTCTTCCCTCTTCCCTCTTCCCTCTTCCCTCTTCCCTCTTCCCTCTTCCCGCCTCCCTCCTCAAATTGTAGCGAGATACTTCCGGTTTAAGTTAATTTAGCAATTACGATCAGGTGGCGTTGGACAATGGACAAGACATCGTAATTAAGTAATTATGTAATTATGTATCATACATCAACAAGATCATGTTATAAGTAAGTCGTGCAATCGGCTCTTTCCGTTTTCAGGAAATGCAATTTTAGTGTTTAGATGTGACTGTTTTAGCTCGCTTTAGCTTTGCCCATTACAGAATACTAACAATGTTAACGAGTATTCTTGTTTTGCGTCTTATAACCGTAAACCGTAGAGCCATGTAAAATAGATTTGTAGATGACAGTCTCCTCGTCTGAGTGTTCTAACGAGTATCGCATACACGTCTACCAGTACTGCCAGTACTACCAGTACTGCCAGTACTACCAGTACTGCCAGTACTAACAGTACTGCCAGTACTAACAGTACTGCCAGTACTACCAGTACTGCCAGTACTACCAGTACTGCCAGTACTACCAGTACTGCCAGTACTACTAGTACTGCCAGTACTACTAGTACTACCAGTACTACCAGTACTACCAGTACTGCCAGTACTACCAGTACTGCCAGTACTACCAGTACTGCCAGTACTACCAGTACTACTAGTACTACCAGTACTGCCAGTACTACCAGTACTACCATGTACTGCCATGTACTGCCAGTGCTACCATGTACATGACTACCAGTACATGATATGTGTAGTGTAACCTGGGTCACGCTAAACTAAGGTTGCTATTGTTCAAATTATCAGCATCATTTGTTTATGCAAATGTTCGGTGTAATATCAAGCTATATTTATCATATTACCAGTTACATTGCATGGCTCAACTCTCCTCTCCTTCGACAGCCGTTTATGTAAATGTTTACACAGCATATGCCAGCTGGATAATGGCCATGACTATTGACTATAGTCGACACGGCCGTTATTTTATGCTCGGAACCTGTCATTAACCGGTGATGAAGTGATAAAACTGAGTTACTTTCAGTCAGCGAATTATTCTGAATTGATTGTATAGTTGTCACCTTTACGAATCTTAAGAGGTAGTTCCTGGATGCCTGCTGATACGTAGAATGTGACATTGTGACTGGTCGGAAGTGTGGTCGACATAAAAACTGGATTGATTTTAAATCTCCATTTGTAATCACTTCAGTAAACTGTCCAACAGCTGATTACGATAAATGGTCATCATTAACACATCTCTGACATAAAACTCGCATGATCGGATGATTTATAGACATATAAACCAATTCAATTTCAGCTTTCGACCGAACTATTGACCTGCCGTTTCCAGCTGCCATTAACCACACCTGACATCCGGGTTGAGCGTCCAGTTTCTTTCATCATAATCTGTAGTTGTACATTATTTTTTCCTTTTTTATTTTTTCCTTGTCACCCGTGCTTATATTTTAAAATTTTGTTGCGGGAAGTCAGCCCACATGCACATTGAGAGTTGCTATTAAATATACAGGGGGGGGGGGGGGGGGGGGGGGGGGGGGGGGGGGGGGCTGTATATTGTTACACAATAACATCTATTTCAAACCGGAAAGCACGGGAGACATCGAGAATATAAATTAGTTAATTCGTTGGCCGCGAGGACTTGCGGTTGGCTGCCCTGGGTAGCTATAAACGTCAAGTCATCGATAATGAATATGAATTCTGATGTTCGTTATACTTATAGTACGGTGCCAAACTTCTTAACTTAGACCATTTCCTCATCTAGAAGGCCCTTCATGCATAACGATTCTATATAATAGTAATATATATAGTATATATATATATATTTTATAATAGTAATACTAATATATAAACGGGCATATCCTGTCCAAACCCAGGATGCACTACATGAAGAATTCGTTCTAACTTTGTTTGAAAAGTATCAATAGTATATATATATATAGTATATGTATATATAGTAAATATAATAATAGTAATAAGATAAATTGCCTTCGAAGGTTGTGGAATTATCATAACGATTGCGAATTGTAATAGGATGAATTACCGTACAGTTTATGATATCATCGCAGATAAACTTTTTAAATTGGCCGATGACTCATCTCTTATTCGCCGTAGGTTATGTAATTGAACAATGTGCACTTGTAATCGATTCCTTTGGACAATTATGAAATAGTCAAGTACAATTTATTCATGATAATCTATCTAAGCGTATATTCTACACTTAATACTGTTACTTTCGAAACAGTTTCTTCGAGTTTTAGTCGTGTAATTTTTCGATAAACAATAGTTATGATGGAGTTCTTTGTCTTGATTTGGGAAGTTTAGCACTCCCTGTCTCCCTGCGTCCCAGAGATGTACTTCTTTGTTTGCCTGCATAGCAAAGATCATCGCTGTGCATTATGCAAGTGGAATGCTCCCTTGCAAGCAATTTATATCAAAGATGATGCCATTGCTTTGTTTTCACTATCAGTTACAATATGAAATGGCCCTATATTTCGTTTTTGGTGGAAAAGTTTCGTTAGATTTCATCAAACAATTGCATGTTTTTTATTTTTAACTATTAGCATGTAGTGGTTGTGGTTGAGGCTAGGGTAAAAGTTTGGTTTTAGGAGGGTTAAAATCTGGGTTATGGTTTATTTTAGGTAATAATTCTGATAACGATGTACAGGGGCTAGACATCAAAAACCGCCATGTTATTTTGATGCGTCAATCTTATCGTCATCTTCAGATTCATTAGTTACATGAGAATCAGTTTGACAGTTTGTTTCCAAGCTTTTCATTTGCAGTTCTTTTTCAGACGTTATAGTTTAAATTACAGAAGCACTTATACAAATTGTTTAACAGAGCTATCAGTATTGATTTTAAACCAATCTCTTTAATCCTTTATCGGTATTATGTTGATCTTACTACTAAAATGGCTGCTAGGGAAGGGTATAATTGATGACGTACATGGATAGTGACCTAGATACAGAGCCTCTCGTAAAGCCTCCCAACAATGGCATCGCTCACAGCTCCTCACAGATTGTCAGACTAAATGTTGGAGGGGGGATCTACGAGGTTTGCTTTTGGGTGTTTTTAATGATAATGAAATGAGATCAGATTGAGGACTATTATAAGAGGCATTTGAGGGTGGTATTGGGAATGTTCGTTAGACATTTGATTATTCAAAAATATAGTATTGTTGGACTTGATGATAATCAGAACGGAAGTAAAAATAATGGAATGGAGTAAATGTTTCAAATCAGTGATAAAATAGTTGGAATAATCAGAATTCCTGATTCCGCCATATATTTAACAAAATCTAAAATAAGTATCATTCCATCTCATGCAGGTGTATCAAAGTACGCTGGAAAGATACCCTGAAACGTTGCTTGGCAACAAATGCGAACTAAAGAAATACTACAACTCAGAAAAGAATCACTACTTTCTAGAGAGGCATAAATTAATCTTCTCGAGTATTCTCTATTTTTATCAGGTACATTCCATTCCATATTCTTGTTTAGATCTAGTGTTGATTTTCATTTTCATTGTCAGTGGGGAAAGTGCAGTCATATTTCAGCTTCTTTCTTCCACTTAGGTTAGACAATTATAGACACCCTTGTGACCTGTGTCCACAATCATATCATTATTATGATTATGATGAACATTAAATTTATCGAAATTTTATCTGTTATCATAGTGGTATGTTGGAGATTAATTGTCAAATTGTAGACTGTCAAGATAAATATCTTAATTCTTCAGAGTAACGGTCAGTTCTACAGACCATCGTGTGTATCAACAGACCAGTATAACTTAGAACTTGAATTCTTTGGTTTGGCCGCCCTCTACAAAGAATATGTAGCCTCCCTCGAAATAGAACCTAAATCAAAACCGAACGCTACCTACGAGAATCCTACCACTCTCGTTCAGAAATTGTGGAATTTTTTCAAAGATCCTAAATATTCTCAAGCAGCTAGAGTATGGGCTATTATTGATGTAAGTGTTTTTTTCTGAGACTTTTATAAATAGATGCTGAATGTATTTTTTTTCAGTAACCTCTACGTCATAAATTTGAATATTGGTAAAAGTTTAGATTATATTTATACAACTACAATGAAACATAAAACCACTAAAATTATCTAGTGTGTGCTCATTGTTCAGGTGTTTGCAATAACGGTAGCTGTGATACTGTTCATCGTCGAGACGATGCCAGACGTCAAGGTTGAGATGAAAAATCCCGACAAAATTGTCAAAACTACATTCTTTGTGGCTGAAACTATTTGCGTGCTCTTCTTCAGTGTCGAGCTTATTGGTTAGTAGTAGTACAGTACCTATACATTTTTAATTATTTCGCGTATCATAACAGAAACATACATATCTTATTCTTAGTGTATAATTGAATATTACGAAGCAGATTGAGTGAAACTGAAAACAGAAACATCCAGGTAGACTGATTTGTTGTCCTGACAAGGTAGCTTTTCTAAAGACTCTCATGAATTGGATCGATTTCATCACCATTATTCCTTACTTCGTTCAGGTTCGAATACAAATTACACAAATACCAAATTTTGTAACTTAAATTCTGAAAGTAACTTGATGAACACTGGTCAGGTATTTCTTACATAGTGATTCTGGAACTACATATAAATCTATATTTGTTTCAGCTGAGTGCAGGGGAAGTCGAGTCAGCAGTCGGTGGTGAAACCAACACTTCTAGCAGCAGTAACACTGACGCCATAGTGGTTCTCAGAGTTCTCAGAGTCGTTCGAGTCCTCAAACTTGCCAGACATTCCAAGGGTCAGTGTTTATCTAAAATTTCTAACCATCAACGTTACCGGCTACAAGATCAGTTACCAAGGCAACCAGAAGTTTTGTTACTGGAAATCAGCAGTTAAGATCAAGGAACAGTGATATCATGAGCCATCAGTGTTAAACAAGGAACTGGAACCGAGGGGTTCCGTTCAGGCCCTTCATACTTTGTTTCTGTCTAGTTCTAATGTACCGTCACAATAGTGACTTTAATATATAATCAAGAGTACTAGCCTGCTGATTTATCGCGGCTGTTCTCATCTGAAACTATGCTTGGTGTAGCTCGTTGGGATAGTATAGAAATTCTAGTTCCTATAGTTGGGAATGAGGTAGTTGTCTGTTCACAGATCGCCCTCTAAACTTACAAGGAAATATTTCCTGTAGATCCTTGGTATATAAGCAACATTTGACAAAGCACGGTGTGGAGTGAGCTATGTGCCCATCCTTGGAGAACCCGGAGGATGTCATTGCTGTACGGCAGTGTTAAACAAGGAACTGAAACCGAGGGGTTCCGTTCATGCCCTTCACACTTTGTTGCTGTCTAGTTCTAATGTACCGTCACAATATAGTGACTTTAATATATATTTTTAAAATAGTATAAATGCAGTGTTAGTAATCGGTCTTGTACTGACAAAACAAGGTGGATACAAGCAGAATTCAGTGATTTACAAAATAATTTCAGGTATTATCATTGTGACGAAGACATTGACATCGTCTGTTAACGAGCTAGCCTTGCTGCTTTTCTTCTGGTTTATTGGAGTCATCATATTTGGGAGCATTATGTACTACATTGGTAAGTCGGTATCAATTAAAATGTATATACTATTCGCCTATCCCTTCAGATTGTCGTGTTTAAAGATCTGCTTAACTTCCTCATAATACCACACTATAAGTCCTGTAAGTCTTGCTATTAGTATTACGACTATATGATTATGAGTTACTGGGCTGCGCTCAGCCTGTCATTCCGCCGAATCTCTATTCTATGTTTATGAACATGATAGCCTGAGGTCCCCAGGTAAGATTATGAGTAAACGTATATTCACTACACTTTGCACTGTGGATGATAGATGATATTTCAGAATACAGTTTTGACCAAGACAGCGCGTTCAGTTCCATCCTTCATAGCTCGTGGTGGGCTGTGGTTACAATGAGTACAGTCGGCTACGGAGACATGTATCCTAAATCTGCCTGGGGTAATTTCAATACAGCATATTAGATGCGCAGGTTACACTTATTTTATTGTCAGTGGTGGTTCGCTGGAGCGTTTACTCTCCGACATCTGCTGTCTTTAAAAGGATACTTAAAAGATTAAATGTGTTGGTTTGCGTATTCACCCTTATTTTATGAGCTGGAGTTGGGGACATATAAAACCCAGATGTACTTTTTTTTATAGAAGCGTAGTATTTCGTCCTTTAATCCCAGTTATTTACAGGTAAGCTGATAGCCTCGGTATGTATGATGTTCAGCATGATAATCATAGCGTTGCCCGTAACGGTGATTGTCAGCAAATTTACGAGAGTGTATGCAAAGTACAAGGACAAACTATGAGGATAATGTTGGGAAAGAGGGTTCGATACCAGGACGAAACATGAGGCAGTGGACATGAAGATCCAAAAGCCAGAAAAACTGGACATTCAAATCGATTGGATTAGTTTTGAAAAGTGAACTGTAGTTTTTATCTACCCGGATACATTGTTAATGGCATAAATTCATGATATAAATTAACCAACAATAATACGTAAATTTTGACATTTTTTCCTTTTGCTACGTACTTACCGTTCATGAAATTTTCGATATAAATGTTCAACGTTTTACATGGTTTTGTTGGCTCTGGGGAAGCATATTTTGTAACCTAGTTCCGAAGTAAAAAATGTTCTTTTGTTTATTGAAATATGTTGCATTCCGAATGTAAATATTACAAAAGAATCATAATATCTCGCTAAGAAGTGTTTCAAAATCCTAATAAATCGACCTTAATAAAGTAGCAATATATAAAAGAGTAAATTTTAACGGATTTGACATAAACATTACTAAAAGATAAATTAATCTTTGAAGTTTCATCCACAGAAGAAAGATCATAAATTTTAGAATCTCAGAAAATTCACACGAACTTCGAAGACTCAAGGAAGTGGTTACCATGGTTACCAACAATATTACCCAGGAACCTGACTGGGTAACCATGGCAACTTGTCTCAATGTAGTTTGGCAACTAGGAAAAATAATCTCCGATACTTAACATCTATGATATACAACTGTCTATTACTACACAGGGTGTAATATCAAAATTGGTTACTAAGCTATATAAAAACGAACCCCTTTGGTTAAAAATGTTTTAACAGTTAGAAAAATAAACGAACCCATTCAGTGTTAGGTTTGTTGAAAAGTTAAAATACCTATCTTATTTTACGTTGAGATTCAACAACAGAGTGTAACTTAAGATGGTAAGGATAAAAGGAACAGAGTTAAGGGGGAACAGTTGTCATAAAAATTAATCCCTGGCTATTATCTCAATATCACCACAACAGACTTTAAAACCAACTGAAACTTGAAAAAGTTTTTTACACAAAGTCTAAAATGTTAAAAGTTTGTCAATAATTTAACTTTTATACAGAGTAAGCGATATATATCAAAACGGAGCCAAGCGTTACTCCCGCGTTTATCAACCGCATTCTTTATCAAACATTTACAAATACAAGGCATGGCTTTTATGATAGTCGACCTTTAGCTCAAAGTTATATTTTCAACATCATAACCCTGACTGGAGGTGGGTTTTGTCAACTCTATGGTTCAAGACATAGCTTACGGTCGACTAGCACGAACATTTTTCAACAAAATACAAAACAGAATCCCAAAAACGAGGGAGCTTGATTTAAACGTCAGTTAAAAACCTCTCTGATATCAATTATAATAAAATAAATCAATTATTTAAAAGGGTCATTGGCCAACAAGGCGATATATGGAGTACTGCGACTGGTTGGTCTCGGACACCTCGAACACGCACGCCACGCACATCAACGTTTCCGATGTCTCCATATCCGTCACGTGCTGTAATTAAGGCAAATTAAAATTTTCAGTACGAAGGGCAGCAGTGAATTTAATGAGACAATACATTTAATTACTGTAAATATCAACAGTTTTAGCTACTTAGAGGAATCAAAATCGCAAAATAAGTCATTTGGATACGATACACTAAAAAATCAATGAAGGAAATGTTTCATATTAGTATGGTTCTTAACGTTACCTGTAACACGGTGAAATTCTCCAGTACGTTGTTCATGAGTTTGGTGTCAGGCAAGTCCTTCAGTTTGTAGATGAAGCTCACCATGTACTCACAGAGTGGAGATTTCTCCACATCGTAGATCAGTCGTCCATCTACTGCTACCGGAGACACAGTCTGAAGAATTAAATAAAATTCAGCAAAATGTATAATTAAAAGTTAAGTATGCATTGAGTGCAAAAATATCCTAGTCCTAACGCCCCTTGGGATCTACCTTTATCAAAGCAGTGGCTCCATTTTATAAAATTGAATTATTGCAGCGTTGTTCGTCTATATTTTGCGTCACAAATTACTTTTATTACAAATAGAATCAGATTGACTTGCATGCGTAGTAAACGTGCAGTCGATCAATTGAGACGCGCACAAAAATTTAAATGCGCGTAATAATTTGTATGGACACTATCCGACTTTTTAAGATCTCGTAGTGAGCGCGCGTAACGTAAAATTCGAATTCTCGAACATTCGGTATCGTATTACATTTTCATGTTACCACCCTGAATAGAGCTCTGTATTAACTTGTTGTAAGCCGGATGCAGAATTCCTTGAATAACTAACATACAAGGTTCTTCCTGACTTGGCTAAGTAGTTTGGTTTACTATTTTAGCTAATGTAAAATGATCATGTCTCGACAAAATGCCAAGGTAAAAATAAACTGTCAAATAATTTTGGGTAATAATTTGCGATCGATCAGTGGAATGCCCAAATATATTGAATATCTTGGCAAACCGTGACATTGTTGAAGGCACAACAACATTGCAAAACATTTGATCGTGGTCGTGTTCTTAAAACCACAAAGGAATTTAATTGAGTCAGGTAGTCACATAGCAAGAGGAGCCAAACAACTGGAGTTTAAAACTGAGTTTGCTCCCCATAGCCCCATAGAACAAATGTACGTAGAAAATTAAGAGGGATGTATTTTGCCAGGTCATCAGGTCTCTATTTAAATTTTCAGCAATAGTTTTCTGCAGTGCAATTGAGTCACGACCTGCCAGTGTCAAGTAGGAATATAAACCCACGTTATGCAGTGATAGTCAATAGCTTTACATTTCATATAAGGAGAGATGACCGATCGCGATGTTCATTGCTTGTTTCAGCAAAATATGCTCTATGTCATCCAAGTTAGCGTCAGGATGAAAATATGGTCAAAGAAATTTAAGTGTAAATTGTGTTGGCCACTAAATTACCCAAGCATTTGGAGAATCTTGGCAGAGAGTGCGTTGTGCGTCATAACGCGAACGTAAACTTTTGTGGAGACATTCTTAGGACAGCAAATAAATATGAACCGAGTAATCGCGCAGACAACATGATGAAGATACTTAAATCATATTATATAACTTTAAAGTTAAATCAGAACGACTCAAAATTAGATTTAAATTGTTGATGAATTGACCTGTACCTGAAGTTTCTCCACGACTCCTTTTCCAAATGAGCAAGCCTTTGTGGAAACCTTGATGTGCAGTTTCTCTCGAGATTCGTACCTGACGGAAAAAACATTAGTTAAAAATGTGCACCACAAGGCTGATTGTTATGAGGATGAGTTACTGATGAGCCCAACTTTGGATAAATATTAAATATATTATATCAAGACTATGTATAATGATTAAAATTGCTTTGAACTACGCAGCATATCGAACGATGAGTTTAATCACTATAAAACATTATCAATTACATTGTCTGTGAGCGTGTGTGTATTATGATATAATGTCAATTGCAAAACAGTTAAAATTATGTCTACTCATACTTTAAGTTGATCTCTATGAAAACAAAACAGACAATAATATGAGAATGCTGGCACAGTATCAAATTTCAAATAAAGATAGGTGGTGATTGATGATCTACATGGTAGGTCACGTGGCCCAGGTTACTGAACCAGTGAACCACGTGACCGAGGTTACTAAATAACGTGTCCTAGGTTACCATCACGTACTTGTTATCGTGACCGTAGAAGATGTCGCTCGCTTTGGGATCGCTGTTGGGCATGTTCAGGTCGACCTGTGACAAAGACAAATTTAACAGATGTCATGACAGTAGTTTCAGTAGTACTACAGCAATAGACTGCAGTCCAGCTAATCCTAGAATCAAATAGGTCAGAACTTACTAATTCCAGAATTTTCATTTCACAATGTAATAATGATATCTAAATCTGGATTGAAATATTTCAAGAAAAATGTTGATTCGTAAAGGTCTCAGATGATATTAATTTTAATAAAAATAGTTAAGTAAAAATAAAAGTGAACCATCAGCTTACCCAAAATTTGACGAGGAAGAAAGCTGTAGAAGGTCCAGCCTCGAACAACTCCTTCAAGCTTCCTTCTCCGCTCGGGAACTCTCTGAACTTGTCATGTATCTTCTCTATGTCTATCCTCTGTAAAAGTATAACCGGTCACATAGTGTCAGGTAGTGATCAAAGTGCCATATTTGATTTGAGAATTAACGAATGTTACTTGATCAATTTAACCGCATTGCCATAAACTTGAGATTTATTTTCATTCAACACACTTCTCACCGCACATACGTGTCGTTCTTACACAATCGAGAACTTTGTAGATACCCTACGTAATTTTACGTAGCCAAAACGCATATATATCTATTTTTACAATCTTGATCTAGGTTTCAAGTATGATTCTGCTGTAAGTTGGTCCACATGGAGCCTCACCGTATCAATTATTCGTTTAATTACCTGTACAACTACTGCGGTTAGGGACAGGTATGTTGAGTTCAATTACACGAATTTTAAGGGGGACCGACATAGACAACGTCACCCAATTACGTCGAGTTCCCACAGTTTTTGGGGGGAAAGTGAGGGGCAATCACACGAAATATCACCGATACTTCCACCATTAGTTAACCAACAGAGCATTTGTCCACGTAGTTTCTACGAGACAATGATACCGGGTACATTGTACAGCTGTAATATTGATGAATAATAAACCGGCAGAATTGTAATCTGCACTGGTGACTGGATTAACCAGATTGTAGTATTGAAAAGACAAGTTGCAGTATAGTACACATCGACCAGCCACGTACCCTTCTCTCATAGCACCCCACAATGAACCCTATCTCATGTGGTAGCTTTATTATAGTGTCAATCACTAAGTTATTGCAGCAATTGAGCAATTATCACCAACATTATATAACAACACATGACAATAAGTTTAACATTTTCTTTAATACTATCTGCGCGGTTATATTATGGGTGTCAAAGAATTTGAGCGTTCACCCATTTTGGGAACAAAGGCTCCTTAATTTAACAGCATTACAATAGAAGAAGGTACAAATATTATAAATAAATTCGCAAATATAGGGGTACAATTTTACGTAACATATTCTTGGAACATGATATTCCAAGAGGGCAGAAATTGACATTCTCTTGTTGGGGTGGCGGTACACATTGTCTGTGATAATACAGTGTAACATTAAATTTCCCTCAAAATACTGACAATGCCTTTATTGCCTATTTGCATTGTTTGATCCCGAGCTACATGCTTACATGGCATACTAAACAGGTCTACAGCCGACATTGTATAAAATATGCTTTACAATGTTTTATGCAAATTAATTAACCCTCCAGCTGCTGTCGGACGAGCTGGTTTCCTAATTAGACTTAGACCTGAATAGTACCCCGCTTTTCACCGCAGCACGTCAGGGCAGGTGGCGTGACGTCACTACAACTGGCGTGACATCAGGTCACGTGGCGCCCATATAAGGGCAATGACAAGTCACGAGATCAGAAGAGCTAAAATCTGTCTGACTACAGTGCGCTGGTGATTGTCCGCGTCACCGGTTTGACCGGGGTATATTACAGAACAATTTAACGGCCTGAGCCAGTATGTTATACAATGTAGTGGGAGAGTAATTCCCAGATTTTAGCACTTGAACCACCTATAATATTGCACATAGTCAGGATAGTGCAAATACTATCCCCTCACATTTTTATAACATAACTCTAACGCTCAATGTGTCTAATAACCCGAGAGCTGCTCAATATCAAACAATTTAGCGTTATTGCAGTAATTTTCATTGATTCTAGAACTTCCAATAACTTGTTAACAGACTCTATGGAGATGGTGATAATACTCATTTGAGAAGAGGAAATAGGGGGAAGGAGACTTCCGTGTTTGATTACCAATAAGTCTGCACGTCGAGGAAAGCGAATATTTCAGTTAATAAAGATCACAAAGATTACACAGATAACAATTTTCGACCAGTTTATATTTTAGAAGAATTCGACACCAAGGTGACTGCAAAAAAATCATCTTTTTAACTTAGAGTGATCATCCATGTTCTAGGGGTTTCAATAAAATCCCGACGGGCAATGACAATCCATGAACTCGACGATAAAGTGATATTAAATATTATATCTTCATTCATTCCTGACATTTTAATTTATTCCTGCTTAAGTTGAGTACCTGCGCCTTTGCCAGGCACGAAATTTTGTGCTTGATTAACTCTACTTTACCTAGCGGTCATTTTATTTCATTAGGCATCGAAAATAATAGAAATATGCTTGATTGAGAAATTTTGTATCTAAAAATTACCTCCATGTTAGGATCATTGAAATCAGTCTCTGTGTTGAGGTCGATAAAATAGTGTCTCCACGATCTGTCTGTTCTCTCCATGTAACCGTTAAACTTGAGCATCTTTAGTCTCTGAAACATTTACAGTTAAACTTCAGAATATTATTCAGTATCTGAAACATAAAATACTTGACTCCTCGTGGTGGGGTTGACGTCACAGTCCGCACTAGTTGTCAAGTCCATAATATAATACAAATGTAATGTGTGAAGGGAAAGCCTCAGCATTGATTGAGGGATTGAAATGGGTTAAGGACACGGAGTTGGAGTTTCACATTTGAAACTTTTGCAATTCGCATAATGCGTAAGGCGTCGTCGTTATAATTCCCATAATTGTTGCCGAATAAAAGGGACAAAGATAAATTATACCCCGAATAAAGCCTTCCCATAAGCCGCATTTTATACCTTTTAATATTACAATCTCACTATTCAAAGGTAAAACACAAAAGGGGTTAATTCAAATTGTTGTCATTAGTAATTAGGGCAAGAGTATTTAATCTTTTCCAATTGAAATTTTCTGTTTAGAGCACATTAAAGGTATCATTATGTTTGCTGCCACAAAACAAATAAGCTAATTTTTGACCGAGCTATTCTATTAACTTCGCATGAGGGGCAACATATTGAAATATTGATATGCCTCAACAATCAACAGCATATTTACCCGGTCCAATGAGCTGTACCCATTAACAGTCAACACAGGGACAAGCCGACTCCAGTTTACAGGGGCTATACATTGTAACATTGCAATATAATAATCTCAAGGGTAAATAAACCATTGTTGTGCACAAGAGTCCCATTAGCTTTGTGATATAATCTAATGTTGACACAATGTGTGATCAGGTCACGTGGTCAGATACTTTTCATATTATGAGCCTCCTCCATTAACATGCCATGATTGTAAGCATGACGCCCAGTCAGATTGAACTGACTTTGGGTTAAAGTTTAAACACTAAGCCACGTAAGTGTTAGTTAGATTGAGTGAGGAAATTAAACACACGGCGAGTTAGCCAATAGCAGATACCTGATACAGTCTATAAATATTACTTTTGAAATGGCGCAGTGTGTCATTTAAATACATTGAATCCGATACTAATTACTATGTCAGTAAGATTTTAGTTGTGTCAAACAAATACTAAGTTTTACTTGTCAGTTTAAATACTTTATATAGGGATTTAAAAATACGATTTGCACTACTATATACTAATATTGCATAAACATTCAGGCTTTAGTATTGCCGTCAGGAACATGAAATGTTGTTTTAAAAGTATAAGCAAGACACTATATTCACCATTTCTTTCTCCAATGTAATCTTAGAGTGATCGGGTGGTTGGAAGATTATGTTTTTAGAATTGTCGCCTCACGGAAAATTGTAAAAATATGAATATCACAATGTGGTTATTCACTATTGAGGCGTATGCCGTAGAATTGTATAAAGTTATATGGATAAATGTTTGGGGAGCCATCACTCACTATAATGAAAATAATGGTGCTGTAATCCCAATTCCCAGCATCATACTACTATAACTTAAATTTGATTCAGATTCCGCTCAAGAGAGAAAAGCAATTATAATTATAAAATTTTTGTATTAATACACAAATTTTATAGCACTTTTGCTAATATCATGATGAACATAGATTTAATATTATATGAATTACCGATGGGATATCAATAGCAATGACAGACAATTCAGTGAAAGTGAAAGTGAAAGTTACCAGTTCAGGAGCAGTAGTAGCACTGGTTGCAGGTGGTGTCCGGCTGGTCTCCATACTGCCCACGTGAGGATGAGGCCTGGTCGTCCTGGTAATTCCAAACGAGCCACTGCAAGGAATACTCAATTTAACCAGCTATAAACGGAGCACTACATCATCGTTATTTTGTGAGATTTCCAAATTAGATTTGGTGTTCGGTCTTGAGGGACAAAAAAAAAACCAAAATTCGGAAAACATGATATGCATTATGCCTAGCATATTATATGTTGAGGGCCCTGGATGATGTAATACTCATCCTGCGGTATTACAGTGCTCTGGTAAAGATAAAATTGCATTAGGCCGCAACTTAGAACCACATTTCTAATCTCAACTTTGCTCTTAAGTTCTGAATAAGACATGACTAACGAGGAAGCCACGTTTGAAATTTATTTCTTACAAGCCCGCATGATTGTCTCAATATTTTATAAGCAAAAGTCTCACAATTGTGATCCACTTCAAAACATGACATGCAGGACGATACATATCATGTGTAAACCTATCAGTACGCAAGATACTATCTACTTGAGAGTGACATTAACCTTGTAGCCTAGTAACCGGCCTAATCACCAGTAACCGGCCTAGTAACCAGTAACCGGCCTACCTCGTATCGCGTAATTCTTGTTGCTCAGTACTATTACAAACGTGTGTTATAACATTGTACACAAGTTAAAGATCTTACTAGTATAGCACAGCACAAGAGAAACGCAAAATAAGACGAAAAGTACTCACTCAACAATGGAAGACAGAGTCCGCGGGAATGCCTGAAATTTATGAGATACGTTAAATTCCAACTGTTAGAGCACATATTGCAGCGCATACCACAAACTTGCTGGTGGAAAGCACTCCGTGCTGCATCACCCCAACAAATTACGTAAGGGGAAGACACTCAGCAAAACATTCCAGCCAGAAATAGCAGCCCCATTATCAAAAAATTCCCGCCAAAATATCTCAAATTCCGGGGCTACGTATTTATAACCAAATTAGCCGCCACTGAAGATGCATACACACATATATCAGGTAAGGATGTAATGTGAATGCTCAACATTCCAGCTGGCAGGAATGCTGCGAATTGAGCTGCTGCAGCTCAGTGATAGCAGACAGAGGCATGACAGGAATTTTAGCAACTTCACAAAATACTTTACAATTATTATATTGGACACTGGACTGGGTTACACGCTACTTTATTCCGAGATTTGTGAGTCCTAGTTTTGTGAACTTTAAACTGATACTTGCTATATTACTTTTCAGCTTGTAAAACTGGTGTTCTGCAACTATTTGCTATTTGCATGGCCGGTTCTTTGATTTGGCATGTCCATTATTAGTTCGAGATCATTTCGAAGGAAGTTAATAGTTCTAGTTAAAGCAAGGTATGCATTTTTTGTCATAAAATATCTGAAAAGGCCAATGTAACAGGCTCTGCGCTTAGTAACTATGCAAAAACTGGTCATATCAGGTCAGATTTTCAGGACGAAAGGAAGGTGACAGAGACTTATCATTTGAAGCGTGTTTTAGATAATAATTTGTATTAATTCGCCAGTTTAAACCTTTTTTCTGGTCAATAGTCAGCTGTTGACGGTAAAAGCCGTGCTTCAGATCACTTGGCCGCATAACTCACCACGTTTTGAAGCGAGGTAGGGAAGTATCCGTTGAGACTCGCCTGTGTCGTGTTCATAATCTGATTCACAAAGTCCAGCTTGCCTTCCTCAGATTTGATGAAGGGCATGTTGTTCAAGCCGCTCGTTTGTATTCCTGTGAGTAGAGCACATGTTTGACAGGTTTCAGGGATAGTTCAGTAGTAACCTAATTGTGTGAGTGAACAAATACAGGGCAATCTGGTGCTGGATTGATGTGTAAGAATTCGCTGGTCAAAATAGAAGATGACTCGAATCGTGCATAAGTTGAATAGACGGATGAAGCCTCATAAATGTCATAGAAGCTCAACTGCACATGTGTTGTAAAAGGGTGTATCCGCTGTATAACACAGAAACCGGACATTGCATATTCCGGAACCGGACATTGCATAATCCGAGAACCAAAAATTTAAGAAATTGATCAGAAAAACGGACCTGGCGGTTGTCCGGTGAGATTTCCGGGACTTGTTTTGCACTCCGACTTGATGGGAACATCTGCTTTGTGGTAGTAGAGCCCGGATCCAGGGGGCGAGTCTCGTGACCTCTTTATCGCTTTCTCTTTCAGGTCCTCATTCTGAAACACAAGGAAATGTTAAGTTCAGTATTAGAGAGTTGATCTGTGGCTGCAACGCACTTATATAAAGGAATTTTCAGCGCATATATTATATGGACACTTCTATCGCACTTGTAAATGGTGGAGCCGGGTATGCTATAAGATTATGTTGTTGCTACTAGTACTAGTAGAACTAGTTGTATATATATAATACAACTAGTTTTTTATATAATAGCTGTAAGGAAGCTCGCATAGCTAGTGTAACTATGCACGGTCCCGACACTTTTTACTGGTCCTAAGGTCGCTCGTGTCAAGTCATCCACTTAGCTAAATTGGGGAACACTCCTTCTCTCTCCCTTGTCACACGCACACTGTGTCAACACCAACCACCTAACTATTAGCCTCAACTCTCACCACATATTTCTACTGTCAAATATTACGAATCTTTCAGTCGCCCACTCAATAATCTAATTGTGCTCCTTTAGAAATATTACTGCCATTATTCTCATTCCAAGAATTTGAGCGAGGTAAAATAACTTCTCCGCTTGACAAAAGACTGGGCATTTTTATCAATAAACCCAGGACAAAGCCAAGGACATAGCCAAATTGCTGGTGCATTGTTCGATTGAGCACTTTATTCAAGCTTTAATTATGGACTGTATCGCATGTGCTGTACGGCCGACCGAGTGACTACCCTGCTAATAACTTGTAGATTGTCTTACTAAACCGATCTCCCATCTCAGCTTCAACTTGAATGACGTGTACGGAATGAGCTCTGCTTGAGATCGCGTCAGTCAGCGCACACAAACACTTTTATTGATTGAGATCGTCCTTTATAACAATACAACTTTCTCTCCATTTTCCCATGGTCAGGGCGAGCATATTATCAACAATATGCAGTTAAAAGTAGAGGGAGTGCGCTGTGACAATAGTCAGCAGGCCTCGTGAGGAGTCACCTTCACACGTTACGGCACAAATAGTCCAAATAGTATTGTGTCCCCGTCTGCGTCGACAAGCAGCATTCCGCACGAGTTTCCCTGCAACACACTTTTTTATATGTGGACTGTGCGGCCGTATGTTACATAATACAGTGGATACATGACGTGAGCACTACAAGTGGCACTGTGTCGCACCACATTGGGAGAAAGAGAGGGAGGGAGAGAGAGAGAGAGAGAGACCAGGCAGGTTACTAAGTGACATGTTAAAGTGCGAGTTCCGCCCAGTTCACCTCAACTTCACTGCGAATCAAGGGAGGTGTAATTCAGTTCATATAACTTGAACGTTTTATAATATGTAGCACAGAATAACTCAAATATATGACATAACTATCGAGTTTTATGATTATCCTGCATGTAAAATTTATCTGTTCGACATTTGAGTAAAACGTCGGTCCCATGTTTCGGTTAAGTACTATTTCATAGTACAGTGACGGTATGAAGTTGGAAGCAACTAGCAAACCACAAGAGCCACATCAAAGAGCATCATTGCACTTCATAGTAAGCAGGGCCCGAGGAGTGTTTGTAACTCTATAACGGGTGTTATTTCTTAGTAACGCGGAGTTCTTGCAGGCATGACACAATTATCTGAACTGTCAGCTCAAACCACAGATACTTTGAGAATGGAAAATATGTCATGACTCCTGACTTTCGGCTCGATTGTAATGGATTGTGGGTTGTATGATTGCGCATAACGCTGGTTGTGTTTAGTATCAGTATGGAGTCTGTAGGGCTAGTGTTTACAGGTTATCATACCAAACAGTCTGGAGGTGTATGTTTATTTAAATTGATAGCACAAAGAGATGCACTTTTTGATTTTTCTAATTATTTAATAACATTAACTTATCATTCAATACTGGTTTGTTTTGCGATGTGAAAAGATCTCCAGAAATTTGCAGAATGACCACGCACGCAATGTCGCAATATATTGACAATTAAGGATTGATTTCACTAAACAAAGCAATTCAAATACACCATAGTTTCGCAAGACATTTAATAAAAGTATTGTATTAAATATTACTGGCAGTGCACAGGCGTCTCACTCCAATTCTTTGTTCGACAATTCTCAAATTAGAATTGATAATGACAGCGTTTTGTTGCTTTCGAACATGGCAACTTTGACAGAACATTCTTTGTTTTAACGTTTTGGCGAGACACAAAGCTTAGACTCCAATGAGAAGGCTTTGTGAAGGTTTAATAGGGTGTATCAACTATCATTGAAGTGATAAAAAGATAAGTGACAATAATGTCTGGGATGTCTGAATTTTATTGAATATATTACCTATATAATAAAGAAGTTTGGTGCTAAATGTATCGAACTCCATGCGAAACTAATCGACGATATGATAAACATCTGGTGAACCTATTTGACGCTGTATAAAAGGAACACAAAGGCCTATGATCTTCACTCGTAACTAAAACTGTTTAAGTTTCAACATGAACTTTCTGTTTTTAGCTCTACTTCTGGTAGGGTGTTCCCTCGCGGACATCTTCATGACCAACCCCAAGGGATCTAACAACCGACTGAACGAGAACACAGTGAACAGAAAGAACGGAGCCAGACTGTTTGACTCACAGAACAACAACAAGGGAGGATACAATGTAGGAGAGCGAGGAGTTGAGGCTAACAACGAGGACCACACCCAACAGTTCCAGATAGAATACCACGGAAGTGGACCAGGAGCAGCAGAAGAGAGCCGTCTAGTGGTGGAGTGGGCGCACCAACACGGCTGTGGAGCCAACCCCAAGGTGCAGTGTAACAATGTGATCCAGTACATGTGCATGAACCAGGGAGATAAGGACGATTATCCTGCTGGAGACGGGGACAGTGATCAGGATACCAAAGAGCGAGCTAACTACTTGAGGGATGGAATCATTACTAATAGACAAACATACATCCAGGGAAAGGGTCGACATGAGATGACAGACGAGGAACATCTCGCACGTCTGGCAGGGGCGTACGCTGCACTCGATGCTAACAGAGGTCTCCACGAATCTTTTAAGTGGTATGATATGTGCCGGTACAGAGAGGCCAACAACGGCCTCTTTAGGGCAGATCAAGAAATCCAAGACAACAGATATTCTTTCTTCGACAAAAAGAGTTACCCTAGCAGTCACAGGACAAGACAGAATAAGGGTGGAAATGTGAGAGGGTTCGAGTGTCCTGAGGAGCGAGACTACTATCCCTACTGGGAACCTACACTTCAGGGACCATATGATGCAGAGTACCAGCGGACTCCTTGGATAGACGCTGCATATCTCGGGGACACTTCCAACTGCAGAAATGTGAACAAGAACTCCTTCAACTCAAACAATAAGTACAGGTGTGTTTTGCCAGGAGCGAGAGACTACGGTAAGTCTATCCATGAAGAGGGTTGCACAGCAGAGGGTGGAAAGTGGGTTTCTTTTGAGTCTTACCTTGAAGTCCTGGAGAAAGTTGACACAGAGGAGGCATGCAATGAGGTTGCGGCGCAAAATGAAGTTAACCAGGTCGTATGGAGACCACTGAGAAGTGACTCTGAAGAAGATAAATGTATTGTAAAAGCTCCTCGACCGTTCTGCGGAAGAGCTGCAACTACCCGGAATAACCACCTGGGCAACGCCCTGGCTAACCCTCTCTACTCTACCAGATTTAACCTGAGACTTCCTCACTTCCCCAGCGGAGACACTAAGCGGTGCGTTCTCAGGGTCAGGTACAACATCACCACTGCAGATTACGACTCAAAGAACACATTCGCTGACTCCAACGGGGACGCTTCGCCGGTAACGAACGACCCGACAGTAAACATATTAGGCGAGGGAGATGAGCTGCAACTAGCTCTAGCAATCAACACAGCGCAGTTTGGTCGCACATTCCAGGACAGGTCACACATCTTCAAGGTCCTGCCAAGAACTGAAGCTATGGCTGGCAAAGTTCTCCACAATCTGAACGTCAGAGGCCAGAGGGGTAACATCGTGCAGAATTTCCCCGCTGTGGAATACGACTTTGTACCCGACGAGTTAAAGATGGCAACTGGAGATCTAGTGCATGTTCAGTGGTCAGGATACAACACAAACCCGCCCAACCGCGCGGGAGAAGGAACTGATGCTACCGACCGGAACAACTTTGTCCAGATGTCAGGAGACTTGGATACCAGCTACCCTCAACAATTCAATAAGTCCGACCTCTGGAGCAACGTAGAGTCCCTGACTGCTCCGGATGCCTCCCCAAAAGACATCGCAGTGTCCCTAGCTAGTTCCGGGTACTACTGTGGGTACGAGGCTCACAGTACTTGTCCTGCTGAGCAGAGTCTCACTGGAAACCAGAGGGAAGCTCTTCAGGGGCAGCTCAATAACGCTAACGCTAGTTATCGTGGACATGTGCTGAAGGTGAAGGGAGCTGGGAACTACTTCTACCTGTGCACCAGGAATAATGCCTTCACTAACCGTTCCCAGAAGGGCTCTATCATCGTACAGGATCCTGACCTTTAAACATCCAACTTGAATGTACCGAATTGTTCTTTTTTAAGAACTCAGAATTTTAAACATTATGTCGTTTCATTTTGTTAAAACCCTCTAAAGTTAGATAATGTAGACATCATTCCTTCAATTCGGGGATGGGAAACCCTGTAAATCAGAAGTACAGTTGAAAATTTCAGTCAGCCGGCAGGACCACACTCGCTTGAGCTGCCAGTTATAATCCTGCCCTCCAATGAGAGAGCAGTGAGTTGTCCCGGAAAGTGCAGCTCCAAACTTAATCATGTTGACGAGCACACATTCCTCGCATTCCGGGGATCCCCTACAACATGCCTTTCTAGAACTTGATACTGGATATGTCCGCAAAGACTGTCACTATTCAGTGAGGGGAAGCCTGCCAAAAGATGCCCGGTAATAAATTAGGCTTTTAAATCGTTATATTTTGCGCGGTAACTTCTCGTTGATATTTTATATTATCGCACTTGGATGAGATCATTCGACGGGTTTGACCAAAGTATAGGAATATTCATAGCATGGATCCAATCTAGACAGACACAAACCCCAAGACTTGCACTCGCCTGATACAGTGTCTGACCAGTAGTGTGATGGTCACAACAATGACTCCTCATCACAACACTGTGATCCACAAGACACCGAGTCTCTGATTTCCGGCCGGGAAGGAAGCGAGACAAGTAGCAATGAATTAGCTGCACACACGTACTATATCAAGTGTAGTGTAAGCGAGAAGGGAGAGAGAGAGAGAGGGAGGGAGTGTAATACGAGAACCCATGATCTACACACTGCTCGATTTAATTAGATTTTTGATCCAGTGCAGCGTCCAGGCTAGAAGGGGGTTATAGCTGGCCAGCAATTATAGGGTATTTCTACACTCACCCCTTGTTTACTATACAGTGGATCGCATGATATATTAGATCATCACTCGCTCGACTCAACTGAACCTTGATGACAGCATACAATCTCATTTCAATACCTCCATTTTTGTAGCATACCCGGGCATTAACCGACGACAATTCCTGACAATAAACATGGGCAAATCTTGTCAACTTAATAGGGAAAATATTGGCAATGTAACAAATCCTGGCTATCGTCGTGGGAAATACTAGAAATTAAATTGGGAAAATCTTGACAATTAACATGGGAACAATATTGAAAATGGGACGAATCCTGGAAGTAATACCTGAGCAGTTTGACAGTAGTATATAATTGTGTATCTCGCATTATGTAAAAGAACTGCACTGTGTCATTTTGTCCACAACAGTCCACTATATATCAGTAATTGTATTCCATGTAAATGTTTACAATTTTTAGGATATTTAAGATATGTTGAGCACATTTCAACATGCCCTGTCTTGCTCGAGATTAGTACCAACTGTGTTGGCAGCACACACGCATGACGGGTTTCTACCTGTACCGAGATCATCATCATCATGTAGTGGGATCTTATACACTGTACACATTATGTACACCATCAATATATGTAGCCACATTCTCGCCGTCTTCACTCACATAATCAAATGGTTAAAGAACGTGCGAGTGTAGGTACCGCATGTGACCACATTTTACACTCACACAACCTCGTTCCAATAAACCAGGTACCAGGCCTTTGTTTTAATCTAAATTTCTTGTTCTAGCTCTTTTTAGATGACGTAATTGGCATGTGTGTCCAGCGTGTCACGCCCCATACACAATTATACACGCTTTATAATAAATCTCTATCAGCAGCAATCAATACACAGAACTCGGGGCTCGCTGCGGCTACTGCTTCTAGCTGGCGTGTTTACACATTCTTTAAAGCTCATAATTATGTAGACTATATTATATGGAAATCTTCAACATCAAGAACTTGTACCATGTAACATGTGGAGTGTAATATGAGTGTTGTGTAAAGTGCGTGTGTTATAAGCCAGGTTTAAAATGTTCTCATGTGTATTATTATAACGGTACACCCTGCGTTCAATGAGCCAGTTAGGCAGTTTTTTAGTTACACATCATTACACGTTACAATGTTATATTGAGAGAGAGAGAGAGAGAGAGAGAGAGAGAGAGAGAGAGAGAGAGAGAGAGAGAGAGAGAGAGAGAGAGAGAGAGAGAGAGAGAGAGAGAGAGAGAGATAGAGAGAGAGAGAGAGAGAGAGAGAGAGAGAGAGGAGAGAGAGAGAGAGAGAGAGAGAGAGAGAGAGAGAGAGAGAGAGAGAGAGAGAGAGAGAGAGAGAGAGAGAGAGAGAGAGAGAGAGAGAGAGAGAGAGAGAGAGAGAGAGAGAGAGAGAGAGAGAGAGAGAGAGAGAGAGAGAGAGAGAGAGAGAGAGAGACAGAGACAGACAGACAGAGAGACAGAGAGACAGAGAGACAGAGAGAGACAGAGAGATATATATATATATAGAGAGAGAGCGAGAGAGAGAGAGAGAGAGAGAGAGAGAGAGAGAGAGAGAGAGAGAGAGAGAGAGAGAGAGAGAGAGAGAGAGAGAGAGAGAGAGAGAGAGAGAGAGAGATAGAGATAGAGATAGAGATAGAGATAGAGATAGAGATAGAGATAGAGATAGAGATAGAGATAGAGATAGAGATAGAGATAGAGATAGAGATAGAGAGATATATATATATATATATAGAGAGAGCGAGAGAGAGAGAGAGAGAGAGAGAGAGAGAGAGAGAGGGAGAGAGAGAGAGAGAGATAGAGATAGAGATAGAGATAGAGATAGAGATAGAGATAGAGATAGAGATAGAGAGAGAGAGAGAAAATGTTAGAATCAGTTATTTTAGGTATGACTTCTCTTCTTGCCATGTAAATTAGCAATACAACACAGAAAGCACTATATAGGGTTGTCACTGAGACCAGTACAGTATGGCATGTCTGTTATTCAGAGGGAATTCTACAAATATTTCTGTCAGGAAGTCCGGGGGAAGGGGGAAGCTGACCAAAGTAAGGCGAGTCAGAGAGCGCACTACTCGGTCACTCAGAGAGAGAGAGAGAGAGAGAGAGAAAATATATCGAGCTTGTTAAGTGACAAGAGCGTGCCACGCCCTGCTAGAGAGCAACACTACTTGCTATAGAGTTGAAATAATATAAAGATAGATGTTTTAACATATATCATAATATTATATACGGCAGTGTGAGCAGCAGAATGCATCGTACAAATATCTGAGCATATTTTCTGAGGAATTGGCCACGAATTTTTAAAATATCAAGGGAACTGAACTGCAGTCCAAGCATTCTTTCCTCGTATACAGTGACACCTAAACCCATCTTCCATACGGCGCGGCGGACGTCATGAAAATTTGTTACATTTTCTCGCGACACAATTAAGTCGTGATGTCAAAAGTTAAAAGCGATATATTTTAAAAGCATCGCGCTTGGGAAGCGACAAAAATACCAAAATGTTACGGAACACGTGCGTTGTTGACTCGCATATTATGTATCATAAAATATTACTTACTTCAACCAAATTGATGGTCTGATCACTTCTATTTCCATTCCTACATACGCAAGGAAATTTACACATGCTTACTCTTAAACTGTGAAGTTTAGAATTTTTCATTCTTCGTCGAAAATAACAAATTTAAAAATTATCATTAGTAATCCATTATTAGTTTTCAATAAAAACCGCCATAAAGTTCAGATCATCTCAAAATTTTATGCATGATAAAATTAATTTAAAGAGTGCAAATGATGTATATTGTATACTAATAACCGAACTGATAAGAAATAATGAAATTTCTTTAATTTCATTACGATTCTGAAACAAATTGCCTTCATTTTAATAAAAACCGTTGCTCAAATTTTATATTTTATCTTATCAAAGTTTACGACGAGGAATAACTGTAATTATGGCGACTATATTCTAAATAACTGAAAATCGATTTCAAATTCTGTGTAACAAGGTGTTCAATGAGGCATTAAATATAATCTTATATTTTAAGTTCTGAGATAACGCCAATACATATTACATAACGGTCTAATCTCACCTTGGCCACATTACACTCAAAAGTTTTCTAATTTTATGTGCAATACAAGGGTGTTATTGGTCAAATTATGTGAGCTTGTCATAAATCTAGCTTTCAATGCAAAAGCTCTCCGACGCAAATACTTAGGTGATTCCATATTTTACACCCAGAATCAAAAGAAAAGTGATAATTCAAAAAATGGGTATAACACCAAATATAGGAAAACAGAAGAAACTTACCACAATTTGAGCGGATGACATAGAACTGTATCTCTGAAGAATCTGATTCCTAGCGTCACTGTCCTGGGGAAAGTGCACGTGTTACGGGGGAACTGTCACGTGATGAAACAGTTGGCTGCTCACTTGTAAACACCGATAGTATGTAGAGTATGTAACACTGCTCCAGTGTCACGGTATTGTGGTGCTTCCCGTGCGTACAGTTCAGAACTTCTGCTTCATCATGTTACAGTGCTAGAGTCAGTACAATGTGCTTATTGCGTAAGTCATGTTTTTTGCACTGGACCTTATATACGAGGAGAAAGCATTCAGAAGATAATAGCACCATCTTGCAAGGTCGCAAGATTTGAACAAATGGCAACCAAACGTACAGAACACAGACAATACATAGAGTGCTATTATTGATGGAGCGCACCAGCCTTGTATTCAGGCATCTCATCGCACCTCAGTTTCGGCAAACATATCAGAACTTTGACAAAGTACGTTCTGGACAACAAATCGGTCACATGTCAAAATCAAACCTTGCTCTGTTGCTGAATCTCTTTGCTTTTCTTTCGAGCTAACACTTGTATGTGACTGGACACCTGACGGAAAGCCATAAGTTTACAAAGAATTTAGTAGAATTTGGTAGCATATGTTAGCAATTAGGATACAATTTTCACTAATAGTAATGATAAAGCCCACCCCTTAACGTAATTCAATAATATGTAGTCCCCTAACCCATTTGTGAACAATGGTTCGACAAAGCTGTGCTCGAAACATGTTATTGATCAGCTTGTAGCAGGGAGTATAGACTCTAGAGCGGCTAAATCAAAGAATTTCGATGATTTGTTTTGGAATTTGAGAAGGAATGTGTATGTTTGAATAGCAGTATTCATTAGAGAGCCTAGCTGGTAAAACAATGTCCAACAAAGATAGTGTATATCGTGCCACCCATAAACAATATGTCACAGCATGACACATTGTCCTGAACACACTTATCATGTACATTGGTGTGGTGATGTAAGGGAGCCCCCCTTCAGAGGGACATGTCAGACTCAACTATCACGTGACTCCTGCAATCAACATATACTCGGCTGGCAGTGAGACATTGTATCACGTGGTATTTACCTCTAATCACATGGTAATATTGGTGGACAAGAGGTGGAATGTCAGGTGGAAGGATGATGTAATACATAAGCTGTGAATTACTCATTATATTATCATGAAGGAGTGGAGGAGGTGATACCCAACCAGCACTTCCGGAATGTTGCCAAGGTTACGAAAACACTTCCGGAATGCGGTGAGGTATGGCAGGAATTCGCAGTACTTTTGGGCTAAAACCTCGCAAATTTGTGCTGCATGCAGCTGCACGATTTACTTTTATCGATACTTCAAATTTCCAGCTGTGATTCCAGGAAACAAGACCGATCACAGTAGAGGGAAGGGGTGGATGGCCACTAATAGTATTTATCAGTAGGAAGTGAAAGGAGAGGGTCACAAATCTACACACCACACACCAGACCTATATTATTAGTCACACTCACAGAGCAGGTCTCTCTGAGAGCTCTCAACCTCTCTGTTTACTTAAACCAGGCCGCAATTAAATATCTCGAATATTTTCCGCTTTCTTTTAACAATTCGCAGTTAGCTAACACGGCTATTATTTCGGCATAGAGTGTAGGCCTAGTTCTGACACATTACGTCAGCACGTAGTTGTACAAAGGAATTTACCGGGGGACAGTGTGCCCGGGAGGACCTCGCATTCAATTGAGGTTAAGTTCTGAGTAAACATGCAGTACATTCTATTTAAGTCTCCTGGAATTTCATAATGAGGTGTGAAGGTCTTTGCTCAGGTGGATGTGTTGTACCGGGGAGATCTCCGCTCCTATCATTAATGAGGGTTGATAACTGAGACGAGGTAATATCTTGGGAATTACATTAAATCTCCGCTCATTCACACACTGCTACCACAGGTATTTACAAACTTAGTTAAATTAAATGAGCGCAGGAATCTTGGATATGGTGATGTTACTCTATTATTCGATGAAATGTAAACATTCACTGCCATAGTGTTTGGTTATAAATTGAGTTAGAGAGTTGCTACTAAAAATAGGTCACATTCAATAGACCTTTGATTATATGGCAGCCGGCCATTTTAAACCATTTAAAATTTGGGCTCCATTAACCTACATAAACCGTTCGCGTTGTGTATATTATATATAATTAAAATTGTGCCCTATATTTCCCAGGTAAAAACTATCTAGATATCGATAAACATTAGCTATCATCAAACGTGGAACACATTACTTTTTTGTGTCGGTCACCCCAATCTGTCAATGGTTCTAGAAATAATTAGGAGCAATTAATTTTCACTGTCAAAATAAAATCCCTCGCATGATAATATATCGACGTTTGAAGTACACTGCATAACGATATAGAGCCCTATGCAAGCTGTGTCTGATAAAATATTGAGACATCTGACATTAGGTCATCTATTCCATGACGTGGAGGCATAATAAAGCATTATTTAGAACCCTAAAACTCATAAGAGCGCACAGAACAAGGTATTGTCTCCTCTACCACACACAGAACAAGGTATTGTCTCCTCTACCACACCCCTTCACACCACGGTCTCCCGCCACATTCAGTGCCCTGCTAGTGCTCTCCACACTAAACAAGCTTAACTTGTAAACTTGAGTATCAAAAACATTGATTTGAAGTCGTGGAAGTGTTCTTAATACATGAAACATAGCCGCCAGGGCAATTGCAGCCATAACAATTCTCATCTGTAATAGGGCGCCGCTGTTTTAGCGCTTTCTAAGGGACGGGAGATACTGCACTGTAATCTTCAATATATAACATAACATCCAATCAAATGATATTAATATGAGCGCAGTATTCATGAGATCTATAGATTATTGGTTCCAAATAATGCACTACAGATATAACACCACCCCGATACCAAATGATATATATATATATATATTATTTGCATCAAAGAACAAAACTAATTTCATTTGAGAGGCACATATTATTATATGATAGAGGATGGATCCATTATTTTGGGGGCCGCACTGCTGTGAAGCCAATATCATTATAGTTTTTGAGAGAGCTTAGTGGGTCATGTGGCAAGCGGGACCGCCAATCCCGGAGAGACCCAGTATTTTCAATAATATGTTCACATAACTAATGTGTATTATATGATTGGACAGGAGTTCTTGAGAACGATCACCCCACCAAATTGTAAATGGAGCGGTCTAAAATGGTTTCTGACAGTGTTGCGATGATGGATCACGGAAGGAGCTGATGTAGTCAGCGTTACAGTGATGATAACGTTACCATGGTTACTTAGTTAAGGTTAGCAGGGTAACTCGGGGACAGCGTTACAATGGTGTTAAGATAATGTTGCCATGGTGTTAAGGTTATAACACCAGGAATTGTTTGGTAGCAGTGACTAAGTTTATAGTTTGTAGCATTATTTTGTGTTTATCGACTTCGTCATAATGATAACAGTCATAGCTTGTTACTTGTCATTGAGTAAGGCAGTGCTCTCAAAGCACCTTTTGAGCACATATATCGGTCATCCATATACGATGAGAGTTTCATCTCATTTAATTTACGCCGTCATTTTCCTAAGAATTTCCATATTTTCCTTAATTGTATAAAATGCGAAAGTCCAAAATTGTAGCGGTGATTTAGTGCATTCCGTGTTGCAATGTTCTTAAGTATGACACGACACAATTATTCACTGCGAAACCTCCCGCCCTTAGTTGTTGGTAGGTAATTATGATTAGTAAAGGTACTTTAAATAAACTTTTCATTTACCCTTGCACACTTACCACTACTCAAAGTGCACTTTGAAAAGCTATGTTAATATATAAAGAACAGCAACATGTAAGTCAAAGTGTGCTGGAATATCGACCTTGGTTTGTATTTCACCAAACCTTACCCCTCCGCTCCTGGTCCCACCCTGGTCTCACTTCGACAATATCTATTTTTTATTTCAGGCAACTTCAGGGGAAATTTAAGAGTGTGCACTTACTTTCCCTTTTCAGTTTATCAAAAAAACAGACTTCTTATGTGATGTCTTAACGAAGAAACAACAGAAATCGGTGAGCTGTAAACGTACTTGTTTTCTGGTGCGACTCTTCCCTGTTTTCTCTCTGATATACCTAGCAATGAGTTCGTTCCTTCCTGGATAATGTTCAGTGTATAACATACGGGTACACTTTACATAATATGCGCATACTATTAGAAAAAAAATAGGAAACACTTTTTAGGTTTTTAGCATGGAACAGGAATTGGGGAAAGCGCTGTAGAAAACAATCATATAATTAGCATTAAAAATGTCCCTTTACACACTTACCATACATTTTACCCTCGTCAGTGAGGATTATCTTCCTCCTGCCACATGGAGGGTACGCCTGCAGAGCTTCCTGGAAGGCTTTCTCTATGTCTGGTGACCAGACACCCTCTGCGTCCTCGTTAGACCCTTTGTTACAGCGTGGTGTGTGGGGCTCGTACTGCATCGACTGAAAAGGTCAAGTTTAACGCTCTTCATGGAATGGAAATTTTATGGTGCAAATAAATATTCTGTTTCTAAGAAACATTAACATTTAATTGCCGGAGCAAATAAACTCACTCAAACATGCCTTAGACATGTTCTTGAACTTGAATCAACCTTTGATGCGGTGTTATTGTTTTGTTGCCGCCAAAATGGCACGAATTTTCACGATTAAAAACATTCCATGAGAGATCTGACGAGATACACGTCAACCCATTGTTCCGATCTTCCCGGGTGTTCCTTTATTGTTTAATGTCAAGATGATAGAGTAAAATACACAATGAAACGGTACGTGTCACATGAAACCCTCAAACTTGGAACCAAATTAAATTCCCCCGTGTAACTTGCTAGATGAAATTATAAAGGAGCTGAGCTCCTGATATCCTACTGTATGCGACACCCAAATAAACACACACACACACACACACTGACACTGACACTGACACTGCATGTCATCTCCAGATCTCCTGTATTGATCTCAATTACAGTACTATTGTGTGCATTCTATCCTCTAATTGCAGTAGATCCGGCACTACGCAAACAATTTAAATACTTCTTGACTCAATTCAGTTGGTGTGCTAGCTGATAATAATATATTGATTTATCATTCAGATATATAGAATCTCAAATTCAGTACACAAGTCACGTGACTCACTCCTTTTAAAAACTAACTCTTGTGTACGACCTGAATGGTGAACTTTATGAGTTGAGGTTTGATAAGCTACGTCAGATTTTATGTGGGCTTATTCTAAAAGTTGTCATCGTGTGAGATACTATATCACGTGATCTGCTGTCTGGAATGTGGATAGCAGAGGGTTAGTTTGTGGGGCACAAAGTGGGGCAGTGGGGCACCCACTCTACCTAAAGTGTGGAGACTATGTCCGACATTAATAACGTCTGATGGGTTCAACACTACATTCCTGCATAGGATGGTTTTCCTCTCTAGCAAGATTTGTGCGGGATTCTTTTCATGGAACAAATCTGAGGAATTTGTACAAATTCCACAGCACTCAAATCTCAGGACTGTGAGCACAAATCGATCTTAGATCAAAGTTAATTTTCACATACCACACACAGAGATAAAACAACTCGTTATCAGGGCACGTATTCCCTTTTGTGTCTGTACAAGTACATAAAATACAAGAACTACGCTTGGTATGTATTTAGTGTTAACCTCCAATGTGCAGACATGTAAGTTAAGAGATGTCCAATAGCTAGCATCAGCTGTTATACAGCTGGACAGTTACTAGCAGGACCAGTTAACTCTTTATGTTAGCTATTGTTTCTACAGAAATTGTTGGAGGTTTGATGTGATGGTCGGCCACCTCAATGTTCAGCTTGTAGAAAGAAGGGAATCAGCACCTTTGTAAAAGTAACAATCTGCATTATTATACGAGCTCCCTGTATCTTGATGTGTTACAATAGGCAAACACGTCGATTAGTGTGATAAACACCGGATACATTATTAAACCTAAGACGTGAGCTGTATAAGATTTTAAAGCTGGCAGGAAATTAGCAGCGCGAATTCGTGTTCCACCCTCGTACTTATCGATTTTTCATTTTGTGTATAACTTTATTTACAGCTTCAAACTACAAAGTGTTGACATGCTGTGGTTTTCACCTCACGACAACTAAAACTGACTTATCCGGGGGTATAAAGTGCAATTCAAAGTGCAATTTAATTCATCAACAAAATACGATACTAAGTAGAGAATCCAGAGTTACTGATATATTTCTTAATCTTTAAAATTACAAGTTTACTTGAAATGATAACAATATCTTGATGTTATAGTTTGATCAAGGGGGATATAATATGTATTTTAACAATGACTAGCGACTAGACTGGTACATGTTTAGTCCAGGTATTTACAATGGAACATCTGACATAGTCCTCTAACACCACGCTACATATTGTAGGACCAGGGCAGATATTTTTGTGAATTATATACTCAACACAGTCCTTATTCACACTTATAGAGAGAATTGTGCAGAATATCCATTCCATCATGGAAGTGGGACGATTATAGTACAGACATTTGATATGCAGCTTGGGATGGTCGACAGATCATTGCAATTTGGAATATGTTCAATCAAAGAGCAGTCTCAACAGCTACAGGACCTACCAGGCCATGCCTCAGAGTGTGGCATCACTGTGTGTGGTGTGTAGGCAAGTCATCAGGGAGGTAGGGAGGTAGGGAAGTAGGTAGGTAGAGAGGGAGGGAGGGAGGGAGGGAGGGAGGGAGGGAGGGAGGGAGGGAGGGAGGGAGGGAGGGAGGGAGGTAGAACTACATTCGAGTTTCTAGAATTACATTCATAAACGTTCTAACAATTAGATGTAGAATTTGACTGTCCTCTTTCATGGGGCAAGACGAAGCGGGCTATTTGATCCGATAATGAACACAATTAAACATTGTAATGTTATTAAAGAATTTGGGTCCAACACATTGTGTGTATAAGCTAAAATGCCTCCAAATTGGACACTATCCAATCATCACTAAGGTGACTCCTTTTCAATCTGTAGAAGGATCGCGATCAATTTTGGGGAGTTATTCATTTGCTACGTTTTGTCCCATCTTGTTTTATATCAAATATCAGTAGTATTAAAATTGACAATCTGATAATATTGTTAACTTACTTTTTGTGAAGGAGGAAGGGAGGGGGAGGGGAGGGAAGGAGTCTGCATACACATGCGTAACACACAGATATACACTATAATGATGATATATTGAGAGCATGTGAAGCCAGCAGAGTAACCCAACACTCAGAGCGGGCACACTCTACCGATCTAAATATAAAGATAAAGGTCACGTGATCCGAACACGACCAGCTCATTGGCTGCCGCACTTCACGTGACCTACCTAGCGCCCTCTGATTGATTGCTCGCTCTTCAGCGGCCAAAACAAACATGTTGCGTCATGGAGCTAGAGGGAGCTGAGAGGTTGAGTTTCTACCATGTCAAATGAAAACCTAGATAGCGCACTGTGGCTCGTTCTGCATTTCATTCTTCTTAATTATTGTTACACACATCAGATTATATTATGTGAGCTGTATTAGAGGGATTATTCAATATTCTTAGTGTTAAATTGTTTACCATGTGGTTGCCTGTATCTACTGTCTACAGAAGCTCAACTTTTACTTCAACTATTCTTTGATTAAATGTCAAGTTCAGTTTTAATGTAAATTTAATAATATGATCATAAATGTTATGCTATAATTATTGTATAATGTATTGTCATATTGCTGGTCATATACCCAAAATGGTCGGTTGTGTTTAGCCTTAGGAAACTATTAAGTTAACAAAGTTACAAGCGCTGGTAATTCGAGAATAATTCAATCAACAATTGTCTAGAGCTTAGAAAGATGTTGTTAAAGCCTCTTTCACTCACAAAGTGAATAACACTTCAGAATTTTCACACGAATTTAATTAATTCCAATTAGAACGGGGGGAGCTTGAGTTAATTGGGCAGTGTTTAGGGCTGCACTGTTAATTATCATTGTCTACCAACTACCACTCGAACTACATTATTGCAACACTTACCAAACTCATCAGCTGTCATGAATACGCTTAAGAGGGAGCAATTAGGAGGAATTGTAATCAATAGATGTGTGGCACGTGATAATTGTCTAAATTTAGAGGTATGCAATATAATCCAATATTCATGGAGTGCATTACATGTTCATCTTTCAGCTTTCCTACTGGTCAATAGCAAGACACTCCTGCATATATATGAGATCACTTTTAAGATTACTCATTTAACTCGATTTGAGAGCAGCTGAGCTTAGATATGATTGGAACGCAAAAACGTTTTATTATTAAACTCAATTATGAATGGAACTATTTTGAGGGTGAGATAAAGTTTGTAATAGAGATTTTGCTGAGGGTGAACTTTCTTTGGATACCTTGAAACAAATTCATCCGACTGATCATGATCATGATTGAACGATAGAAAAGCAATTTTACCCCATGATACCAACATAAAAATCAATATAGATGATATTAAGAAAAGATTTGATGAATTTCAGGAAGAATAGATTTTCTGATGATTAATTGAAGGGGGCTGGTCCTCTTTCACAGTAATATTGTTCTGGTTGGTAACTTTATCATGCATTATATGGTAAGTATCTCAAACACGACAAAATACTGGCTGATTGATATTTCTACAAGAGAAACTTCTAGTAGTATTTCTAAAGAAACCTCTTCGATATAAAAGTAATTATCAGGCCCAAGGTTTAAAGGTCGGGGAATCACAGCAATCGGCATAATGAGATGAAACTAAGGTTCTCGATACAGAATACAGATCCTACCAAAACATGAAGGGATGTTTTACAGTACTAAGGCAAATACCACATTTTCACCACAGCTAAACATGCTACATATTAATTTTCTTCTCTGTCGGCCCGGGTCGGCCATATGCTAGACTTAAGGGGTCCAGGTCTCTACAAATTTATCAATTATCATGGTCATAAAAAAAGCCGACAAAGACCCGACAGAAAACTGCTTGGGTGTTAAGCACGCTACTCGAGTATACACCAGATCAACTGTAATTATGCTTACACAGAATAAGTCAATGGTTTGTAGTTTTCTTGACCACTGTTGAATACGTATACTCCCTTTAAAATAAGATTAGTAACGTGTCTCATACAAACTCGAAAATTCGCAACTTGACCAATGACCATGATGTCACAACAATGCCAAAGAGAAAGGTTAATGTTTCACAGAAAATCCTTTATCCAGGCAATAATGACGACAACTTTGTGCAATTTGTCTATAAGCAGCAATTTTGTAACCTTTTATAATTAACTTCCAGTATCTGGGCACTTTGAATACATTACCATACAAATGTAATACCACCCGTCAATCGTCATAGTATTTAAATCATTGCAACTTAGTTCCTCTTATACCTGATTTGCATCATACCATGGACAAAACGTTTCTCCATTTTTGAAAGATATATATGACAAGTGGAGATGATGCACCCACGCACAGGATTATAAAATGTCATGAAAGACATAAATGAAAAAATGAAATTATTCTAAAGTGTAATTTTACTCACAGAAGCTAAGCTGTGGTCGGGAGATCCATCAATGCTCTTCTCTAACTTGACTCCAGAAAGTTCGGGCAAACTGGTGGACATGAAGGTCGGGTTCTGACAGAGAGCAGGGTTTATTATTCCTGAAGTTCCATTCACTCCACTAAACAACAGGGAGCCATTTATTGGGTACGAACTCAAATCCTGAGGAGATTGTCATTAGCAATAGATTTTACTTTGAATTTCAAATATTTACGAAAAATGTAACCAAAATAATTATATTAATGATTATTTTTCAAACATTTAGACAGCTAAAATAGGAATATTTTCTAAAATAGAAACGCACCTGAGAGCTCGTGAAAGTATTGTGAAGAGTATTTTGGAGGGCAAGTATGTTGTTAGCTTGTGACTTCAACATTGGACTGTTGTTCAAATAAGGTGTGAGGTCCATGTCCTAAAGTAGGTTTTTGTTGCAACTAAGAATTGACTACAGGTAGAATTGTAAATTAAAGGACAGAATTTAAGACAATCGAAATAACCATGTGACACATGGATTGGCATGAAATTTGACTGACAATAACAAGCAATTTACATAAAAGTCCAGTTGCACAATTTGTGTGTTGTCCCCACCAATCTATCAGTCACTTCTTAAAAGATGATAGAGGGGATTTTCATAATATGGTTGTCAGAAAAGTTAAATATGTGAACTCAGACATATTTACCAGAATGTAAAGTTCAATTGGGTATGCTTAATGTTATTGATATAATAAACTCTCCTGTGACAATTTCCAAGGAACATATGTAGCGAATCCTCTCAAATCACCTAATTTGTTCACTTATACATTTCTAATTTCCTAGGGGGAGCCAAAAAAGGGGGCCCTGTTAGTGTTGGGGCAGGGCGCATACTGAAGGGTACCCAGATCTTTTGATGGCCCCTCCTCATTTTACCATCAATCATAATAATAATGATAATAAATTAATGTTATTTTCATACAGCACGAAAAGCTTAAATAATTTAAATTTGACCCTTATGCTCAGCTGTAAATGATACTTAAATTAACGAGAGTGTGCATCTTTGCCTTAGACGGAGGTGAAACAAGAAACTGTTCAGAAAACAGGCGTTAATAACTGTAAATAATATAGTGTGCTTTCAGCAATACTCATAATACTCATAGTGACTAAATAAGGCAGATGCACCTAACAAGCAGGGTTAGCAGGTTTTCTAACAGAGGACTTGAGGGAAGGATGATGACTGCAAGAAATCACAGTATGAAACCCATCAGCCTATCAAATGTAAAAATCAGGATAATAAAAATGAAATTCCCTAAAATATTAAAAATTCTATAGAAGTTCTATAGACTCCAAATATACAAACAATCTGAATACTCCAATACACAATAAAAATTGATTGAAAAAGTTTACTGCAGAACAGTAACTGACGGTAAAAATTATATCTGAAAATCCAATACAGTCATACCAAACAATCTGGGCAACATAAAAGTAGAGACGGTGAAATAAAGAGTGGAAAAAAGATGCTCTAGTACTTGAGACAAAATACAAAGAATAAGGTAGCTTTCTCCCAGGTGCCAACCCAAAAAATGTTGGTGTCCCAGAATCCTTGAAAATTAAAAGCCTAAAATAATTTAATTTAAAGAGTAAAATTGACCTGCTATAGATGCAAATTTAAAAAAAAACTTTTATGATGGATAAGTTACTCAGTACAAATCAAAGCAGGTGCTTCCAGTACTTTCTAAACAGGTGAGCTTTAAGTTTTCCCTTAAAGTCCTTGATGTTTACACATTTCCTGATTTCTTGAGGAAGATTGTTCCATAATCTTGGAGCAGATGAAGAGAAGGCTCTGGGTAGACTGTTTATGGGGCAATGAAGAGACACATCTCTTGAAATAAGTAACACTGGCAAAGCTATAGAAACTTAACATGTAGTGAATTTTAGGATATGTCTAGCATCAAAAGCGCAAAGATGTCTTATCAAAGCTAAGATCAGCGAAGTATTGATTAACTACTATGAAAGCAACACTAATCAATGCAGCCGCACAATTTAAACTATGTGTCCAGGAATGAAACCTTCCTGGATTTGGTGGTCGTGTAATACTGATCGTTTAAGCTGTGAAAAGGTGCATCATGAATCTTTGGTCAGTCTCTTTTGTTGTCTAATCAATGTTAATAGGATACAAATTAGGTTGACTTTGGTATACATGTTGTTGTTATGCTGAGGGTCTATGAACCATCCAGGTAGTAACGAAGTGTAAATTATTTCATAATATGAAATATACAATTTAACTTAGTTAAACAAAAATTTCAGTTAATCAAAAATTTCAATTTTAAGCCATTTATTACAGAGTAAACAAGTTTACAATAATCAATTTGATATTTAAAGGAATCCTAATTCAATGTGTAGTATGGTTCTCAATCTTTAAATAGATTAGATACAGGTAACTATAGTATAGCCATGTCACTACTACAATAACATAGCTTGAAAATGTAATTATACAAAAATGCGTATGACGGAATTGGGAATGTCGAAAGATGTATGTATTGAAATAAAAAGAATGGACTTAATTCGTACATTCAAATGTTAATGTAATGCTCTTTAAATGGAAGATTTTAGTGTTCAAAATAAAACATAAATAAAAAGCCAGTCAATGTGGAATATTTAATAAAAATCCAAATGACTTCATAATTTAATCATAATAAACCAAGCCACATCAATTCACAACTTTTTCATTTCTTGAGCATTGTATTGAACAAAAAATACTTCGATGTGTCTCACGTACATTTAAAAACTAGCTTGATGGACGATAATCAAAAATCAACCTTATGAACTATGAACTAAATGATGGTATAAACTAAAATCTCGCTAAAACATAAAAACGATCATGTGTGACAATGCGCGACGTAACGCATAACAGCAATCCCCCGTTTGCAATTGATATCATACGCACATTAGTCAGTTTATAATGTTTAAATAATAATCACTATCAAGCAGCTATGAGTTGACATGAAATACTTTTTCTCAATTCGAATAGAAAGTCGCGCATACATAGCAAAAAATAAGCGCGCCTGGTAAATATTTAGAAGGTTAAAAAACAAAATGTTAAAACAAAATTATTATTTACCACAAAACAATCAATACTTGTAGCGCGATGCGTTACTGTGCCGCGCCGCGCACTCAATGAGGCTTCTCACAGCGACATCTGGCTTCTCACAGCATCTCTGGCTAGATCGGCGAAATGCGCTACTGTGCCGCGCCGAGCTGCCATGAATTGACATCGTCAATTAAAATCAATACATATTATTTTATATTCATAAATAAATTCAAAATTGAAATTTCAACCATAAACACGGCCCGCCGCGCACGCAGTAAACCATTGTTAATGGTTTGGCCCGGCGCGCGCTACTTCGTATGTAGCACTTGTCATCGAGAAGAAAGCGGCGCGCGCTACTTCGAAGAAATTTAGACGAGTAACATCCGTCAACGCACATTGACGGATGTTACTCGTCTAAATTTCTTCGAAGTAGCGCGCGCCGCTTTCTTCTTGCCCGACGGCAAGTGCTACGAAGTAGCGCGCGCCGGGCCAGATAATTAACAATGGTCAATAACGCACACAGCAACACATTGTTCAAAAATCCTTAGGTGCGGCTTGTCATACGTTGTACATTGTATGACCCGTCGCGCACGAGTGCGCGGCTCCCCCTGTATCGGTCGCGCTAAATCACTCTACAGTCGATTTTCTTATTTCATCACTTTTAGTTTCGCAGTGGATAAAGCACATGTTATATCCGCGCGTTACGTGTGATCATATTTAATCCTGATTTCCCAATTACGTTTCTACTACATGCAGCTTTATACTTTGGATTTCAAACTTCGAGTTTTCGTCAACAGTCAATAATTATCCATGATTCATCTGCAATTAGTGCCACTTGTGTTATACCTTATATGTAGTTATGAGTCAAATCCTATAAGTTTAATGAATAGCTGTTAAATATGTTGATGCTCATTCGCTCGCAGGTGTACTGACATATGCTATTATACAGGTACAAATAGAATTGTTTGCTGGATTAAAATGCTGAGATTTTAATATAAAGCTAAAGCAAAACTAAGTATCATTAAACTAGTTTAGGTTAAGCCTGATTGTTTGAGTCCTATTTAAACATATTTTTGATATCGTGTCCATTAGTCAATGATCAATCAGATGTTATATGTTATAACATTACGAACTTATTATATCCAGTATCCACGTTTGCGCTAACTGTGTGATCCTAGAATTGCAAATTTTACATTCGTTTTAATGGTGTTTCTTTTATATACGAAGAGCATCTATTGTTGTTCCTTAAGCCGGCTGACCCAGCTATTGTAAGCGTTTACGGTCTCAAATGCTGCTCACTTTAGAATCACTAAGCTTCTTATTTGAATCCTTAATTTCTGACATCATAATTCCTAAATCTAGGCTGCAAAAAATGATAGGTTTTCGGATTGTGACCTGAGCAGTGAGCAGCCGAAACTGACATTATAGTTATATTTATGATATACTTATACCGTGTAGTTTATAGAGTATAAATTTATTGTATAACTTGATTTTATTTCTATAGAAGTTTTTCGACCAGTTAATTTAGTAAACTAACATAGTCATAATGTACGTCTGCAGTTCCGACTGCAATTCGAAATATTCTGTAGGAATCCATATATTTGTTGGTCAATATATTAATATGATGTTTGGTTCATTTGAACTTTGCCTTCTAGAATCTAGTGTGAATATTATATTATAGATATTTACAGCGAATATTTTAATTATCAGGTTCAGCAGCATTATGTAAAATATGGGAAAATATCGCGATGAGTTTTGTGTGCTCCAACGGCCAGACTGAATGACTCAATCAAACAAAAAATTGTATCACAACGGGACAAGTTCCCATCCTCATACAAACACTATCGTCCCTAATGAAATAACAACACATGTATTGTAAAAAATGCACTCTAGTGAAAGCCACACTCATCTCACTGATTTTTCTTCAGTATGAATTGTCCCTCCTTTGATGTAGTGGTGCTTGTTTGGCTCAGCTTCTTTCTTCTTATGCAGGTTTTGAACAAGAAGTCTGTGCTTAACACGATCCTCCAAAGAGCGGTCTGGACTAATGAAGACTGAGCTGAACTTCTCTGATTGTCGCAGCTTTCGAGCTTGACTGATTATTTGATAGGCTGTACTGGAACTTAATGTGGATTGGAAGCAGCGAAAACCAACAAAGAAGTCTATGGCAACCTACCGAGAGCAACCATGAAGATCCAAGAGCGCAGGATGCGACTAGCAGGCCATATCCACCGGCACCCAGAACTAGTCGCAAACCGCTTGCTACTCTGGGAACCAACTCATGGGGTGCGGAGTAGGGGGAGACCAGCCATGACCTGTTGATAGCCTACGAGCTGACACGGGTCTCAACGACACTGGAGAAATGGGCGGAC